ATAGTTCTGTGACCAAATTAAGAAATTTAGGCTTTATAATTTTGATGAAAAACTCGAACAGTCACTTTAACGCTAATTTCGTCTTATTTTCTGAAAATAATACAATTTATGTTGATAAATTATTAAAAAGGAAAAAAACATTTCTTTAAGAAGTTATATAGTGGTTTCCAAAATATTTATGTAACCCCTACCTATAAAACTTGGGTTTTATAGTGTCACCAAACACAGGTAACGACAACCTTTATCAACTTCCCAAAGAAGCTCTTTAAGGGGTATATAAGAGTGATATAAACAGTTCTGTGACCAAATTAAGAAAGTTAAGCCTTATAATTTTGGTGAAATTTATGGCAACCATGGTGCACTCACTATAAAAATATAATATATATTTGTATATAAGTAAAAAATAATACGTAATTAGCGTTAAACTGACCAAAACATAACCTCAATTACATGACTGCATTCCGTATTCAAATGTTAAAGTGGGACTTTTGATGGTATATTTTATTTCCGGTAAAATTGTGCAGTAAAAAATGTGATTTTAACAATTTAGCTTTATCGTTTTTTCCTTTATTTTTTTTTGAAATTTAAAAAAAGTTCATTAGACACTTAATTAACAGGAATTTTAATATTTTAAGTATTCGTTAAAATTTCCCAGTGATTTTTTACTGTGATGGTTTTTAAAATAAAAATATCACGAGGTAAATTTTATTAAAACCTCAGTGGCGTACATTCGGCATTCTACATTTTTACAAAATTACCCAAGCAGCATTTTTGGTTCCAAAAACGATTACCAAAGTGGTGATAACTTTAAATTGGTTAATTATACTAAACAGCTACTTTAATTTTTACTTAAAAGTAATTCTAACTTTTAAATAGCAATATTTTGTAACAGAAACTCATTCTTTCCTTACATTATAATTATTTTTACTTTGTAGTCCCTTTGCAAGTTAAAATCTCGAAACTGAAACATGAGTTAAAAACTACAAAGTTAATAACTTAAAAGTTATTATTTTAGTATTTGGAACGTTTACGGTACTAACCAAAACTACCGTAAAGTAAATTAAGGTGGAAAAAACTTTAAAGTAGCTAAAACTACTTCAAAGGAAAATGCTTCTTATCGGCCATTTTTTTCTGTACAGTACCACGTGGTAATGTAAATAATAAATAATTTTAATTGTTTGTAAATGGTTGTTTACTTTTTAATAAATAGTAATTTTGTTGGTAGTAGACGGTATTAATAATTACCTAAATAAAAAATTAATAGTAAATATTAAGATATTTTTATTTATAAACATTATTAAATAAATAATTTGTTTGTACTTAAATATTGATGAAGCGCATTTATTTTACAAAAACTAAATTCATAAGTTCAACAGTAAAATTTAAAGGGTTTATAAATTTACCTGCCTAATTAAACAGTCAAGTAGTGGTTTCATTTAAAAAAGGGGGGACAGTATAATCTAATATAATTTAGACAAATTTGTCGTTTCAATATCGTAGCTAGATCGTTATAATTACTTTTATTTATTTGTTTTTACTTTTATATTAACTGTCTTAAGACAGTTAATATAAAAGTAAAAACAAATAAATAAAAGTAATTATAACGATCTAGCTACGATATTGAAACGTTCTAGTAACGTAGCAGCTACGTTCCAAATAATAGCAGGGTTTATATAGCTAGTGACATATTTGTTACCTTTTTGGAACTCAATAATTGTTCCCCACTTTAGTCGTAATAAAAGAGTAATATAAAGAGACCGGCGACTGTCGCAAAACACTTTAAAGTTTCTTCAATAGTCCCATATACGTAACAAATACTTAAATTGTTGCTTGGTTAAACTTTCTCTTAAAAAATCTTCATGGGTGAGAAGTATTGCAGGATCTGGCAACATGGCAGGTCCGAGTCTTGGACAGTTCCCACGGGCCGGTGGAATGTCGCTGTGCCCCTGCCGTCCCCTCCATGACCGCTCACCATTAGCCCACCAAGAACAAAAGACTGCCTGCATCCGAATCACGGTCTCCTTTATTTGGCATTGCCAACACCACTCTCTTCTTCTTCTTCATCTTCTCCTCTCCCTCGTCGTCTTCTGCTTCTGCTTGTTCTCCTCGGTATACTTACTACTTTCTTTACTCGTCCTCACTTATTTATTTATGTTATACCGAACCATAAGATACAGGTTGTTCGGTGCACCGTGGCCACTTAAAGGTACGGTGCTTGGGTTGGTTTCTAAACTCATAATTGTAGAAATTACGTAGGCATTGGAAAAAATTAAATGTTAAAATTTTTTTCTTCTTGAAACTTTGAAATATCTCATTTAGTATGCATTTTACGAAATTTTTTTTACGTATTTGTAATAGATGGCGCTGTACACGGTGGTCAAAACTTAAGTATAGGACGAACAAAAATTCCAACCAAAACTGATAGCATATTTTGATTATAGACCCTTTTGGTAACACTATAGTGTTATAACATGTATTTATCAAAATCCCAGCTGATCCTATTTTAAAGTTTTGCAAACTTTTTTGTTTTTCTATTTCTATATATTATTTTGCAATTATTGTACTAAAACTACCTGTACAATTTTAATAAAATTAAGCAAAATAATAAACTTTTGTATAACTTTGTATTATTTTTTACCACTCAAAACAAAACATAACAAAAAAAAAAATATTTATATTTTAAATGTTTTTTATAACAAAAGCTAAAGCTTTAGCTCACTTTCAAACTTAATCTTGACATTTTTGTAGTTTTAACAATTATATATAATCATTAAATATTGTATACCAAAATTTGAGTCTTGAGTTGCTCTTTCATAATAACTATGTTATAATCTTACATAGGGCTGAGTTTCAAAAATTAAAAACTGGGTGTGCAAAGTTACCCCCTGGTTGCGGGTTACTTTGTACTTTGTACTTACGTATAAAATTAACTCAATATTTTATTTTTATAGACATATTATGTTAGCAGCGACATATAGCAATTGCAAGGGATAACCGATAAAAACAATAAAAAATCGACCTGTAGTTAACCAAGGATCATCATTCCAAAGAATTGCGCATAATATAGAAATTGAAACGCGTGCACATGTATTTTTAAGAGTTTTGCACTAATGCAATATATACAACTTTAAAGTGTAATAAATCCCATTTATTTTTTTAAAACATTAATTTTCCTATAATATAAACTCAATAGAATCGCTCAATTGACAAGTTTAGACCAACAAATTATAAATGTTAATTTTATCGAGCGCGAAAATTTTTTTCAAAAAAGTCAAAGATAATATCTTTGGCTAAAGTCACCCGCGGGGTGCAAAGTCACCCGTGTTTACGGTACTGGAAGTTTGTCTATGAAATAATTACAACTTGCAAATTGTGTAAAACAATAATTAAGGTGGTTATGAATAAAATTGCTATACGTTTATTAATGTATACTTTATAAAGTTAAAAATAGTATTTTAAAATGAAAATTAAACCGAAATTCAAGTTAAGCCATGAAGAAAATATGCCATTATAAAATCTAAAATATTATCATTTTGTGTGTTTATTATTGTTATTTTTTTTTTCATACAATTTAAAGTTAATTTTTTTTATCTGGACTGCGGCAACGTTAAAAATTTAGGGTTTTGGTTGGTTTAGTTATAAATCTAATTGTGGTTATATATAAATTATTGTAGGTTACATTGTGCAGTTGTCAAGTTGAGTTAACAATTGTCGAAATTCGTAGTAAAAATGCAATTAATTTGGCTTTGGTGGTGGTTGGATGAGTAAAATCATATAAAAAAAGTAGTTAAATATAGGTTGCTTTACGGCCCAGAAGAGAAAGTATTCCTAGCGGATAATAATCATAGATGAAAAAAATTTATATAGGTAAAAGAAATTAAATTTTTTTGTGAACGTAAATGTTGTCCAATGGTGAATAATGTGAAAATAATGTGTGATGTAATATTTATAAAACCAAATTCGTAACTTTTTTACTCCAAAAATGTCCATAAGGCATTTCAAAATGAAGTTGTGGCATTTCAAAATGAAGTTTTGCCCTCAAAAGGGCTTTTACATTCGAATTCGTTGCTATTATTTTTGGCATAATTATCTTTTTATATATAATTGACAAGTAAATTATCGTATATAATACCACTAGTGGTAAAATTTTACCGATAAAATTTTTGATTTTTATACGAATGTTTTTTTCTTGGAAATTTTTAAGACCACGAGCCGCTAGGCGAGTGGTTTGAAGTTAATGCCACGAGCGAAATTTCCAAGGAAAAATCTTGAGTAAATAAAAATCAAAAATTTTTTCAGGGAAAATTTTATCACGAGTGGTATTCGGCAAGACTATTTCACGAATATTTTTAACTGCTGATTCAATTTCTGTATGATTTTTTGGACCAAAACGCATATTTTTTAACATTTTAATTTTAAAATTAAAAACGTCAACAGTGACAATTATTTTTATCATAGCAACCAATTGGTTGTTATGCAACTCGTATAAACGAGTGGTTTTTTCACCTGAATAGTAGTTTTATCGCTGCAAAACTGAAAAAAACACTCGTTTTCTGAAATCTGATTGGTCCAAAAAGTAATGAGTGGAATAGTCAATAATAAATATTATTGTCAATTTGACAGTGTCAAAGTATTTAATTAAATTCTTTAGCAGAAGTACCATTTTTAAATACTAAAAAAACACGAACTGTATAATATACATATATAAATATACATATTATGTCGTCTGTGTGTGGAAGAATGTGGAGTTTACAGACAGTAGTGACATCTAACACAATACCAATCAATTTCAAACATCACTACTATAGAAAACTTGCCAATAACAAAGCGGAGCGAAGGTTCCGATTATGGTGGTTTATTTTCATTAAAATACCGACTTTTTCCACAGACTTTTTCAAAAACGAAGGTGTAGGCCCCATGCAAGAATTTTATACACAAATTATCATTAAACAGATTTTTTGTATTCTTTAAGTTGTCAACAAAACATACACGTTGGCAACCCTGAATAACAGCTTGGCGCAAATGTCAAAAAATCTTGGCGGTTTCCAAATAAACTTGTAGACGGTTATTTTAAAATTAAAGTTGTTAATACGAACTCTATCATGTCTAGCTTTAAAGAAAAATGTCAAGAATATTTCGACACGACCGACTTCTACGAAATTCTAAAAATAAACAGAGGGGCAACTGAAAAAGAAAGTAAGTAATAACATACAAATTCAAGCTTTGTTTAGTATGTTTATTAATTTTCAGTTAAGAAGGCTTATCACAAGTTATCGCTGCTTGTGCACCCCGACAGGGTGGACGAAAACCAGAAAGAATTAGCCACTGAGAAATTTAAAGTTTTGGGCAGAATTCATTCGGTGCTACAAGACGAAAACAAACGTAAAATCTACGATGACTGCGGAGAATTCGACGACGAAGGCGATACGTCGTTTAATTGGATGGACTATTGGAGGTCCATGTTTAAAAAAATTGAGCTCAGCGATATACAGAAGTACGAGCAAGAGTACATAGGTTCGGACACTGAAAAACGTGATATCAATCGAGCTTATGTCGGGGGTAAGGGAAACATGGACCATATCCTCGAGTCAGTGCCTTTCAGCAACTGTGCGAGCGAGGACAGGTACAAGGAGGTTGTCAGAGAAATGATTGATAAAGGTGAGGTGCCGGAGTTTGACGGGTTCTTCAATGAGAGCAAACAAAAGGCAGCAAGAAGACACAAGAAATGGCAGAAAGAAAAGGAACTGGCAGAAAAAATTAATGGTAAAAATATTGAGCTTCGTATAATAGTTTGACTGTAAACTTAAGCTTGATATAACTGTCTTAGGAATGTTATTATAAATCAAGTTTAAAGGTTTATAACTAAACTAAACATTGTTTTTTATAGTGGACGATCTTCAAAAGGAATTAGAGGAGAACATGAAAAAAAGAGCTGCTCAGTTTTCCAGTTTTTTAGAAAATCTGGAAAATAAACATGTTGCCAAAAAACGTAAGGCAATAACTGCCAAAAAGTCTGGCAAAAAAACTCGTGCAAAATAAAATAATACGTTCTATGTAAACCCACATTATTATTAGAAAATTAAAGTTTTTTATTTTTTTTTATTTTGGTACTTTAATAATTATAAATAAACATTTTTCACAATTTATTTTTTAATTATAATTAAGGAAGGAGTTGGTCTTGAGTTTTTTTGTATGGAAATATTGATTGCCCAAAAACAATCAGTTTTTAATAAAAAAAACAAAATTTCGGAAAAATTAATCTGGGAAAAAAATACAATACCTACCACAAAAGTATATTTATATGACACATTTTATAAATATACAGATTAATTTTTTTTAATTTAATTTAATCTTCCCATCTTGAAAAAAACCCAAATCTCAAATTTTGTGCAAAAGTTATTTTTTCTACTCCCACCTTTAAAACGCCCTTTATTGTACAGGTTTCCATGACACTAAGTGACCTTTTAAATACACATTGACAAGTTATGGCTTTATGGCGCTTTAGTCACGGGCTGAAGTTAGCAACAGGTTTTTAGTAACAGGCTGAAGTTAGTTTCAAGTTGATTGACAGTTGTCAAATGTCATACAATCGTTAAAATAAATTGCCTTTCTTGTAAGATATTACTAAATGTGAAAATTATTTTATTATCTCAATACAAAAATACAAAAGTGTTAAATAGTTTCTCAACGCCATGAAAAGTTTATATGAACATTGTACTGACCTTTTAATTTCGCCGGCAGTAAACTATAACTTAAATTCGGGCACGGACTCCACTGTAAAGTGCTCATAAAACATTTACTTTACTTTCACTGTGAAAAACTGTTCATTTTCAAGAAACTTATTTCGATTTATAACCTTTATAAAATATAAAAATTTGACATTTGACGGTGACACACAGATTCCCCTATTGTTTCATAGATGGCGCTCTATACAAATTTTTTATTTAAATCATTTTAAGATAATAAATAATAAAAGTATTTGTCGTAGAAAAAGTATAGTATGCACCTCGTTTATAAACTTTTCTATACACTCATTAATTAAATTCGTGTATAAAATGGCGTTTATTAAACTTGATACATAATATACTATTATTATCTCAACACAAAAATACAAAAGTATTAAATAGTTTCTTACCGGCAGTAAACTACATTAACTTCATTTCGGGTAAAGACTCCACTGTGGAAATAAAACATTTTTTTTACTTTCACTGTAAAAAAATCTTTCTATATCCGATTAAACGTTTATTTTCAAGCGATATATCGCTGTATGTATACATTTGTATTTACACAAAATTTTGATTTACACAAAAAATTTGACATTTGTCATAAAACACATTTTCAAGTTGGTAATTCTATTGTTTCATAGATGTCGCTCTATATAAATATTCAATTTAAATCATTTTTAGATAATGTGTTGGTCGAAGAAAAAGTATAATATGCAACTCGTTTATAATCTTTTCTAGGCGCTCATTTAATTAAATTCGTGTTTAAAATGGCGTTTATCAAACTTGATACATAATATACTATTTTAATTGTCCAGAAAAAACGTGGAAAACTTGTTTTTTCCTAACCTTTAAATCTTTAGCTAGGTTTTTAAAATTTGTTTGAAAAAAAATAAATAGACCAAAACATAGTAAAAGATTTATTTAAAAATAAATTAATTAACCATTAGCCATATGCACAACCGTTTGTTGGCCCAAAATTTATTGATTGACTATTATTTTTGGCTTACATTAGATGCTGTAAATAAAGTCAAATTATACACAAAAACAATTTAAATTAGTTTTTGTGTTAAATTTGACACATGTAGCCATTAAATCTTTGTGCATGTAACCATTTTAACAAAAAAAAATAAATTGTAGGAAATATAATATTTTACAGAAAACTCCCAAATTAACTCTCAATTTTGTGATTTGGCGAAAAGTATTTTATTGGTAAGTAAATCAGTGCTTTACAAAATTCTCTTAACTAGTAGTTTATTATTCTCTGTGTATAAGAACGTAGAAACCCAAACAGGCCAAAACAGCATACTGAAAAAGTTAAACGATTAAAACATGTTTTTGTATAGGTTAAATAACATATTTACCTTAAATTTAGGATATTCGTTCATTAAAATTGTGACCATTCCTACATAAGGCAAGAATCCTCTTGCTCTTCCGACAACATCTTTTTTCGTCAACCAAAGTTGCCCAGGAGCATACAACCCTCTGTCATCTACACTGTTATTGTCTCCTTTGGTTAGGAACTTAACTGTGCCATTATTTCTACAAAAAAATCTAATCTTAACTTTGTTTACCTATATTATTTAGAAAAAACAAGCAAAATTTCAAAAATAATTTTAAAAACTTATTCAAATGTTTAAAAAATGCCTTATTTTCCCTCAACAATTTGAAACACCTTGTATATAGTCCTTAAATACTAAAAAACAATAAACATTGGCCCAGTAAACAAAGATTTCTTCTTAAAAAAATCATAAACAATGCATTTATTTACTTTTCGTGAAGTTTTAATACTCTATGCACAATTGGAATGTCTCTTCCTTCAACTTTGAACACAACTATTTCTCCTACTCTTACAGGTTCTTCAGGGTAATTTGTCAAAAACAACAAATCCCCTCGATGGAATGCTGGTTCCATACTGCCAGATAAAACCACAACTATGGGGCTTTCGCTGCCTGTTACCACCATCAGACCCTTCCATATCATAAGAGCAGAGGACACTATCATACCAAAACTCAGAACTTGGTAGAGGAACTAAAAAACCATATGTCCGGTAATTTTCTCGATTTTTAACAAAACTCCAAAAGTTTTTTGGTTACCTGTCTTTTATTCATTCGTTTAACATCATCGAACATCGTGGCAATATCCATTTTTTATGTTTATTTCAGTATTTACTAGCTGTAAAACATCCACGTCAGTGTGAACAGGTTAGCGGTTGACATTTATCTCTGCATTTGTCTATTTAACATTAATATTACAGGAGCACCAACACATCTTTTTTTTTACAAATCCTTGATGTTTAGTGAACAATTGTTCTAAAATAAACTAATTTATGCCTATTTTATTAGAAACACCTAAATTAATAAATTTTTTTTTAAATAAGCGTTCTTTTAACAATTTTAATGATGCAGAATAATGATTACAGATTTTATGTTGGCCACATTGTTAAAACATAACCCCAAAGTTGGTTAAAATTTTTATTTTTGTTGTATTGTATATCCTTTTTCTATGGTTAAAATTGTATTATATTATTAAAAAGTATTTTATTTCTTATATGATGAGTATTCTTTTTAAAGACGACCATTGCTTTTTTATATGTCACAAACATTATATCGATAAAATATATAAAAAAATTCAAACAGAATCTTTAAAAAGTTACAAATTAAAGGAAGATTTATTTAATATTACTACACCATATAAAGCTTCGAGAAGTAATTACAATAATGAAATTGATCCTAGTAAAAGTGAGCTTGAAGTGGATATTTGCTATGTACGAGATGCGTATAAAAATTTTCAAGACAAACTTTATAAACAAGATATTTTAAGTAAACCTATGGGGGATAGTGAGAAAAATATTAAGGCTAAACTTATATCGGATAATATTTATTTGGAATCTACAAAATATAATGTTAAATCTGCATTTGGTGAAAATTTAATACCGGCTGTTAGAGAAGTAAACGGGTCAAATTTTCTTTTTCCGGAAAAGTGTTTGTTTTATTCTTTTGATGTAAATGATATCGATCAAAGATTAAATGATAAGAAATTTGATTTAATACTTTTGGACCCACCGTGGTGGAATAAATATATAAGGCGGAAAAGAAAGAAAAGCGACTCTGCATACCACATGATGTATAATGACGATTTAAAAAATATTCCCATTGAAGTTGTTTTGAAAGAGAGTGGCTTAGTTGTGGTGTGGTGCACAAACTCTCAGCAAAATTTAGACACGCTTATAAATGACATTTTTAAAAAATGGAATGTTGACTTTATTACAAAGTGGTACTGGCTGAAAATAACCAGGTTTGGAGAACCAATTTGTAGTTTTTCTAAACCTCCAGGAAAGCAACCATTTGAACAGATAATAATTGGAGGGAGAAATATTGATTTTCCCCAAGATTTCAACAAAAAGGTAATTGTCAGCATACCAAGTGCTATACATTCTCACAAACCACCATTGGAGGAAATTTTAAAGTTTGTCTTACCTGAAAATGCTGAAAAATTGGAGATATTCGCCAGATACCTTCTGAACGGTTGGACTTCATATGGAAATGAAGTATTAAAATTACAAAATGAGATTTTGTTTGATGTTACTTAAAATAAAGTATTTTAATCTGAAAAGGGGTTTAATTTGTGAAACAAAGACCATACTTATGTAATAATTTATTTAAAAAATGGTATTACACAAAAAATTTTAACGTTTTCCTCCTACTCTAGGTGCAGCTTTGGTTACATTTTTCGTAACCTTCTGTTTTGGGGCTGCCTTAGCTTTAGCGGGGGCTGCGGCTTTCTTGGCGGTCTTGGTGGTCTTCTTCTGTTCTTTAGCAGCACTATAAATAAAAAAGAAACATGAACAATTATGTGCTAAAAATTTAAAAAAAATATGTGATTACTAAAGGTACCTACAAAAATGAAACATGGAATTTTAAAGTGCTTGAAGCAGTTGGTTTTAACGTTTATAAAATATTTTTTTTTAATTTAAAACTTTATTGGTTTAAAAATATTATTTTTTTAATAAAAATATAATTTTTTTGGGCAGAATTTTTTTAATCATAAATAAATTTTTTATAAAGTTATATAGATTAAATTGGTTAAGTTAATTTTTTTACTATTAAAAAATAGTGTCAGGACATTTAAAATAAAAACAAATACATTTTCTAACAAAATAGTTTAAAAAGTTAAATTTGTTTAATCTCAAAACAATTTATAATCAAAAAATATTTTAAATATAAAATGCAAATGTAAAAGTTTCAAGTATTGGTTTTTAAAAATTGTAGATTTCATATTTTATTTTACAAAATTATTGGTTTAAATTTGTTAAGATATTTAAATGATAGTCAATAAATTTTTAATACAAAAATTCTCACATTACATTTAAATGTTAGTTTTAAATTTTAAAGTTGTAATTTTTGGATTAAAAATTTATCGAATATCATTTAAATTTTGTTTGAGAAATTTAGACCAAAAACTTTTTTTTTAACAAATTTAAATTGATACATTTTAAACCAAAACATATTCACATTACATTTAAATGTAAGTCGATAATTTTTAATTCAAAAAGTGTAAACGCTGCTTTAGCTTTAGCATAATATGGTGCAGATTTCGCGATTTGTACGTTTCACCGACAGCGTACGAAGTCTACGTTTACAATTTGTAAATTAAAAATTATAGACTTACATTTAAATATAAAGTTATAAATTTTGTGCTAAAAATGTATCAATTTAAAATTGTCAAAAATAAAAGGTTTTGGTTTGAATTTTTAAAGTCATTTAAATTTTTAATCCAAAATATATTACTTTAAAATTAAAACTTACATTTACCTAAATGTAATGAGAATTTTTTATTAAAAATTTATCAACTATACTTTAAATGACTGTAAATTTAAACCAAAAATTGTTTACAATCAAATATTTTTTTTAAGCAATATTTTTAAGCTTAAAGTATTATAGTTGTATTTTATATTTAAAAAATTTATTGACCATCAATTGTTTTGAGTTTAAAAAAATATATGTAACTTTGTTAATTTCTGTTAAAACATCATTAAAGTGCTAAACTTTAATCTTCATACTATTATCTAAAAAATGCTAAAACGGTTAGGCAACATATTATATATATATTATATATATAAAAAATAGTATATTGAGAAGTATACTTGGCGTTTCAAGATTTAAGAATGAAGTTCAAAAATAAACATTTTGAACATCACCAAATTCTTTGACAGTTAAAAAACCATTAACAGCGTATTTTGAAGTTTATAAAATTAATTTTTAAAACACCCTCTATTGGAAAATATTTTAACTACAAATTGAGAAATAGTAAGATTTTCTATTTACCAAAATATGAAATATCCAAAACTAAGCCAATTCTTTCTAATATTAATTAAATTGTAAAAGAGCCTTCACATTGATTATTAATCAAAATTCTATAATTTGGGGGTGGAAAAATTAATCTGCTACTATCAAAACCCCTTAAATCCGTTTTTGATGAAAAATGAGATATACCTATGCATTTGAATGGTTGCAAAATCTACCAAGTATACAGTATTTCCATGAATGGGGTTAGAAAAAGGAAAAACATTTTTTTACATTTCTCAGGAAATTTCATTCTTGATAAAAGTCTTTGCTTGATTTCAAACCCCCAGAATTTATTCTCTATGGTTACTTTGAAATTTTGATAAAAATCCTTTCCAACTAATAAATCTTTTCAAAATACTCCATGGATATTATTAATTATTACTTTAAGTAAAAATTAATGGAGATTGATAAAAAATGTATAAAATGCATTGACAACTTTGAACATGTCAATAAGAACATTTGAAAAATGAACAAAACTGGCCAAAAATAGTTTTCTTGTTTTAATTAAAATTTGACACATTTGGTACTGTATGTCAATATACTGTCACCTATATATATTTAATAATAAAAAAACGTTCTAAAAATATTTTTTTTTAAGTAGGTAAATTAAAAATATGCTGTTAAAGACCGTATTTTTGTTAGTATACCCTGAAAATTTTGTACAAATCAAACGAACAGTAACGAAGGTACAGCGCTTCAAAGTCGGTAAAAATGACCCCTTTTTGACTATTTTGCTGAAAAATGGTCATTTTTGACGAATTTGAAGCGCTGTATTTTCGTTAGTGTTCGTTTGATTTGTACAACATTTTCAGGGTTTACTAACAAAAATACGGTCTTTCACAGGATATTTTTTATTTACCTCAAAAAAAAATTTCTCTATAAAAGATTGGTAAAGGCGTTTTAGACTTGTTATGCGTTAATTTTGACGCAGTGTCACAATTATATTCCCACTAAATTAGTTTGTTTTACTTGATGTAGCCAATTAAACCCCCCAAATTTTTAAAGATGTCAAATTCGGAATAAAAAAAACAAACTGCAAATTAACTGTGGACAATAAAAATGATGTTTAAAGTCAAGCAAAAAGTTTTATCAAGAATACTGTATATAAAATGAACTCTAAAAAGTGCACTCAGATTCAAATGCCATTTAATCCATTTGATCTAATTTTCACACAACTTGCCATATATTCAAAATCCATTAAGTCCAATAGTGGGTTTCAAATCCCACAACTTCACCGTTAATTTCAAATTTTTGAGTTCATTATAACAATGTTGTTGTCCTTGTTACAACCAGTTAAAATTTCACAAAACGGTGATTTAACTTATTTGAAAAATAGTATTATAACATAATAACAAATTTCACAAGGTCCGAACCTATGAATCCAAATCTTCAGCGTAACATAACTCGCAGAAACTAAAATCCAACTTACCGGATGGCTTGTTCTCTCTGTGCTTTCCTGACTTCGGGCCTTTGGTTACGTTTGGCCATTATGTCGGTCAAACTGGCACCTACGATAGCACGTTGGAACTTTTGGGTTCTACGTGTGCGTTTTTTGGTGGCCTCTTCTTCCTGGCCCTTCTTGTGTTTCCTGCGGTACAACACCGTCCACGTCACTTTACGTGGGTTCCTCTTCATCAAATGAGCACGCTCACATTTCGAGTTCAGGAATGTGAAGTTCTAAAAACAGAAACAAAACAAAGTGAGGTTATGTCGATACTCATATTTGTCTCCATATTCCGCTATTTGAGCGTTATTTCGGCCAAAATTACACCACCACGAACACTACTCAATTAGTACAAATACATATAGGAAAACTTACCTTTCCATCAACTTTGACCAAGGTTTTGCCATGGCCTGGGTAAATTTTGTACCCACTGTAGGCGCAAAGACCAATCCTAAAATAAAAAATTTAATTAGCATCGCGTGAAATCGAACCCGATGAACAAAAATAAAGCATTAAAACTTCATTTTGATTGAGGATGTTCAAAATATTTTAGGAAAACGAACACCAACTTACTTCATCTTGTCAAATTACTTAAAAAGGAAGACAGAGCTTGCGCGAAAAGAATCGTAGTGAAGTTCGTGCGATCAAATGCGCATGTCTCAAAGTGGCGCCAAATTCAAATGTCAAACACAAAATCTATTCAAATTTAAAATGTCCAACGATGGTGAATATGGAATTTTATTGCACGAAAAATTAAGCGACTGTATTTCCGTGAACAATACAACCACCGATGAGGAAAAAGAATCCACATCGGTTGATTTAGTTATTTGTACTTCTGATAGCGATACTTCGTTGGAAGATAACGATTATTTTATCGAAGCGGAATCCAGACAAACGCGTTTAAAAGAAAGACTAGCTACTTTACAAATAGCGTTGGAAACATTGCAAGAGCAGTTAAAGGAGGAAACAAACTTATGGCGGAAAGAAGTTGAGGAGACGATACTTCTTCAAAGGCAACAAGAGGAAAAATTGGATGAATTTTGTTCTGAACACCATTTAACGCATAGTGAATATTTTCAAAGACAATCGCTGCAGCTGCAGGAAGCTATTTTAAAAGCTCAAGCGGCCAAAAGGGCGAAAATTCAGAGGGAAATTGCGATAACTTCGTATAAAACGCAGCTATTACAAGTTGAAAACATGTGCAACTTGGAATTGACAAGAGTAAAGCAGAGCAAGCAAAATTTGCAGCCGTTGCAAATGATTGCGTCCGAATGGAAGATGAATGATAAAGGTGATTTTAACAGAGATGAAGAAAGGCATGACAACGAAAATATTTCTACGGCAAATAGCCAGTTAAGCATTGAGGATTCAGTAAAGGAATTGTATAACAATATGGATGAAATGTTTAATGAATTAGCGTTCAAGTTCGCAGCTGCGGGCTCGGAATTTGTTTTTCAATGTGAACTAAATGAGAATTGTCAAGCAGCTGCAGCTGAGATTCAATATGAAAATGTATAAATTTTTATTTAGTTAAAAAAAAAATTAATGAAATAATATTGACAATTATTATAGTGAAAACAAAAATTAATGTAAATAAAATATTTATTGAACATTACAGTAAACAATTAACTATTTTTTTGACCATATCATTCAGAAAGGTTAGCTAAGATTTGTAGGCTCAGCTGCTGAGCCTCAGCATCTAAACACACTGAAAAACTGTCATGCCATGAACATATTTAGAAAGGTTAGTTAAGATTTGTTGACTTAAAATTTAAAAACACTGAAGAATTCTAATGCAGCTGCAGCTCAGTTTGAGGTTTAATGTGATAAATTATGATTTCTTAATTATAAAAAAACAAAATTTAATGAAATATAATATTTATTGAACATTTATTATAGTGTTAACTGTAAACAATTAACTATTTTCATGACCATATTATTCAGAAAGGTTAGCTAAGATTTGTAGGCTCAGCTTTTAAAAAACTGAAGAATTGTCTTGACATGACCATATTTAAAAAGGTTAGTTAGGATTTGTTGGCTTAAAGTTTAAAAACACTGAAGAATTCCAATGCAGCTGCAGCTCAGTCTGAGGTTTAATGTGAAAAAGTAAGATTTCCTAATTATAAAAAAAAACAAAATTTAATTAAATAAAATATTTATTGAACATTTATTATAGTGTCAACAGTAAACAATTAGCTATTTTCATGACCATATTATTCAGAAAGGTGAGCTAAAATTTGTACGCTCTGCTTTTAAAAAATTGAAGAATTGTTATGACATGGCCATATTTAAAAAGGTTAGTTAGGATTTGTTGGCTTAAAATTTAAAAACACTGAAGAATTCTAATGCAGCTGCAGCTCAGTCTGATGATTTCTTAATTATAAAAAAAACAAAATTTAATGAAATATAATATTTATTGAACATTTATTATAGTGTTAACAGTAAACAATTAACTACTTTTATGACCATATTCAGAAAGGTTAGTTAAGATTTGTTGGCTCAACATATAAAAACACTGATATATTTTGGATTAAAGCCATTAATGAAGTAAATATAGTTTTAGTTAATTTTAGGTTATAAAAGGCAAATTTAGTGTTGCCAAAAAAAATTGACCCAACAAATCTTAACTATCCTTTGTGTATACAATTATCGAGTAATAATACATCCAAGTATATAATAGGAAATTTTAATGTATAACTACGTTTACAGGGGTATAAAACATTATAAAATTTATTACTAACAGTTTAAAAATATAATTCGTTAATTTAACATTGGAATGGAGAGATCACATACATGATATTAAACATAAACATTAAAAAAAATAACCGATAAATTAACCAATTAAATAAAAGGACCACGATTTTTTTCGTTCGAGTTTTTGGGTAATTAATCGAAACATTATAAAAAAATAAAATTGTTAAAATACTGGTAGCAATCTTGGCCACGTAAAAAGTAAAAAGAATGAAAAAAAAGTTTTCGAAGACAAATTAAAAGGAGAATCCACCATTAGGCACTTGTGTTGGGGTGGCGAATTGTATCTGGCCATCGGAAGTTGTTGGGGCTGGCATATCTTCAGCTCCATTCTAAAAGGATTTATTTTTTATAAAAACCATTTGTTCAGCCATTTTTTTAAATTTTAAAAAATACCCTTACGCATTAAATTACCCGACCACCAGATGGATATCAATTGTATTCGACTTACCTCAGAAAAGTAATTTTCGATAATGTTGAGAGCTTTTTCGTAAATCTTTTCGTTGTCGTGCGATTGTAGGGCTTCGATTCCGTCCAAACCGCCGCATTCTTCAATCAAAATGGCCACTTTCTCTACTTCACCCATTTTATTAGCAGCCTAAGGAAAAAACAACATTGCTTCAAACAAATACAGTTTTTTATTTGGGATTTCTTTTAAGGTTTACTATATTAAAATTATCCCAAGAATTAAAAGTCCATGAGTCTTAAAACTTCCTAAAATTGTCTATCCCAACTGTCCATAAAGTATACTATACTAAAGTTAACTCAAAACTATAAATTTGGAACTTTCTAAAATGCCTTAAAATATTTAGAAGTTTTAAAATGGTCGTAAATGTGAACAGTTGTCCTACAACCGTCTTAATTCCTAAACTGTCTAAAATTGTCCTAAAACTGTCTAAAATTGTCCTAAACCCTTAGAACTTTCTAAAATCTAAAATCAGATCTATCAAAAAGTTTAAAAATGGTCCCAAAACCATCTTAGGAATTTCTAAATTGCATTCAAATGTTTAGAACTGTTTAAATGTCCTAAAATTGCCAGAACTGTTACCTAATGTCCGTAAATGTTAACTGCTCAATAAAATTGTTTATGAGTAAACCTAAACTTTATAAAAAAGTACTATTTAAAAACTATTTAAAAATTGTCCTAAATCATTTTAGGACTAAAATTCTTAGAACTGTTTTGAAGTGTCCTAAAATTATCTGAACTCTAAAACCGTTTAGAACTTTCTAAAATGCTGTAAAATGTTTAAATTTATAAAATTGTATGAAACATTTTAGTATTCCAAAAACTGTCTTAAATTATAATAAACCTTAAAACTTTTTAAAACGCCTAAAAATTCTGCGAACTGTTAAAATGTCCTAAACCCTTAGAACTTTTTAAAATACAATTTGAATTTTTAAATGTATTAAAATCAATGTTAAAAAATGTATAAAGAGTATATACATACAAAGAACTACAACAGTCCATCAGATTTATCAAAAATGTTTAAATATTGTCCTAAATCCATCTTAGGAATTTCTAATTTGCATTCAAATGTTTAGAACTGTTTAAATGTCCTAAAATTGCCTAAACTGTTACATAATGTCCGTAAATGTTAACTGCTCAATAAAATTGTTTAAGGAGTAAATCAAAACGCTATAAAAAAGTATTATTTAAAAACTATTTAAAAATTGTCCTAAAATCATTTTAGGACTAAAATTCTTGGAACTGTTTTGAAGTGTCCTAAAATTATCTGAACTCTAAAACCATTTGAGAACTTTCTAAAATGCTGTACAATGTTTAAATTTCTAAAATTGTATGAAACATTTTAGTATTCCAAAAACTGTCTAAAATTATAATAAAACCTTAAAACTTTTTAAAACGCCTAAAAATTCTGCGAACTGTTAAAATGTCTTAAACCCTTAGAACTTTTTAAAATACAATTTGAATGTTTAAATGTATTAAATGTCTAAAACTGTATTTAAAGTATCCCAAAATGGTCTAAACAAAGAACTACAACAGTCCATCAGATCTATCAAAAATGTTTAAAAATTGTCCTAAATCCATCTTAGGAATTTCTAAATTGCATTCAAATGTTTAGAACTGTTTAAATGTCCTAAAATTGCCTGAACTGTTACATAATGTCCGTAAATGTTAACTGCCCAAAAAAATTGTTTTAGGAGAAAACGAAAACTTTATAAAAAGTACTATTTAAAAATTGTCCTAAAATCATTTTGAGACTAAAATCCTTAGAACTGTTTTGAAGTGTCCTAAAATTATCTGAACTCTAAAACCGTTTTAGAACTTTTTAAAATGTTGTAAAATGTTTAAATTTCTAAAATTGTAAGAAACATTTAAGTATTCCAAAAACTGTCTTAAATTATAATAAACCCTTAAAACTTTTTAAAACGCCTAAAAATTCTGCGAACTGTTAAAATGTCCTAAACCCTTAGAACTTTTTAAAGTACAATTTGAATGTTTAAATGTATTAAAATCAATGTCTAAAACTGTATTTAAAGTATCCCAAAATGGTCTTAACAAAGAACTACAACAGTCCATCAAATCTATCAAAAATGTTTAAAAATTGTCCTAAAACCATCTTAGGAATTTCTAAATTACATTCAACTGTTTAAATGTAATAAAATTGCATGTACTGTTACATACTGTCCGTAAATGTTCTGAAATGTTCTGAAGTGTCCTAAAATTCTCTGAACTAAAAATATCCTAATACCGTTTAAAATTCACTATCACGGTGCTGTTCTGAGAGGTGATTTTTGGACTTTCCGTAAAACCTATTTTTTTATATTCTTGTTAATTAGGTCATAACTAAAATTTTAAGAGCAAAATAAAAAAAATTGACGGTTAATTTTGTTTTAATTGGATGTTTATTAAAATATGTATGCACACTTTCAATTCTCCAATTAAAACTTGCGATTTTATTTAAATATTATCATAACTTTTTAAATCAGATTAAAGATTAGTTAATTTCCTAAAAAAGGTCTATACATTTTTTATATCTTTTACTGTTTTGTTGTAATACACGTTTAAAGTTTTAATTAAAGGTTAAATGTATAGTATACATTTATTAAACAATAATTCTAAGGGTGCCACATTTTATTTAGGGCCGATTTGTTCATTTTTGATTTATTTGATGAATAATTTCTTTTGATACTAGATATTGCCAAGACATGAAAGTTATCGGCCCCATAAACTTTACTAAAGATGAATAAACGGCCATTTCAAGCGGATGGACGGGACAAATCACAAAACTGTTTTTATAAAAAAAATTGTAGGTAATTTATTATATATTATTTTTGCATCAAAATTGTCAAATATATTCTTCTATTATTAATCTATACATTAAATAAAAAAAATCGCAAGAAATATTTTATAAAAGTAGAGATAATTTCAATAATTGACAGGGGATGGACGGGACAAGATAAATCTTTTTTTGTCCCGTCCACACCTTTCAATTATTAAAATTATATCTACTTTTATGAAATATTTCTTGCGTTTTTTTTTATTTAATGTATAACCTAATAAAAGAAGAATATTTTTGACAATTTTGATGCCAAAATATTATATAATAAATAATCTACAATTTTTTTTATAAAAACAGTTTTGTAATTCGTGCGTTTTGCGCGCTTGAAATGGCCGTAAACCGGTCCTTAGTTAAATTTCATGAATTTCTTCGTAACTTTTACTACAATTTTTCATTTTTGTTTATAAAAAACACTTTAAAAAACTAAACAAAAACTATAGAATACGTATACTGAAAATGACAATTCAAACGTCAAATAAATTTTTAATAGATCCAAGTTTCATGGCAACCTTTAAGGATATATTAATTAAGGGAACATAAATGTATACGTCAAAGGTTAGATTAAAAGTTTGAACGTTTATTGCAACAAAACAGTAAAATATATAAAAAAAATTGTAAAAACCTTTTTTTTAGTTATGAAAATATTAAATATTTAAATTAAATCGCTAGTTTTAATTGGATAATTGAAAGAGTGCATAATATTTTTAATAAACAGCCAATTAAAACAATTCAAACCGTCAGTTTTTTTTATTTTGCTCTTAAAATTTTAGTTATGACCTCATTAACAAGAATATAAAAAAAATTAGGTTTCAAAGAAAGTCCAAAAATCACCTCTCAGAACAGCACCGTGCTAAACCCTTAGAACATTCTAAAAAGCCTTGGAATTATTAGAACTGTTAAAATTTCCTAAAATTGTCTGATCTGTAACATTTGTAGTGTAAAATGTACCTATTTGTCTTAAAAGTTTCTAAAATACTTTAAATTTTGTAAATGTACTAAAATTGTATGAACCATTTTAGTATTTCAAAAACTTTAAATTTTCCAAAAACTTCAACTCTCTAATATACTTAAAATATTTTAGAACTGCTGAAATGTCCCAAAATTGATCAGTCTTATTAGTGTCCAACATATCTTAAAAATCGTAGTGTATGAAGTATAATTTGTCTTTAAATGTCCTAAAATTCTGTTTTCAAAAAACTGTCTAAAATTGTCCTAAACCCTTAGAACATTCTAAAAAGCCTTGAAATTATTAGAATTGTTAAAATTTCCTAAAATTGTCTGATCTGTAAAATTTGTAGTGTAAAACGTACCTATATGAATTATTTTGGTATTCCTAAAACTTTAAATTTTCCAAAAATCTCAGAACTCTCTAATATACTTAAAAATTCTTAGAACTGCTGTCCCAAAATTGATCAGTCTTATTACTGTCCAACATATCTTAAAAATCGTAGTGTAAAAAGAATAATTTGTCTAATGTTCTAAAATTTTAAGTTTTCAAAAAACTGAAACTTGAAATTATTAGAACTGTTAAAATTTCCTAAAATTGTCTGATCTGTAATAACTGTTAAATGTATCTTAAAATTTGTAGTGTAAAACGTACCTATTTGTCTTAAAAGTTTCTAAAATGCTTTACAATGTTTAAATGTCCTAAAATTGTATAAACCATTTTAGTATTCCAAAAAGTGTCTAAAAATATTCTGAAGCTGTTAAAAATCTCCTAATACCGTTCAAAATCCACTATAAGTTTCCAAAAACGATTTTAAGTGGTCGCTACTCACGTTAAGGATGTTGCAGAGCCCGTCGAGCACGACGACCACCGTCTTGTAGTCCTTCGAGTTGAGCAGGTTGCACATGGGCTTCAGGGCGCCGAGCTCGACGAGCCGCGCCAGCTGCGCCACCGTGCCGCCGCTCGTGTAGTTGGTGACGGCCCACGCCGCCTCCTTCTGCGACTTGAAGTCGCCGGTCTGGAGCACGTGCAGCAGCGGCGGCAGGATGCCGGCGTCCAGCACCTTCTGGATCTGCTCGCTGTTGCCTGCCGTCACGTTCGAGATCGTCCACGCGGCCTCCTTGACGATGTTGAGCCGCGGGTGCTGAAGGAGCTTGCCCATCACGTTCAGCGACCCGGCGGCGATTACTGTGTCGGTCTGAAAACGGCGCGTCGTCACTTTTTGCGGCGGGCAAATACACGCACGGGCAAAATAATCGAGCCGCACAAATTTTCGATTAATTTCAATCGCAAATAACTTTTTTATTTGATGTCGGATTTAAACGAATATTAAAGAATATTGTAGATAAATTAATGGACAATCGCTCACATTTTAAAAAATACTAAAAAATACACGTACGTTTATAATATACAGGTTTAAACAAAAAGATGTTTTTTACCATAAGTTTAAGACACTCTGTAGAGTGGCAAAACCGTAGGTATATTGTTCTAAATTAAGTTTTATTTATCAAGTCACATCTATTTTTAACAGTTTTGTTTTTGGTTCACCTTGTTATATTTATTTTTGTGGAAAATATGGATTTTTAAAAAAACATTGCAATTTCCAATATTTTTCCTTTATAAAGAACTAAGGTTGCTATGGTCCATCCATAGCTAGAGGTAGCGATATTATCGATAGTTTATCGATAGTTTCGATATTTTAAAAACTATCGAATTATCGATTCTATCGATAGTGACAGACCATCGTCTAGCGATAGTTGTTTCAAAAAAAAAAATATTATTATAACTATGGTTGTTTTTTTTATTCGAAATTTGACGAAGTTAAAAATTTGGGGTTTTAGTTGGCAAAATCTAGGGACCCTAGATTTACCAAAGGTGGTAATCCTAAGAAAAAACAAAAAAAAAACTGTTAAATCAAGTAAACTATCCATTCGGGTTTCGTTCTTCGAAGAGTGCACTTGGTTCATGACCTGTGACCCTGGAGGGACGAAATTGGAATCCCAGCACAAAAATACGCTGGTCAGTGTCATAAATACAAACTCTACAATAGATTTGTTAATGTACGAACAATTTCCACGATGAATGACTGAAATATTTAAAGAAAAGTCTGTGCATTTGCCATGTGGTGCATGGTTGGAATGGAAAAAATAATGGAGTTTAGAAGTGTATTATATTAATGTTAAATATATGGATCATGAATGTAACGTAATGTGTTTAGAAGGATGGTGAATAAATCTAATTTTGTGAATAAAGAAGTGAAAAAAGAAACTAAAAGTGACAAAAATAATAATAAATAAAATATAAAACCAAGAAGAAAAGGAGTAAGCTATAGGTTATCCTAGACTCGCTTGCTCCAGTATAATATTTAATAAAATACAGCTGGGAAAGTCCAATCAAACCGAAGAAGAAGAAGAAGAAGTAAACTATCAAAATATGTGCTGTCAATTATTTTATTGTTGATGTCATGGAGCCTACACAAGGAGTCCGAACTGCATGTAAACAAGAATCTTCCTAAGGAAAGTAGGCGCTGGTGTACCGTTTCTTCTGAAACAATTGACTAATTTGTACTGAAACGCTACCAAAAGAGCAGACGTCAGTACGCATCAACAATCAGCGCCGCTGGTGGTGAACTTAATTTGTGCAATTTAGAGGGCAGGTTTTGTCGATTTTCCCTATTAAGTTCGGGCTCCTTGTGTAGGCTCCATGTTTTGAAACTCGATAGCTATTATAGATTTTGATATAAAGGTTTTAATAACTAAGGTAGATATTTATATAGAAATACTAAACTATATTTTTGACTCTCCTGTATTTGGTAGGTTGAAAATGTGGCACTATAAAAATATTTTTTAATAAAATAAAAACTATAGGGTTTTGAAATTTTAGTTAACTATCGATAGTATCGATAGTCGCTTTTCTCACTATCGATAGTCTACTTTTGTCCACTATCGCTACCTCTATCCATAGCCTATGGAGGATGACAATGACAGTTTTGTTGAATCATCCCATACTTGGACATGTCATATACAGCTTTCAAAAGCTATCAAATTGTTTTTTGTAAATTAATGTGTTAATTTTGAGGTGTCTTCTCACTTTTAAAAATGTCTCTGACTGATGTTGCCCTTTGTACTTTACTTCTTGTGACGTTTAAAATACTTGCCATTGTGACCGTCCATCCTGGATTAAATTAATGGCTCTGGCAACATCAGTCGGAGACATATCCATTTTTTAAAGTAAGAGGACACCTCAAAATTTAAACATTAATTTGCAAAAAACAATTTGATAGCTTTTGAAAGCCGTGTATGACATGTCCAAGTATGGGATGATTCAACAAAACTGTCACTGTCATTCTCCATAGGCTATGGATGGACAATAGCAACCTTAGTTCTTCATACAGAAAAATATTGGAAATTGCAATGTTTTTTTTTTAAAATCCATATTTTCCACAAAAATAAATATATCGAGGTGAACTAAAAACAAAACTGTTAAGAATAGATGTGACTTGATAAATAAAACTTAATTTAGAACAATATACGGTTTTGCCACTCTACAGAGTGTCTTAAACTTATGGTAAAAAACATATTTTTGTTTAAACCTGTATATTATAAAAGTACGTTTAATTTTTAGTAATTTTTTAAAATGTTAGCGATTGTCCATTAATTTATCTACAATATTCTTTAATATTCGTTTAAATCCGACATTAAATAAAAAAGTTATTTGCGATTGAAATTCATCGAAAATTTGTGTGGATCGATTATTTTGCTTGTAAGTGTAATACAGACTGTGCCAAAAAAATCGACTATTTTTTTTGTAAAGTATATCGAAAATATTGTTTGGGGGGACAAAAAAAAAATTATGGTAAAAGTTTAAGTCCATAATATTAATATTAAGAGGTCTATTATCGCAATTTTAGATTTTTTTTCCTGAGCGAGTTTTTGTCCCAGAACTCCCAAACCATTGAGTTTAAAAAAAAAGACTTAAGAATATTTTTTCAAGAAAATTGAATGTTCTACATAAAAGATTTGATTGAAATTTCCCGTCAGATAAACCGTTTTCTTACAATCATGCCTTAAAAATTGGTATACTTTTACAATTTGATCTTTTAACTTTGGAATTTTGTAATTCATGTAAAAATCAGTACCCGGAAAAAACCGATAAATATTCTTATGGGAAATCAAATGCTGTACAAAAAAAGTCTCCAAACATTTTTGGCTAAATTCACTCCATCAAAAGTTATTCAAGGTTAAATTTAAGTTAAAACAAAATTCTTGTTTTTCCGCTCTATATTTTTTTTTGGGTCAGTTAAAAACTTGAATTCTTTTATCTATGAAAATCCTTGTTATTGATAAAACTACTGAAAATTACAAAAAATAACACTTTAGAGTTTTTTTGCTTTAAGAAGCTATTTTCTTTAGAAAATATTATTTTCACTGTTACCTATTTAATCGTTTAAATAATAACAATCATGTTGATTTTTTATTGGAAATTGTTAATTAGTTATATAATACACATATATAAAGAAAAAAATAAAATTATCACCCATAAAAAAATAAATCTACAGAGAAAAAAAGAATTTCGTTATGACTTCAACTTTAACCTTAAATAACTTTTGATTGAGTGAATTTAGGCAAAAATGTAAAGAGGCTTTTTTGTAAAGCATTTGATTTTCCATAAGAATATTCATCGGTTTTTTTCTGGGTACTGATTTTTACATGAATTACAAAATTCCAAATGTAAAACTATACCAATTTTTAAGGCATGATTTTAAGGAAACGGTTCATCTAAAGGAAAATTTCATTTTAACCTTTTTTGTAGAGCATTTAATTTTCTTAAAAAAATATTTCTGAGTCAATTTTGTTAAACTCAATAGTTTCTGAGACAAAAACTTGCTGAGAATTTTTTTTTGTCACCCCAAACCATATTGATTTTTTTTGGCCCAGTCTAGAGCCACATAAAGTGACTTTCTTGACATAAAATCGGGGCTGGATGGATCATAGTGTAATTGTTCATTTATTGTCCATTAAAAAAAGCGGGACTTTTATTTAATTAATTAATAATAAAAGCCCTTTTGGTATTATCTTTAAGCGGCAGAAAAAGTAATTTACTGCGAAATGTCACAAAAGTTTGTCAGGGAGAGAGTGGCGTTTTAAACTCTCATATGCAGATGGCGCTGTAAAAACGTACCTGTGTGTCGTTTCCGGTGACAATGTTGCCGACGGCTCTGAGAGCGGGGGTCAGCACAGTATTGACATCGCTGTATAACAGCTGCACAAGTCTTTCGATCATTCCGGTATCCAATACAGCCTGGATTTTTTCGTTGGTTCCATCTGTTAGGTAGCTCAAAGCCCAGCACGTGTCGGCCAGGACATCTTTGTCGCCGTAGGTTAGCAACTAAAAGAAATAAACCATTGCTGTGTCTAGTGTTTAAAAAATTTCGACGCACGGAGGTTTAAAATCGCGATTTTCTGGCCAAAACCTAAAGTATTTAAGTCTAATTTGGGTACAAATTATTATAGGTGTTTATTTATTCATTTCCTAAACGGCAGTGTTGATGTATGGTTTTTATATATTCATTTTCTATAAAGAACGTTTAAAGTAGCAACTACAAATCGTTTAATTGTCATATGAATTTTAGGAATATGCACAGGGCTCCCACATTTTATTTAGGATAATTTTAGGAGAAATAAAGTATTCAAATAAATTTAAGTAATTAAATAAAAACAACTGTACTGTACTAATATAAATAAATATTACTTCTTTTGTCCAAATAGGTTACATTAACTAGTTTTTTAGCCAAATCACTAGACGAGTTTTTTTTAATAAAATTAAAAGTGAGGTAAAATTACTACTTTTTTATTTATCTGAGGTAAATAGGTATAAACACAAGTAGAAATTTCACCACACTTTTAATTTTATTTAAAAAAAACGCGTCGATAGATTTGGCTACAAAACTAGGCCAAAATCAAGTGATATTATATTTATATTTTAACCGTTTAGTTAATAACTAAAAATAATTGTAAGTGGATGTGTCACTCAAAAATCACATAATAGAAAAAATATAAAGTTTGAAAAATACAGCAAGACATTCTTTAGATGTTTACTATTTTAGCTGTCATTTAAAAGAAAATTAAAAATCCTTTTGTTTGATATATAACACGGTATATTTTTGTCGAAAACAAAGGAAATATGGCTAAAATCATTTTAGTAAAATGACAATTTTGTAGAAGTCTGGATATTGTTTTTAGCTATATTTTTTGTTTTTTAGAAAAATGTAGACTTTAATAAACTAGAACCTAAAAATATATATTTTTTAAGTTAATTTTTAAAAAAGAATTTTTTTAGCTCAACTATAGGCAGTCAGGTTGGCCTATTAATATTTAATTTTTAGTAGTTTTGGGATATTGATGGCAATTTTAGGAGAATTTTAGGAGTTTTCAAGACTAAAGCCAAATTTTAGGAATTTTATGAGTTTTAGGAGACGTGGGAGCCCTGTATGCAGCAACATGTTTTTGATCCCACGAGATCCCCCAATATTTTCAAATGATTTAAGTAGAAAAAGGTATAGAAAATAAAATACCGTTATAAGATTTTCCCGGTTTTTCCCTATTTTGTAACAAATATAGCCCCTTACAATAATTGCGTTAATTAAGAAATGCCGTTTTTTCTCCGAAAAAATAATGTATAGGTGTCTATTAGAAAGGTTAATTTGGCTTCTTTCGTTGATTTACTTACATTTTTGTTCCGTTATTAGAGACGGTAAAATGTTTAGTATTTGTCGAAAAATATTAAATGCAAATCTTGACACCCAGATAACAATAATTTTGTCGCAATTGAAATCAAGATGGAAAGTGATGAATAGAATAAAGTTACGCGGATAAACCTTTTCTGCTAAAAAATGTTTAAAAGTGTGTGTCCGCCATTTTGAATTTGGAAATTTTAAGGTTATTAGCGACCACAAAAACCCCTAGTAACAAAATTTGGAAAATAAATACATATATAACTTAGGTTTGGGTCAGGAATTTGCGATTTTAGAGCACCGTGTTTAAAATAAAAAATCAAAAAAACTCTTGCATTTTTTCCGTATTATCCGTAGTCACGGGTACTGTTCTGAGAGGTGATTTTTGGACTTTTTGTGAAACCTAATTTTTTTTTTATATTCTTGTTAATTAGGTCATAACTAAAATTTTAAGAGCAAAATAAAAAAAATTTGACGGTTAATTTTGTTTTAATTGGATATTTATTAAAAATATGTATGCACACTTTCAATTCTCCAATTAAAACTTGCGATTTTATTTAAATATTATCATAACTTTTTAAATCAGATTAAAGATTAGTTAATTTCCTAAAAAAAGGTCTATACATTTTTTATATCTTTTACTGTTTTGTTGTAATACACGTTTAAAGTTTTACTTTAAGGTTAAATGTATAGTATACATTTATTAAACAATAATTCTAAGGGTGCCACATTTTATTTAGGGCCGATTTATTCATTTTTGATTTATTTGACGAATAATTTCTTTGGATACTAGATATTGCCAAGACATGAAAGTTATCGGCCCGATAAACTTTACTAAAGATGAATAAACCGGTCCTTAGTTAAATTTCATGAATTTCTTCGTAACTTTTACTACAATTTTTCATTTTTGTTTATAAAAAACACTTTAAAAAACTAAACAAAAATTATAGAATACGTATACTGAAAATGACAATTCAAACGTCAAATAAATTTTTAATAGATCTAAGTTTCATGGCAACCTTTAAGGATATATTAATTAAGGGAACATAAATGTATACGTCAAAGGTTAGATTAAAAGTTTGAACGTTTATTGCAACAAAACAGTAAAATATATAAAAAAAAATGTAAAAACCTTTTTTTTAGTTATGCAAATATTAAATATTTAAATTAAATCGCTAGTTTTAATTGGATAATTGAAAGATTGCATAATATTTTTAATAAACAGCCAATTAAAACAATTCAAACCGTCAAATTTTTTTTATTTTGCTCTTAAAATTTTAGTTATGACCTAATTAACAAGAATATAAAAAAAATTAGGTTTCACAGAAAGTCCAAAAATCACCTCTCAGAACAGCACCGTGGTAGTACGAATCGGAATTTTTTTACAAATTTCCGAATTTTCAGTAAAATTCATTTTTGTCTTAAATAAATTTTATTTTGGTATTTTAATCATTAAAAGTATTTTAAACGGAAAAATTTGCAAAAAAAATCACTTGATGTTCTTACATCTCGCCTCTGTTGGCTTAACAACCGAGCATATAAGCTCAGGGAGTAATTTGTTTTGATTGTGTTCCACTACACCAATTTGCCCGACACTGATGAGACCCAATATAGGTCGAAACAGCTGTCTGTCGGTATTTGAAGTTAAAAAACTATATTTAAGGTATTTACCTTTGCGAGAGTGGGCAACGCAATCTTGACGAGTTCGAAGTCGGGACTGGGGTTCTTGTTCCTGCACAGATTCGACATGGCCCACACGGTGTTCCTCAGCAAGGAGATGGTCGTGTCGGGCTTGATGAGGTTGAGGAGGTCGGGCATGACGCCGCACTGCAGGCACATGTCGCGGGTGGCGGGCCCGTCTCCCGCGATGTTCCCCAGCGCCCACACGGCCTGCTCGGCGACGTCGGCGCGCACCGACGACAGCAGCGCCTGCAGCTTGGGCACGGCGCCTTCGTGAACCACGGCGAGCGTCTGCTCGGAGGTGCCGGACGCGATGTTGGTCAGGGCCCAGCAGGCCTCGAACTGCAAAGCCGGACTGAAAATGGGATTTCAAGTCAAATCAAATTCTTTATTTACATCCCCAGAAACTACAAGCTTATAGAGGGATATACCCTTAGAGTTTTACAAGTATATATTATACATGGTGTATCACGGTCGATGGTAGGTTAGAAGTTTATGGAGGACGGCAAAAGATATCGAATTGAAATTTTCATAGCAATTATAATATTATTTAAACTATTTTTATAAATTATTTTGAACTTTGTCACCTATTTTAAATGGATCACCACAATTTTTTTACATTTTTATATTCTTACCATCATTCCTTATAAAATGGCTATACCATGTCCTATACCTAAACTTGGTAGTTTTTGAGTTATTAATTTTTTTTGTAAAATTCACACCCTGAACAAAAAAGTTAGGTTTCCTGCAATTGCATTAAATAGTAGAACTTATTTACATTTACGTGCACGTGTAATTTATTCAGAGTAAGAGCAACTTATATTACTTTCTACATTTTTCTTGTTCGACTACAAAAACCAAAATATGGGTTTTAATTGCTATTAATTTGAACTATTGCAATAAAATCGATGAGTTTAAGGCAAAACGACACAGGCGCCAAAAATTTTAAATTTGTTAGAAGTACATGTACCTGCAGGTCGATAGAGAATTAAATTCTCTATCGACCTTCTTCTAAAAAAAAAATTAAAATTTGGCGCTTGTGCTGTTTTGACTTAAACCCATCGAAAAATACATTTATTTATATATAAAAATAATTTTAAAAGTTGTATTGACCCTCTCCAATTAATCCAGTAAGTAGTAGACCGAGCACCGCTGCAATAGGTATACTATAGTAGCTGCTCGCCGCACGGTCCCTACGCGCTTCAACCCTTATTTTTTTAGACTTATTCTTGGGATCCCATCTTCATATTACATCAAAATTTAGGGAATTGAACAAGCTTTCTTTTGATATTAATTTTTAAAAAATCCAATGTGTCGCATTTCGAGAAAAAAACAAATATATTTTTAAAATCGTTTTTTTATAACCAAAAATTTTTTTCTCGCTTTCGAGACCATTTTTATCGTAAAGCGTGGAAAAAATGCTATAAGATATGTTGTTTATCAATTTAAAAAAAAATTATTATATACATGAATATTTCGACGTCTTTTAAGCGCAAGAGAAAAAAAATACATTTTCAGGCCCCTATATCTCTGCAACCCGCTAATCCTTTTTGCCCCCCATTTGGAAAATTAAGGTAGTCCAATAGGACAATGATTTGGCAAAGTTTTGTTAAAATCGGAGAAAACATCATTTTTAGGTGGGAACACTTGTGGTGTTTTGCCCCATATGTGTATATACGGTTTGATTAAATGCCCGGTACTTACTTTCATTAAAATGTATATTATTGTTTAAGGTTAGAAATTCATTAATTAAATAAAAATAATTTTATAAATTAACAAAAATTGTTGATAAAATAGTTAAAATGGAAGAACTATTCAAACTCTTTACACCCTTATAGAGAACCGATATGTGACGTCACTCCAGTGAGAGAATGTATCAATTTTCATAGTCATTTTTAACAAAAAATTTCTCAAAAATCGTTTTTCCAAAGCATGGTTCTTTAATAGAAGTGGTTTCACACTGATTATTGACATCCCCCATAATGAAAATATTTATTGACAACTTATAAATGAAACATTAATATAACTCAAATATAAATATAATATTTTCATTAAATTTATGATGTAATTTTTTTATTGTTTATTTTTCCATCTATCTATATATCTATATACAGGGTGCACCAGGTATCATTCTATGTGTAGTATACATACCCATATAAGTTTTTTTAAATTATTTGAGAACCGCTGATTTTTTCAATTTTTAAATGCCATTTTAATAGACATGTATAAATATAATTATGCAACTTTTCTCTAATTTAACTGAGATACCCATACATAGAAGGACACTTGAATACAAATAATTGAGGTTATCTATCTGTCAGTTAAACGACATTTTGTCTTAAATTCTGAAAATAATATAATATATAGTAAATTTAAAAGTAAACTACGTACACGTCATCAATAAAACAAAAATTTTACGCATTGGTACCAACACTAAATGACTAAATCGAAGTCTGTAATTGAATATTTGAATGCATTTTAAACATCTTCAGTTGGCAACAATTAAGATGTTGTCCTATTTACATTCAAATATTTCATATTTAAATGACACATAAAAAAGAATTTGACGTTTCAGAATTTCGAAGCTGTCAGTTGTGTTTTTGAATATTTCGTTTAATTCGTGTATTATTTCGTTTATTTTGTTTGTTGTTTATGTTATTTTATATCGTTTAAGTTTTCATTGCCGTTTTTGTGTTTGTTATATATCGTTTTTTTGTGTTTCCTATATTTAAAATGCCGAAGCATTTAAATAGTCGGAGTCAAGAGTTGGTGTCATCCTTAATACGCTATTTTGAGGCAGAACGGGATAATAATGGACCTTTGTTACCTTTAACAGCCGTTAGAGAGGTAAATAGGATTATTATTAATTATATATTGGAATATTTAACAAAATATATGTTGGATACATAAAATAATAATATATATACCAGAGACTGACTTTAGATGACAAAATTTTTGGGTTTTATATCAGAAAATGTCTTTAAAAATGGCTAAAAACATACTTTTGGCGGTGCATCATATAGGTTATAAAAACTCAGACTTTTGACATTTTGGTATTATTCATGTAAACGCCATCTATCGCCCTGTAGTTGCACTACCACTTTCCCTTGATGCAAGGATTTTAGCATCACATTGACAACCGTGCCCGATCAGCTGATTGATGACGTGTACGTAGTTTACTTTTAAATTTACTATATGTTTTTTGTGTCTTACACAAAAATACATATACCTATTGCAATAATTTCAGGAAAAAAGACGAAATTAGCGTTAAACTGACATAACATCAATTATTTAACTGCTTTCCTTATTCAAATGTCAAAAACTTTTTAATGTGGAGCAAACATTTAAGTTAATTCAATATAAAAACAATAAAATACAACACAATTTACAAAACCTAAAAACTAATTATTTTTTAATTTGTAATTTTGTGGATAAATTTAATTAATTTTAAATTATTTTTTTCCAAAAATTGTTGAAAAGATATAAACTTGTTAAACTTTGTTTTTGCATTAAAAATACCTACATTAACGGTTTTTAAATTAGTTTTTAAATTATTATTGAAGTAGTTAAGTTTTAGCCAGTGTTGCAAACTAATTTCACAAATTTACTCTCAAAAGTTTTTGGGTTTACTCACAAATTATTATTCCTTCAACAATATATCAATTTTTTTAATCAAACAGTCTTCATAAAAGTTGTAAAACCACTCCAAATATTCCAAAACCCAAAAAAATATCAGCAAATTCGATAAATAATGATATTAATTGTCAATTATTGACAAAATAAAATCGCAGCAATGTTGCCATAATTAAAATATTTAAGCTCTATAAGAAAATTTATTATGGAACCCATTTACACATTAAAATTATTTGCGCATATTGTTAAAAAAATTTAAAAGTAAAATTTAAATTGAATGTTTAATTATAACCAGAGTTGCTGTAGGGAAAGTGGAACAATTGTTTTTTTTGTATACTTACCTACTAAATTATTGCATGCAACACTTTGTGCAATAATCTCTAAATAGAGCCAAAATATTTTGGCTTGTTTAAGAATATTAGAATTTCTCCCAATTAATAAAAACATTTATTAGTTACTTACTTATGAGTTTTTCCCAAAAACTCGACACACTTTGGCACAACTCCCAATCTTATCATATGATCAATCGGGGGATTCCTTTCGCGACTTAAAATCTTTCTGCAAGCCATAGTCGCTCTTAGTTGAACAGTTTCATCTCCATTCATCATTCCTTCAAAATAAATTTTGTAAAAAATTAATGAGCAGTAAAGAAAAATTCTTACCGTAAAGAATTTCTTCAGCCGACATGGCTCCAGGAGAAGCCTGGTTACTTTCTTGTAGTGGCGAAGTGACCTCTTCGGCCACTGATATGTTTCTACGTTTAAGAAGTTGATCATCTTTCCTGGCTTTTCTCAGTTCTACTGTTTGGCCGATTCTTCTTCTTCTCATTTCCTGTGAAAAAATATTATAGCAAAAAAATTAACACTAAAACTATTTATTGTTTGAAATTACCTCAGAGTCCTTGCCTTTGTTCTTGAACGAACGGATTCTATTTTCATCAGCCATCGTTCTAAAGTTGACTAAACTTTACCAACAACGTGCAAAAAGGTAAAAAATGGCTTAAGACACAAACCAGTTTTTTACTTATTTAGGGTTAATTGGCGAATCAATTTGCAACTGCGTAGTAATAAACAATACACTTACTCTTATTTGTACTAGTTTCTTGTGTCTAAATATAAAACGTGTACAATGGACAATTAAATAAAATCTCGCGATAGACGATGCTCAACTTGTCTTGACGGAAATGAAATTTCGGTTAGGTTTTTTGCAGAAAGAAATTCTGACAGCTTCGAAATGCGCCAATCACAATGCAGTATTTTCTGACCTTGTAACGCATTGGCCGGTTTGAATTATCCTGAGAAACTATTAAAATATTTATTAAAAAAGAATTTGATAATGTTATTTTATAAATACAAAGATTACAATAATTGTCATTAATTTATTTGTATTCATTAAAATTACTACTATTTTATATCAAGTAAGTTCCCAAAAATTCAAAACTTATAATACCATTTACCACAAACGCAAATAACTAAACTACTAAAAATAAATTGTTTTCCTTATAATATAATAAATGTTTGGTTAATTAATTAGATTTTGTAACGCAATGTGAGTTGCCTAACTATAAATAATACATCTAATTTTCTTAATCTATGATCTCTCCTGTTAAAAACAATTTAATTCCAAATTAAATCAACCATACATAATAATCTTAATTAAGAATACATTCAATCACATGCACAATATAAAATGATTCTTATTTTGATTTGGGATGCGCACAAAATAAATCAATGACTTTGGTCCTGGCCGTCCATTGACATAGAAATATGTAGACGGATATGCGCTAAATTCCTGCAGGAGTATGTGTGGAGAGCTATCTATCAAGATCCTTTGTCGCTGATAGTCCTACTTTGGTACATGGAGACTGGGTGTTCTTGTTAAACACTCGGATTCGTGATGTGTGTTATTTTGTTGATTGGTATGTTTATTAGTTTTTTTCATTAAAAGTTAAGTTTTTTTGTAAAAAGTAAAGCTGCTACAGGAGCAGCCTTTTATGTGGCGCCAGAGAAATTTTTAAATGCATTAAAAATATTAAAGGAGATAGGTATTTTTTATTCATTTTAATTTTAAATTTTTAATACAATCAGATTTTTTTAATTGAATGTGATATATTTAATTCAGATTGAAAGTTTGGTCAGCCCATTTCTCCTCTGATATTTTTGATTTAGCGAATTAAAAATATGTGTTTAACAAAAAAATACAAATAGGCATAAAAATTAAATCTAGGTAATTAATTTTAAAATATCTGCTACGTAGGATATTATTAATTTGCAGAATATGCGATATTTTTTATTTAATTAAAAATATCACTATAGTGTTAACACAAAAATAATTCCTCGATAAAAAATAAAACAGAGCCCATAGCCATTCTTAAAAATGCATGCAATAAACAATTAATTAATAGTATATTATGTATCAAGTTTGATAAACGCCATTTCTATAGAAAACTTTATAAACGAGGTGCATACTATACTTTTTCTACGACAAATACTTATTATTATCTTAAAATGATTTAAATCAAAAATTTGTATAGAGCGCCATCTATGAAACAATAGGGAAACTGTGTGTCACCGTCAATTGTCAAATTTTTATATTTTATTAACACAATTATAAAGGTTATAAATCGAAATGTATTTCTTGAAAATTGACAGTTTTTCACAGTGAAAGTAAAGAAAATGTTTTATGAGCACTTTACAGTGGAGTCCGTGCCCGAATTTAAGTTATAGTTTACTGCCGGCGAAATTAAAAGGTCAGTACAATGTTCATATAAACTTTTCAAATATTGGCGTTGAGAAACTATTTAATACTTTTGTATTTTTGTATTGAGAAAATGAAATAATTTTTACATTTAGTATTATTTTACAAGAAAGGCACTTTATTTAAACGATTGTATGACATTTGACAACTGTCAACTAACTTAAAACTAACTTCAGCCCGTGACTAAAGCGCCGTAAAGCCACAACTTGTCAATGTGTATTTAAAATATCACTTAGTGTCATGGAAACATGTACGATAAACTGCGTTTTAAAGGTGGGAGTGGAAAAAATAATTAGTACTTTTAATTGATTAATAATAATAAAATGGATATTTAAATTGTTCATTTTAAATTTTACAAATATGTTTTTTTGTAGGCAGGCCAATGGGTAAAGGTAAATTCCTTTTGAAATTCCAAGAAGTATTTACTTTTACCATTTTTTTCCTTTTAAAACCGCCAATGAAAGCGCAGTATTATCAATTTGTAATCTGGATTGCCTACCTACATTCGAAGAGCAGACATACTGGGCTCTCGTTGGCGGCTTTAAAAGTTAAATAATTCCTGCAATTTTAGGAAGTCGAAGAAATGGTAAAGAAAAATTTGTCCTGGAATTTCAAGAGGAATATACATTTTGGGGCACCCTGTATAGTTTTTATTCCTTCTATGCGCAAGCGCAGTCTTTATTTCCCATAATTAATATAAATTTTAAATTTAACTTACATAAAAACCCTCGTAAAAACCCAATAAACGTTTTTCCATAAATGTTATATCATTCAAATTATAAAACCTAAATCTCTTAATTTGGTTACAGAAATATTTATATCACTCTTATATACCCCTTAAAGAGCTTATTTGGGGAGTTTATGAAGGTTATCGGTTATAAAAACCAATTTTTATAACTAGAGATAACAGGAATATTATGGAAACCACTATATAACTTCCTAAAGAACTGTTACCGGCTTTTTTTCGATTCGATTCGATTTAGTCCACTTTTAAAATAATTATGTTAATAATATTATATTACTTATATTTCTATGCTAAATATTTTCTCTTCAACCAATTTTTAATTTAAATTATGAAAAAGCATTGCGTCGAAAGCTAATACTATGCTTAATTTCTGTTTCAATTACTAAATATTTTTGGTTTATTAAGCACATAAATAATTAATAACGCACAAGTTTTATTTAAAAAAATTAAAGACACAATAGTTTTATAAAACAGCTAACCACAAACTTTATAAAACTCCTTTATAAAACTACTGGTAACGGTTACTAAAGGTTATATAAAATGTTTGTAGAAACAATTATATAACCTAATTATATACCTAGAGTTTACAGTAACCTTATATGACCATTATAAAACTCTTATATAACCTTTATATAATTTATCGTTACCATAAGTAGTACAAATTGTTTATTGGGAATGAATATTTATTATAATTTTTAGTCTGGTCTACATTATAATTTAAATAATCAGGATGGTTGATAGCGACAAACTCTTGTCTGAAGACGAAAATTCGGGGGAGATTTCCATACCCATACCCATCCAGGTATTTCTATGGAAACAAGTGGGTCCTTTTATAAGACCGAGGTTGGGAAAACTCCATGAAACATCATGCATGTTCTGTCCCCACCCAACCGGTCATTTTGTGAGTATTCAATAAAACAAACAATGACGCAAAATTAAATATTTTTTTGTATTATTTTAGGAGTTGAAAGAAGCTTGTAATACATTCGAGAAAGTTTTGGTACAAAATTTACAATCGGGGTTGAAACCGGAATTGGCGGAGGCTATTCGTTCAATTCCAAGATGGCGATTAATACAAGCTTCATTGCCGCATGTTATGCATGCTGTTGAGGCCATGTTATTTAACAAGTAAGGTTTAAAAAAATAATAATAAAACTATACAAAAGAAAGTTGTAGAGGGCTCAATTAACTTTGTTGTGCTTGTTTGGTCAAATCGATCAATTAAAACTCGAAGTATAAAACGTCAAAACAACTCAGACAAATAGACAATTAGCATCTAGGAATTATAATTCATAGTTACAAGTTATTCAAGATCTAGAAAAGCTAATTGATAATCTAAAATTTTAGTCTATACTTAATCCAAAATCTAGATGTTTTTATTTTTTAATCTGCTTCTTGAATTTAGTTTGCATTGAATTCTGAATGCAGTAAAAATAAAAAAAATTTGAGTAAAAAAAAGAATGGAAGATTTTTTGAATCATAATCAAGAATGTAATTTTTAGGATTAAAGATGGAAATATAACAAATCTTAGTAGCGTTGAAACAAAACTTATGTACACACTGCATTGGTTAATTTTGGATGCTGCTGAAGAGTGTGCTGATTCAGATTACGAAAAGGGCGTATTCCATTCATCGCCATTTTACTATTTATTTTCCATTTCAACAATAACGGTAACAAAAATCTTAGCGCTAATTCAAATAAATACTTTAATTTTTTGTTGTATTTTTTTTTTAGTTATTCATCTATCTATTTGCTCCTATTTGCCAAAATTTGAAGGAGTCAGATTTTCACTCAAACTTTCGGCTAGAGAACGGCCTGAAAATATGGCACTCGCTGTGGGAGTTTCGACATCCAGACGCGGCCTGTTTCACGAGCCATTGCAAACCGAAACCGAAGAATTTGTCGGGGAAAAACACCAAAAAACATTTTGGAGATGTCTTTCTTGGAAGTAAGTAAAAAGACATGTTTTAATTATTTTTTTACGTAATACATACTGTACCTTTCACATAATATTGGAGGTTATAAGGTTAAGGACATAAAAGTAGTAGAAATCCAACATTCTCTAGCTTAAATACCACACTAAAAAGATTATTTTATCGGGTTTGAGAATATAAAAATCCAAAATTTGCATTTGGAAAAATATCAGTATCAAGTTTGAGTTTGAACGATATTAGAACATTAGGAAAAATGAATCAAATTCGTTATCGGCGACCGCAAAAATATCTCAATACAAAATATTATATAAATCGTAAGCCGTTTTCGAGAAAACTGGAGTACACAAAATAATTCTAACAAAAGTACCTATAGGGTATATACCCATGGATATATATATGCATAGGGTCTTTCCATCTCCAATCGATCAGGCAAAAAGTATACTTTTTGCCTGATCGATTGGAGATGGAAAGACCTATAGGTCGTTATTTTTCAAAGATTTTTTTTTACAGTTCCTCTACCGAAAACGATGAGACCCGTATTTTTTCTTTTTGCTTTTTTTGTTTTTGAAAAATGGACAGAAACATCGATTTACTCTTTTTTACGAGGGACGTTTTTTCTTGAAAACGCGATAACTTGGATAAAAATTAGATATTAGTAGATTTCTTTTATGACCATTATTAAAAAAATAGTTTTGGCATAGAGTATGGTTTTTAAATTTTTGAAATCTCCCAAAAATCAGCATTGCAAAAGAAGAATAGTAAATAAAAAACTACTTGGCTCAACATGAAGCCAATTCAAGGCACTCTAGATATATAAATAAAATGTAATCAAAAAATGATTTGACCCGTCAAAAATTGACAAATGACATTTGTACGAGGTGTGTTCAGAAAATAACGGGAATTGTTAAATTTCGCGGGTTCGGAGGGTCCGGTTGTCATAAAATTTTCTTTATTATGTTGGTATACATGCCCCCGATATGATAAAAACTTTAGCTGTTTTCATTGTTTACTTTGTCTGTGGCAGCCGCTAAGGTTAGACGTGTTTTATGAGCTCGGCGATTTTTCGTTCGTAAAAGAAATGGATCAAAGAATTTTTATCCAATTTTCCTTAAAAAATGAAATAAATTCTGTGAAATGTTAACAAAGGCCTATAGTGAGTCTGCTATAAGTAAAACAAGAGTTTACAAGTGGTATAAGAGTTTCCAAGATTGCCGTGAAGACGTTGAAGATGACGAACCCCCCGAACGCACAAGCACATTAACCGATAAAAACATGGAAAAAGTGAAAGAAATGGTTATAAACCATCAGAGAAATCGCCGATGATGTTGATATATCGATTGGCTCATCCCATGACATTTTTTCGAATGTTTTGGGTATGAAACGCGTGGCAGCAAAATTTGTTCCAAAATTGTTAAATTTTGAACAACATTTTTGGCCAAAAACAATACTGTAATGATGCCCCAGCCTCCATATTCGCCAGACATGCCTCTGTCTGACTTTTTCCTATTCCCAAAAATAAAGAGAACCTTAAAGGGCCGTCGTTTTACAAGCATAGATGACATTAAAAGCGCATCGCTGAAAGAACTAAAGGCTATCCCAAAGATCGAGTTTTAGAAGTGTTTCGAGTATTGGAAGAAGAGCTGGCACATGTGCATAATATCGAATGGGAACTATTTTGGCGACAACATTAATGTAGACGAATAAATAAATATTTGTTTCAAAAAACGAAAATTCCCGATATTTTCTGAACACACCTCGTATGTAGGCAGAAGTTTATTTTGAATCGAAATATGTCCCTATAGGGTATTTGGTATTTTATCTATGGATAAAATACCAAATTTTTGCGATAAACCACGAATTTAGCCAACTCGGAACTTTTGTAGACACCCTGTATATAAATTGCTTTTGTTAACAGCTTTAATAAAATTTTATTAGAAATGGATTTATCTGTTTCATGACCATAAACAACTAAATGTTATACAAAACCTTTAAATTATAGGGACATCTGAAATGTTTGTGTTCTGTTTGATTGAAATATGTATGTATTTTTGAAAATAACATTTCATTAAATATTTGTGTGAAAAGATTGTACACAACTCGTTATAGGAAAATATAATAAGACAACTTAATGAGGATTAAACAAGGATAATGAAGAGTCTAAATATTTTTATAAAAGTTTTATTTCCACTTTCAACAATAGTTCTTTTGTGGTACATATATTGTAAATTTATAAAGTGAAGCATTTTTTTATTTCTGCCCTATCAACTGCCTTTGTTAAAATTATTGTATTGAATTGTAACTGTGAAGTTAATTTTAGAAAAAGACAATAAAAATTAATCGTGGTAATTAGCTTCTATAGATGGTGTAAATTGATAACATTTAGCTATCTTACATCTTGCATTAGACAACTTAATGTTTACATAGCACGATATAATAAAATTGAATTTTACCCCAGTAAAATGAAGAAAATTAAAAGCTATTTAACCCAATAACATGTCAGTGGTGTATTTAATTTTAATTGTATGTATAGGACCAGTTCAAATGATTGATTTGTTCAGCAAAGTGGTGAATTTGTTGTTTGGAAGAACGACAAATATATGTGTTTCTTTGAATAAAAGCAACATGTTGGATGAAGTTAAAATTGTTTTAAACGACTCATCGCAGTTCGTTTTTACGTCAGATTTTATACACCACCAGGAAAATTGTAAAAACTACATCATCGCTTCCACAAACTCAAGCGACATTTTGGAATTATTACAGAAACAGAATTTGTTCATCGAAAGTAAAATTTTGATGATTGTGCAGAACCATGATTTAAACCTCAACACTTTAATTTATGAGAAAGCTTTAGACATAATTATCATGCAAAACGAAAAAGTAGCGCTAACAAAATTCATCAACACTATATCCACGAGAGTTTACTATTTCTCGAATGATACATTTACTGCAGCAAAAAATTTAAGCGCAATCCGGAAAAGACTCGTCTGGAACCCACTGGAGTTTTTCAAAAAAACCGAAAAACGATTTACAGTGTCCACTTTCAACTGCTTCCCTTTTATAATGACCAACATCAGCAATAACATTTCTGAAGGTATTGAGTACAACATACTTAAGGAAGTGGCGAAAGATTGGCCTTTAAAATTTAACATCCTCAACACCACAGCCGACGTGGATCCTTACAATATACTAGTAAACGAAGTTGAGACAAAGGAAAGTGATATTGGAATTTGTTCTTTATGGCAGGGAAATGTTGTGTCCAAACGGGTCGATATCTTAAACCCCATTGTACAAATGTGTTTAACGTTTCTGGTCAGAAAACCTCACAACTTACCTGACTCAATTTTCATTTTTCAAGTACTAAGCCTTAGAGTATGGTGCTTGATGTTGGGTTTTAACATAGTCCTGATTGTTTTTATCAGCGTATCTGTGAATTTTTATAACAAACGATCAAATTCAAGTATTGATTTAATATTGTATTTGTATGTAAAGTTTTCTGGCGTTTCGACGTCAAAACTCTTAACGAGGACCTTCATTGGGCTAAGGATAACTTTTATTTTTTGGTATCTTGGTTATTTTCTTTTTTGGGACTATTATTCAGCGGGCGTGACTATGAGCTTACGTTACCCGAAGTTTTCGAACGATATCAAGTCGTTTGAGGATATAGCTGAACAAAATATAAAGTGGCAAGAGGAGCGATACAATTTGAAATTATGGCTTCAAAACAGTAATGTTTCGCTGTATAAAAAATTGGGTGATTTGGGGGTTGTCGAGCCGAGTTTGGAGAAATTCCGATACAACATTGAATACAAAGATTATGGTTCGACTGCTCGAATATTGCAGAACAAATATGTAATGGAAGGTAACGATTTGAACGATTTTGGAAGAAAATACCTTAAAGTGGTCCCGAATTGTCTAAAGACTGAATATACAGTCATGGTTCTACAATATAAATCCCTTTTCAGAAGCCATTTCAACCGAAAAATAAATCAGCTAATTCAAAGCGGCATCATCCAATACTGGCATAATATCCTGATAACAAGAAAAGAAAATCAATATATGGGCAATTTTTACATTTCATCCATGGAAGATGTTCATTTTACCATCAATTTATCCAAACTAAGAAGCATATTTTATTTCCTGTTTGCTGGACAAATCTTGGCTTCGATGGCATTTTTGTTTGAAGTTTTTTCAAATAGTAATCCAAGACTATCAAAGCAAATTTGATATTTCCTTGTTTTCATCATGTAAAACACTTGAAGTTTTTTTAATTGTATAATAAAAATATTTTGTAAACGACATAATCTTTTGTATTAATTATTCCAAAGCAGTTTATTAAACTTAAATAGAAGTTATACAGGGTGTCAACTAATGAATTTTTGAATTAGAGCTACTGTTTTTTAACAAAAAATATTATGAAATTTTTTTGACAAAACCAGGGAGCCACTGGATGTCACTGACCTACTCTATATATCATCATTGTTTTTACCTGTAAAAACAATGATAAAATTGATCCAAGCAAAAAAAATCAGGTTTTTAATTTTAATTGTATGTATCGGACCAGTTGAAATGATTGATTTGTTCAGCAAAGTGGTGAATTTATTGTTTGGAAGAACGACAAATGTATGTGTTTCTTTGAATAAAAGCAACATGTTGGAAAATGAAGTTAAAATTGTTTTAAACGACTCATCGCAGTACGTTTTTACGTCAGATTTTATACACCACCAAGAAATTTGTAAAAACTACATAATCGCTTCCACAAATTCAAGCGACATTTTGGAATTATTAAAGAAACAGAATTTGTTCATCGAAAGTAAAATTTTGATGATTGTGCAGAACCATGATTTAAACCTCAACACTTTAATTTATGAGAAAGCTTTAGACATAATCATCATGCAAAACGAAAAAGTAGCACTAACAAAATTCATCAACACTATATCCACGAGAGTATTCTATTTCTCGGATGATACATTTATTGTAGCAAAAAATTTAAGCGCAATCCGGAAAAGACTAGTCTGGAACCCACTGGAGTTTTTCAAAAAAACCGAAAAACGATTTACAGTGTCTACTTTCAACTGCTTCCCTTTTATAATGACCAACATCAGCAATAAAATATCTGAAGGTATTGAGTACAACATACTTAAGGAAGTGGCGAAAGATTGGCCTTTAAAATTTAACATCCTTAACACCACAGCCGACGTGGATCCTTACAATATACTAGTAAACGAAGTTGAGACAAAGGAAAGCGATATTGGAATTTGTTCTTTATGGCAGGGAAATGTTGTGTCCAAACGGGTCGATATCTTAAACCCCATTGTACAAATGTGTTTAACGTTTCTGGTGAGAAAACCTCACAACTTACCGGACTCAATTTTCATTTTTCAAGTACTAAGCCTTAGAGTATGGTGCTTGATGTTGGGTTTTAACATAGTCCTGATTGTTTTCATCTGCGTATCTGTGAATTTTTATAACAAACGATCAAATGCAAGTATTGATTTAATATTGTATTTGTATGTAAAGTTTTCTGGCGTTTCGACGGCAAAACTCTTAACGAGGACCTTCATTGGGCTAAGAATAACTTTTATTTTTTGGTATCTTGGTTATTTTCTTTTTTGGGACTATTATTCAGCGGGCGTGACTATGAGCTTACGTTACCCGAAGTTTTCGAACGATATCAAGTCGTTTGAGGATATAGCTGAACAAAATATAAAGTGGCAAGAGGAGCGATACAATTTGAAATTATGGCTTCAAAACAGTAATGTTTCGCTTTATAAAAAATTGGGTGATTTGGGGGTTGTTGAGCCGAGTTTAAAGAAATTCCGATACAACATCGAACACAAAGATTATGGTTCGACTGCTCGCATATTGCAGAACAAATATGTTATGGAAGGTACAGATTTGAACGATTTTGGAAGAAAATACCTTAAAGTGGTCCCGAATTGTCTAAAGACTGAATATACAGTCATGGTTTTACAATATAAATCCCTTTTCAGAAGCCATTTCAACCGAAAAATAAATCAGCTAATTCAAAGCGGCATCATCCAATAGCCTACTGGCATAATATCCTGATAACAAGAAAAGAAAATCAATATATGGGCAATTTTTACATTTCGTCCATGGAAGATGTTCATTTTACCATCAATTTATCCAAACTAAGAAGTATATTTTATTTCCTGTTTGCTGGACAAATCTTAGCTTCGATGGCATTTTTGTTTGAAGTTTTTTCAAATAGTAATCCAAGACTATCATAGCAAATTTGATATTTCCTTGTTTTCGTCTTGTAAAACACTTGAAGTTTTTTAATTGTGTAATAAAAATATTTTGGACATAATCTTTTGTATTAATTATTCCAAAGCAGTTTATTAAGCTTAACTAGAAGTTATACAGGGGATTACCTAATAAATTGCCAGGGGGAGAATAGTACACTCCAAAACATGAAAGTTTTTCCTCTATAATTTTTTCATTAGAGCTGAACTATCCTATATATCATCCTTATTTTTACCTCTAAAACATTGATATTATTATTATGTAATACACAAACATTCTATTTTGAAGGAAAACAATCACAAGAGGAGCATTTTGTTAGTGGAAGAGAAAGTCCTCCAAGCCAGGGAATCAGCGCATCAAGTTCAGATTCACATCCGAATTCTCATGGTAATGCAAACTTACCATCAACCGTTACTGTAACAGCCACGATTACGAAAGTGGATGATGATGTAAGTACAACATTACCTAATATAATTGACAAACCTACAAACCAATATTCGTTCAATGCATGATTAAAAGTTTATTGGATTCTTATAAATTCAGATTATAACATTGATTCTAAATGGTTTTAGGGATGGTCTTCCTCCCCAAAAGACACTGTATTTCCAGAAACGATACCTGAAGAAAGTTCAAGCACGGAAGAAGAACATGTGGTTATTTTCAGATTGCCCTCCCTCAATGAAGCAGACGGATTTTTAAGAGATCCATCCATTTACACGGTAAATAAAGCAAATCTCAATATCATAATATTTTGATTATGGAGTTCCCCAAGGATCTGTTTTTGGAGCACTTCTCTTTATAAACGCTTAAGCAAATGAAATAGACTGTAAACAATTTAGTAGACCAGGTTATAATTATATTTTTTCAAATTTAGGCCGACACAAGCATAATTCAACTGGCTATAAACAAGTCTGGAAGTAGACAGAATATGAAAGAGGCCATTGAAAGTAAACCATTAAGGCCACCAATGCAAAAAGTCAGGTAAGTGGGTAAACCACATAGTTACTAGACACTTAAGGTATATTATTTATTTAAAATTTATATATGCCGTTGTTTTAAAGATTTTAGTTTTTTTGTTATGAATATATAAAAAGGATAGTTTGTTTGTTTAAACTTTATTTACGTTTACTTACAAATAAGAATATTTAAATTTTTTATAATAGTTTTATAAAAACAAGCAAAAAAGTATAGTAATTGGACATTTTATATAGTAATTGGACACATGGGCCATAGTTATTGGACATACAATTTTTATATACATAAACATTTTTAAAGATAAATTGCTGTTTTAGGTAATTTTTTTTATTTCGTTTTTGTTAATATCATATAATTCATATATTTCTTTCTCGGATTCCTCATCCCTTTTCAGGATTCTGACTTCTGAAATAGTTTGTTGCAAATATCATTAAGTGTGGTATCTCTAGTTTGTGAAGCATTTATAATATTTAGGCCGGAACGGGATGATTTATATATATCTAATATTTTTTCGGGTGGTATGTTAAAAGGATTTTCCAAATTTATTAATTTTGTTGCCATTAGTTTTTTATGTTCTGTATCATGCACTGTATTTAAATCACTGTTATTCTGCAAGATGTCCTAGGACGAAGAAATCACTATATTACTTACTCTCTAAAAATTAATTAGTCAAAAATGTCATAGCGAAAAAGCAGCCACTAATAACTCTCGTCAACAGCAATTTGTATCCTGGACATTTAGCAGTCAATTCCTATGAAATATTATTCGCTGAATCCGAAAATGTCGTCAAAAGTTATAAAAGTAGAACAGTTTTTGAAATATAATCAATTTTACATATAATATGGAATTGAATATATCTCAAAAACTGTCCAGGATACAAATAGAGTATGATATTGGACATATGTCCAATAATAGAAATTTACATTTTTTACCAACCAGTAATTGGGCACTGGCCATTTTACTGTTTGTTTTCAGAATTAAAATTAAAACGCATTAAAGTGACAATGTTTAAACCATGAGGAACACATTTATACCACATACAAACAAAACAATACGATTTCTTGGTGTATATCTAGATAGGAGATTAAGCTGGAAAAATCACATATTAAATTTATCAAATAAATTATCATCAACACTCTTTCTTTTGAGGAAAATTGCAGATTTAGCAAATTCTGATATATCCAGAACTGCCTATATGGGTCTCTTTCAATCCAAGATATCATATGGCCTATTATATTGGGGAAACTCAGCTGAATAGATAAAGATCTTTACTATTCAAAAATTATCTCAGTAAATACCAGACATGCCTATGGCACCAGATTTGGTGATCAATTATTAATACCCCAACATAGGTTACATTTAACTCATAAAAGTTTTTTAAATAACTCTATTATTTTATTCAACTTCCTACCAACTGAAATAAAAGCTCTACCTATTTTAACCTTTAAAAAGAGAATTAAACAAATAATTTTGGAGATCTGTCCATATACTATCGATGAATTTTTAAATAGATAAAACACTTTTAAGTTTAAGTTTATTTTTGTTAACTGATACTAATTATAATTGTTATTATTGGGATTTTTACTTTAAATATGTACTCTGTAATTATGCAATATTAAAATTGTACTTCTGGGATGATGCTAAACATCTTTTGTATGTATTTAAGCAAATAAAGAATTTGTATTTGTATACTGATCTGTACACTTTTTACAAATATTTTTTGTTGTAATTTAAACACAGCCCTGCTCTTAACAAAAAAACAAAAATCTTACCACCAAAGTAACGTGCGAACTTTTTTGTCCTATATTGGGCCCAAAATAAAGTAGTTCTATTATATTACCGACTGAGATAGTTATAATTGTATACAGCGTCATCTAATGATCTGACTTTAAGGTAACTATTTATACAACTCTCGTTTTTACAGTATTAATGTTAATTGTCCAATAACTATAAAGTGTCCGATAACTGTCTACTTTACCCTATCGTAAGATAAATATAGCAACAAAACCTTCCAAAGCATTCTGAATTCCCCATGTGGTATAAAAACCTATAATACTGTAATTGCAGTAGTTCGTCTACTGATAAGGAATCAATAGACAGCTCAAAACAACCTGAGATGCCGATGCAAGATCAACACGCTCAAAAAGGAAGCACACTTCAAGCATTCGATATATCAGCAGCAACTTTTTTGGACGTAAGCGTGATGAGGTGCCTCTTCATCACTCATTGGCAAGAAGAGGGGGTATACTGGGCACTACACTACCTCTACAACAGGTAAAACAGGAAATTTGCATTTTTTTATTTAAATTTATTCTCATCTTAGATTACGTGATATCAGCGAAGAAAGTGCTGGCCAACAACAGCCCCGTAAACGAAGTAACTCGCTCCCAATTCCTAAAATAGAAATATCTTTGTACCAAAATGACACACGTACACAGGTTAACAATAAGGACTTCATCGAAGTCCCTGAACCTAAAGACGTGGCTTTATTAGCAGGTAAATTACGTGGTAATGACTAACGTTAACCTCAAAAACCACCATAAACATATTTGTAATGGATTTTAGAGTCCCCGTATCCAAAACTTTCGGAAGAATCCATCCACAAAAGGTCTGCCAGCGAAAAGTGTAAGAAACGTATGAAAATTGCCGATTTGAAGGCGTTCGTGGAGACGAAGATTCTTTCAAAGTCCGAAAAGGCTCTTGAAAGGTTCGGACGAGAAGATACTAAGCCGCTGAGTGATCAGAATTTGGGGTCCAGACGAATGATAGATGTAAAATTACGATTTTATTTTTTCTTTGATAACACTGTGCAACACCAAAAATCAAACCGCACCGGAATATTTTTTTCTGAAAATATACCTATCCAATAGCAAAACCCTCGCTGGGTTTGTAAAAGTTAGCTCGATTTATTTTTTTATGGCCGTTTTCTAGCTTCATATAGCCCAATTTAGACTTTTTTTCGCATATATTCGATTTATATCGTCAAGATTTTTTGTAGAAATGTAGTTACTGAACAAATAAACCCATTTTGTGAACAAACTAGGTATATCTATATTCGAAAAATTAATTTTTTTTCAATTTTTCGATAATATTTAAAATTTCTTGCTACTTCTTCTGACAAAAATGTTGTAGAGTATATTATTAAAAAACTTTTTTATATCAAAACATTGAGTACCTAATCTGATTCATTGCTGGAGAATTCCATCCCTTCATTTCATATATTTTTATATTCATTTCATTTCAGGCGTTTTAAATGGTCCTGATATTCGGAAATTGGTAAAGTATGAAGACTTTGACAGGGCTTTGGTTGAGGATGAGATAGTTGCGTGGGCGTCGATAAGAGAAATCATCGTTGGACTTTTAGGAAAACGTCGTTCTCCCAATTATGAAGGATCTGTGCGTTGGATGTTTTTTTCCAAAATTGGAGTCAATATGTCGCTAAAAATTCATTTCCCTCATCGCCATTTGGATTACTTCAGTCGACAGTTATCGACACAATCATCAAACTGCGATGCCATTTGAGGAAAACGAGCTCCAGATGCCATACTAGCCGAAACATTTTGGTGAAGTTAACATATTTTTGACTAAGATCAGGAAAAAAATGAAAATAAAGAACAAGAAAATTAAGGAGAAGAAGTGGAAGGGATGAAATTCTCCAGTGATGAATCAAAAAATGAAAATGAAGAGCGAGGAAATAAAGGAGAAGAAGAGGGAGGGATGGAATTCTTCAGCAATAAATCAGATTACTCAGTGTTTTGATATAAAAAAGTTTTTTAATAATAAAATTAATACAAAATAAAAAATCAAACTCTCTGTACTTTTCTACAATTCTATTTTATCTATTCAATTTTTTCCTATAGATTTTTCGGCAAAATATTTGGTGTTAAGTGTGAAAAGATGAATATTTTGGAAAATCTTGTTACAACATTATTTTCCAGCAAATAAGCAAACTTAAAGTTCAGTTTTGTGTGCGTATTTTATAAATTACTTCTTTTAGTATACTTTACAACATTTCTGCCAGAAGAAGTAGCAAGAAATTTTAAATATTATCAAAAATTAAAAAAAAAAAAAAATCGAATATTTGGTCCCAAAAATTGGGTTTTTGGGATAAAGGTTGTTCACAAAATGGGTTTATTTGTGCAGTAACTACATTTCTACAAAAAATCTTGACGATATAAATCGAATATATGCGCAAAAAATCTATTTATGGGTCTAAATTGGGGTATATGAAGCTCGAAAATACAAACGGCCGTAAAAAAAAAATTCGAGCTAACTTTTACAAACCCAGCGAGGGTTTTGCTAGTGGATAGGTATATTTTCAGGAAAAAATGGTCCAGTGCGGTTTGATTTCGATTACCCGAAAATTGTCGCACAGTGTAATGAGTCATTCCAAATAAAAACACCAAATGGGCGCTGCTTGATGTTTTATTTTGATAAAAAAAATTGAGGATGATCTTTTAGGTATCAAATATGAAACTCCGTTGCCGTTTTAATTTTTGGATTCTTTACTTTTAATCACCCTTTAGAAATCTGAAATCGTGTCAATTTCTTACTCTCTTATAGTGGGCCAGAACTTTTTTCTGTGACAAATATTGAAATGATTTTAATTTTGTTTTACTTTTCAGTAAGTGTGTTTTCGATATAAATTATTATTATCCAATTAGTTAATCTCATAAAAGAATGGTAAACCACTAAAGATTCATGATAATTTGCCAATTTTTGTGATTTTTGTCTGGCTCCTGTGCCTATTCTACTAAATCTAGAAAGTTATTTTTTTCAGGTATCAAGTACTTATACAATAGAAAACGTAACTTTTATTTTAAGTTTCTAGACTATCATTTTCTTTATTAAAAAAATTATTGAAACTTGATGATTCTTAAAATTAGTCCATTTTGCCTTTAGAAATCATTATGTTGAGGAAAAAATAAAAATCTGAAACTTTCAGGAAATGTAGTCCCCACCTTCAGTCCAGTTAGTCTTGTTTTGTTATTTTTATTCCTTTAAAAGATATAATAATTTTTTTAAAGCCCGTTTAGTAGCGATATTGTTAGTTTTATTTATAATTTAAAATGTCTTTCATGTTTGGTGGAGTGTCAGAACTGTCAAAAATATTATTTGTGCGTATTTCTTTGGTAAATTTTGTATATAACATAATATGTCATATTATGTTATATACAAAACTTTCTAAAATCACCAAAGGATACCACAAATAATAATTATGAAATATTTTTGACAGTATTTAATTGACTAATTGGTGTTTAAAGAAGAAGAATGTAAAAAATAAATTCAAGATCCTTATGGTTTATATCGTATAAGTAAAATTAATAAAGAGTTAATTTAAACGTATAAAAAATGCGTTAAGCAGTTTTTTGTCGGTTTCTTTCACAATTTAAACCAAGTTAGTCTTGTTCTATTATTTTGATCCCTTTAGTAAGGCACTGAATAGTTAAAATTTATATGTATGTATTTTAAATGTTAGTGTTGGAAAAAAATTACACAATCTGTAAATACTTCTTTAAATTTTAGTTTTTAGGTAAATGGTTAAAATAAAACATGTTATAATAAAGGGGTTTATTTAGAATATTTTTTGGTTTTTGCTTATTTTTAACAATTTAAAACTTCTCAGAACTTGAATATTTTCTATGAGAAAGAGGTACAAAATTATGATATGTTCTTGCATTTTTAATTGCAATTAAATTCATGAATCTCGAACACTCCGTCATTTATTACACTTGCAAACTTGCAAACTTTTTGAAATCGCAATTTTAATACGCACAAATAATATTTATGAAATATTTTTGACAGTTCTGACATTTCTCTACCAAACATGAATTGACTAAGTCAAAGCCATCTAAATTTTTAATTATAAATAAAAGTAACAATATGCATTAAAAAAATTATTATATCTTTTACATGGATAAAAATACCAAAACAAGACTAACTAGACTGAAAAGATGAAGGTGGGTATTACATTTCCTGAAAGTTTCAGATTTTTATTCATTCCTCAACATAATGATTTCTGAGGGCAAAATTGGCTAAATTTGAAAATTATCAAGTTTCAATAAGTTTTTTAATAAAGAAAATGATGGTCTAGAAACTTAAAATAATAGTGTATAAGCAACTTTCTAGATTTAGCAGAATAGGCACAGGAGCCAGACAAAAATCACAAAAATTGGCAAATTATTACAAATCTTTAGGGGTTTACCATTTTTTATGAGATGAACTAATTAGATAATAATAATTAATATTGAAAACATACAATCATTTCAATAATTGCCACAGAAAAAAGTTTTAGCCTCTTATAAGAGGGTAAGAAAATGACACGATTTCAGGTTTCTAAAGGGTGCCGATTAAAAATAATAATCATGAAGCGCACTTTTAAATTCATTTTTGGTGTTTTCATTTGGATTGACTCTAATGCGAATTGTTTTAGGAGTATCATCGCAGTTTGGATACAGGAGATGACCATATAACTAGACCCTGTTCCGCTATGTCGAAAATGTTCGAGCCTCCCCAAAGTAATCTTGTGAAGGGAAAAAGCATGCCCAGTTTAAGGTAAATTATTTTGTCTCTGTGATTCTGAATTGTATGTTGTTTCTTTCCCTGTTTGTTGTTGTTAGAACTTTTAAATGTACTTCTTAATTTTGTCTTCCTTTCTTAGCTGTTTAATAGATGAATTGGCAAGTGGAGGGTAAGTTCTATTATGTTGGACTATACATTTATTACATGCTTTTTTCCCTATAGTATAGTCGACTTACTTTGCTATCGTAAATCATAGCTATGGCAATATTTTAACATGTAATTTTTGATAGATATGTGGAGGAAACGTGGCAGTACGGAAGGCCTGCTAAGTCTGCAGGAAAAAAGCCCATAACCAATCCTATTATTACTGTGACCGAACATACACCCACGCCATCGCCTGATTATCTAAGACGACAGGTTACAACATTGTTACAATAAAATATGCGTTTCTTAATGTATGTATATTGCAGGGTTCAATGGATAGTCAGTTAGACGCGTTAAGTTTATCTGGATGCAAGTCTGGAAATTGGCATGAAAGAAAATCCAGTTTAACTCGATCACAAACCGATTCCAACATAACTTACGCTGGAGAAGATATACCCGAAGCACCAGGATCAGTTTGCTACATAACCAAAGATGGTGATATAGACTTGCATGTGATTCTTAAGGCGGTTCATAAAACATCTCTCCGCGAAACCAGTGCTTGCACTTTGAGGGTTTTGGAGGTTATTTTGAATTTGATCGAGCTCTTGTTAGATATGGGTGTTTTGAAGCAATGTTTAAGAGACGAGGCGTTTGCTTGTTCTGCGTCCTTTCAAGATGGCAGTCCTGGAAAAGCTGGAATAAAAATGCCAACGAGTGGAACCAACGCTTCCCTAGGCTTCGAAGCTGACAAAAATGTTAAACCCATGACCACACATAAGATTATTATGAATGTTATTGTGAGGTATGTACGAGGTGTGTTCAGAAAATATCGGGAATTTTCGTTTTTTGAAACAAATATTTATTTATTCGTATACATTCATGTTGTCGCCTTCAAAATAGTCCCCATTGGATATAATGCACATGTGCCAGCTCTTCTTCCAATACTCGAAACACTTCTAAAACTCGATCTTTGGGATAGCCTTTAGTTCTTTCAGCGATGCGCTTTTAATGTCATCTATGCTTGCAAAACGACGGCCCTTTATTTTTGGGAATAGGAAAAAGTCAGACAGAGGCATGTGGCGAATATGGAGGCTGGGGCATCATTACAGTATTGTTTTTGGCCAAAAATTTTGTTCAAAATTTAACAATTTTAGAACAAATTTTGCTCCACGCGTTTCATACCCAAAACATTCGAAAAAATTTCATGGGATGAGCCAATCGATATACCAACATCATCAGCGACTTCTCTGATGGTTTATAACCATTTCTTCCACTTTTTCCATGTTTTTATCGGTTGTTAATGTGCTTGTGCGTTCGGGGCGTTCGTCATCTTCAACGTCTTCACGGCCATCTTGGAAACTCTTATACCACTTGTAAACTCTTGTTTTACTTATAGCAGACTCACTATAGGCCTTTGTTAACATTTCACAGAATTTATTCCATTTTTTAAGCAAAATTGGATACAAATTCTTTGATCCATTTCTTTTAACGAACGAAAAATCGCCGAGCTCATAAAACACGCCTAACCTTAGTGGCTGCCACAGATAAAGTAAACAATGAAAACAGCTAAAGTTTTTATCATACTTCGGGGGCATGTATACCAACATAATAAAGAAAATTGTATGATAACCGGACCCTCCAAACCCGCGAAATTTAACAATTCCCGTTATTTTCTAAACACACCTCGTATACATTAAAAAAAAATATTTCGCAATGTAATAACCTCTTTTAGAGTGTTGAAGCATCTTGGTTGTCCTCATGGTTGCGCGGACGGCCAGAGGGGCCCAGCTGCTGAGTTTCTTCGCACCCAGTGCCAGAATATTTTCACGAAAATGAATAGAGCCAGCGGAAAGCAATTCAAAGTGTTTCTACGTGACTACGTGAAATACCACGCTCTTCCGGAAATCCTGGAGTTTTTCCACGCTTATGTCGGTTACTGCATCGATCCAAACTCACTATTGTCACCTCTGAGTAAGTTTGTAAACTAGTACCTATACTTGCAATCTCTGAAATACAATACAATAAATATAATATTTTGTTTTGGTATAGGGTAAACTACATAGTTATTGGACACTTAAGGAATATTCTTTGTTTAAACTTTATTTACATTTACTTGAAAATAAGAATATTTTAATTTTTAATAATAGTTTTATAAAAAAAGTATAGTAATTGGACATTTTATATAGTAATTGGACAAATCGACCATAGTTATTGGACATACAATTTTTATATAAACATAACAACTTTACATCAAATAATATAAATTGTTAAATATTTTTTAAAGATAAATTGGTGTTTTAGGTAATTTTTTTATTTCGTTTTTGTAAATATCATACAGTTCCTATATTTCTTTCTCGGATTCATCATCCCCTTTCTGGATTCTGAAGGTAACTACTAATTCCTTGGTCTGACATTAAGTGTGGTATTTCTAGTTTGTGAAGCATTTATAATCTTTAGGCCGGAACAGGATGATTTATATAAACTGCGCACCACTCAATGTGTCGCGACCAAAAAGTTCGTCCTTTTTCAAAACGATGTAACTTTTTTGTTTCTTGAACGATTTTATTTTGGTCTGAGATGTCTGCTAGCCCTATCCTCTGGCAATTCATGCTATAGATATGAAGCTCACGGTTCTTCAAGTAAATTTCGTACAGGGTGATATGTAAAACGCTCAAAAATTCCAATAACTTCATCCAAGCCCCGTTTGTGAAAAAATATTTTTTTTTCGTTTTTACTTTGAAATATTGAAGTATTATGTCTTACCTTAAAAAGGTTTTCAATTTTTTTGGTAGGCAATACACTCAGTCCTTTTAAGAACAAGGAGATTAGGTGGTGAAAGATTGTTCCTTGAATAATTCTGAACAAGCGACAAGCAACAGACTTCCATTATTTTCAGAGTGGCCTAAGCAAAGACCACTTTTTCAAAATGACATTTTGGTGAAAATTTGCGAAAACTAATCCTGAACCGGTATTTACGTTCGTGACATGTTTTCTTTACAATTTTCACCTCCTGATTGTGATTCAGTTGTCAAATTTAAGTTTCAGATAAAACCAAAATCACTAAGAATCAAAATTCGAAAACAATTCCCACCTGTTAAATTGCCTACAAAAAAAGCCTTAAATGTACTCTTTTGTAAAAAAAATCATATTTTCGTTGCTAAGATTCCAATTCCAAAAATTTGAAAAATGTTTCAAAGTAAGACATAATACTTCATTATTTCAAAGTAAAAACGAGAAAAAAAATATTTTTTTACAAACGGGGCTTGGATGAAGTTATTGAAATTTTTCACCGTTTAACATATCACCCTGTAGGAAATTTACTTGAAGAACCTTAAGCTTTATATATATATCATGAATTGCCAGAGGATGGGGCTAAGAGACATCACAGACCAAAATAAAATCGTTCAAGAAACGAAAAAGTTATGTCGTTTTGAAAAAGAACGAACTTTTTGGTCGCGACACATTGAGTGGTGCGCAGTTTATATCTAATATTTTTCGGGTGGTATGTTAAGTATTTTCCGAATTTATTAATTTTGTTGCCATTAGTTTTTTATGTTCTCTATCATGTACTGTATTTAAGTCACTGTTAATCTGCAAGATTTCCTGTGACGAAGAGATCACTATATTACTTACTCTCCAAAAATGAATTAGTAAAAAATGTCATCGCGAAAAAGCAGCCACTAATAATTCTCGTCAACAGCAATTTGTATCCAGGACATTTAGCAGTCAATTCCTATGAAATATTATTCGCTGAATCCGAGAAATATTTTTTGTTGTAATTTAAACACAGCCCTGCTCTTAACAAAAAAAAACAAAAATCTTACAACCAAAGTAACGTGCGAATTTTTTTGTCCTATATTGGACCCAAAATAAAGTTGTTCTATATTATTACCGACTGAAAAAGTTATAATTGTATACAGCGTCATCTAATGATTTGACTTTAAGGTAACTATTTATAGAACTCGTTTTTACAGTATTAAAGTTAATTGTCCAATAACTGTGTACTTTACCCTACGTAGAACCTCACAACACCTATTAATAATACCTTTTACTCTTTCATCTATTATTGTCACCTTGTGAGTCTAGTGTTTGACTGACTGGTCTCGATTTCCTTCCTATATTATTTACTTGGTCTTCCTAGAGTAGTTTAGTAGTATCCTTCAAACGCTTTGAAATATGGCACTGGTTTATAATGCAAGCATCTTACCATAACACCATTCATACTACTTGAAACACCAACATTGCATGAGAGCCTCTCTCATTTTAAACAATAGACTCTTCAATCACTCTCAGCCAATAATTATGCATTCAAAAGACTCGAGTCACCGTTTCAAAGTGTAGAAACAGCCTGTCCAAAAGGCTTTGCATCAATCAATTGTTTTCGATCCGATTTTATCAGACCAGAGGCGGGCCAACAAGTCAGCAGACACAAGCACGCAAGGTGCTTATGCAACCAATGTTGGTACAGGCGTTGGTGGCGGTGGAATTAGAGGCATAGAGGGCCAAATCGTAGGGCACGTCTTCAAACCGCTCGTGACGAGGTTCGTCAACTCCCTCAAGGACATCAAAACGCAGGAGAATCTGGTAAGTTTAAGATAAGATAAGATAAAGTAAAAGATGATAAATCATAGTAGACTAAATAATTGGTTTTATTTTTTAAATGTATTTATTTATTTTTTAAATTTTAATTAAAGTAGGTGCTCAAAATGGTGACCTTCGACTTCAATGCATTTATTAATACGCATTTCGTTTTAATATTCTGCTAACACTAGAGATGTAAAACACGGTTTTTTTTCAGATGTGAAAAAAAACATGAAAAAAAACCTAAAACGGTTTTTTTTGTTTTTTTTCAAAATGAAATTTTGAGTAAAATATATATTAATAATAAAGTGAAATGTAGAATATGGGGCATTTCACGCCAAGCGGGCAACTTTAAAAGCAAAGTTGTTTAAATTTGTTCATATTTGGGTATGCTGTACCCCTAGGGGGTCTTAGCATTGACATAAAACTATTTGACCCTGCGAAGCCTAGGGACCCTGCTAGGGGCTTTTACATTTTCGTCAAAACGTTGTGCATGGTGTATTTTAAAGGGGTCTAGCTTCTTGAAAAATCTTCGTAGAAAAAAAATAAAAAATCACATTTGTAGGTAATTGTATGCTCTTTTTCGTTATGCACTCAAATTAAAAATTCCAATTTGTTAAAAATAAAAAAATTTGTTTTAAAAAATTAAAATTATAATTTTTTTAATTTCGGCCAGTTTTTGTTTTTTTTTTAATTGCTTAAAAATTCTCTCAAAATGTATAGATGAGGCATACAAAATTTTGTAATGGGATGAGCACTCGTTTAAATGCTAGAGGACTTGAAGTAAACCCTCCTCAAACCTAGTGGCGCGCCGCGGCGTTAGGTCCTAGCGCGTGATACACTGTTTAGTCGATCGCGCTTTTGAAAAACTTGTTAAATAAAATTTAATTATTGTGCACAACTACATCGATATTGTTTAACTTGATTTTATTGTCCTTTTTAATATTTTTTTACTGAAACAAAAAATATAGGCATTTAAACATGCAGCATTGCATTACAATAAATTTAGTAGGTACTTACGAACCCACAAATTTTCTTAACATTGTGGTTATATATAATTATGTTGACAATGCTTTTAATTATGATTTAAAATTGATTGTTTGAAAATAATAATAAACCAATATTTATAGTAAAAAAATAATATTAAATAAATTGTTGAGACATTATTATTGTAAATAAAACATCTTCTTTGGGCCTTTCAATTAATTTATTTTATAATTTTGATTAGGTACCTTATGTTTTAAACTATTACTTGTATTTTTAACTAGAATTCCTTCGAGGGTTGGAATAAACGCGTGAAATTTTCTTGTTCCGGGAATAGTACTAGCATTAACAAAACGATTTTCTAAAAATATCCTTTCTTGTAGAATTTCTTCCTTGCTGCAATAATAAATCGAAGTTTCTGTTAAAGTTTTTTGAGCCCAATTAAACAAACGCTGTGGAGTAGTGATAGCCTTTTCTGATGGCAACTGAAGACTTGCACGGGATGCCAAACGCTTTAAATTGCCTCCGAGTCCATGCGCAGTAGCATGAAAATGTAACTCTGCTTTTTTAATAAAATCTTGCTTGTGATAAAATAGATTTAAAAAGTTAAAACGATTTTTGATATGCTGTGATGCTCCGTCTGTCACGTAAAAAAGTTTGGATACCGGCAAACATTTCTTTTCAAAATGTTTATGTAAAATTTTATGAAATTTATTAAAGGTCGCAGTATCGTGCTTAAGGTCGTCAGTTATCATTACAATGCTTTCATGTTTTACTTCTCGTTCTTTATTAAAGTAAAACACGCATGTTAAAAGGGTGGCTTGATTGTTGTTCCAGTGGAAAGATTGGGCAGCATCTTGAACTACAAAACTGTAGTTCTCAGCAAAATCACACTGGACCATAATTTCTTCTTCAACTAAATTTTCCTTTAATTATTTAAAAAAAGATGCTTGCTGATCCACAATATAGGCATGTGGTTTTAGTACATCAAGGCCAGCGCATAGACGATCAACAAAATCATCGATAGGTAGTATTTGGGTTGTAAAAGAAGAGCGATCAGTACCAATCCAAGCTTCAAATGTCACACTTTTTATTTGAAATTGATCAAAAACCATTCTTGAATTATTCTTATACCAGGGCGATTTGCAACTTTCATTTTTTTTTGAGATTTCGATGTTAATAAATGACAAACTGAAGTTGGATTGGCACACATCATTTTTTGTAGGCATCTTTATAGGAAGCACCAGCGATGACACATTGCTTAGGCCGAAAGGTAAAAAACTTTGTAATTCCCACCTTCACATATGAATATTCCTGTTTAAAAGTTTCATAAAGTTCTTTTACATTACAAAGAATTAATTGTTTTTGCAAATGTTCCCTTTTTCAATCGTCCTTTTTAATGGATACAAAATCTTTTTTACCAGGCATTACCCGGCTGTTATCTTCTCTAAGATAAAAGTCTTTTACCAGTGTCTCAGTTTTAGGCTCCATCTTTCGTCCTTCACGAGGATTGTGCGTAGACATTATGCCGTATTTTTTCACCAACTCTTTTGCATTTTTTGCCTGCCTTCTGGATGTTCCAAACTCTTTTGCAAGCCTGTTCCACGATTTTGGAGCAATAGTTAGAATCATAGTCTTTATTGGCCCTGGTATAGAAGGATCATTAAATTTTTGTTTAAGTTGCTCCAAAATTTATTTATATTTATATTTCTTATTTTTAAATATTGGTTTATTATTATTTTCAAATAATCACTTTTAAATCGTAATAAAAAGCATTGTCAACATAATTATATATAACCACAATGTTTAGAAAATTTGTGGGTTCGTAAGTAACTACTAAATTTATTGTAATGCAATGCTGCATGTTTAAATGCCTATATTTTTTGTTTCAGTAAAAAAATATTAAAAAGGACAATAAAATCAAGTTAAACAATATCGATGTAGTTGTGCACAATAATTAAATTTTATTTAACAAGTTTTTCAAAAGCGCGATCGACTAAACGGGACTAGGACCTAACGCCGCGGCGCGCCACTAGGTTTGAGGAGGGTTTACTTCAAGTCCTCTAGCATTTAAACGAGTGCTCATCCCATTACAAAATTTTGTATGCCTCATCTATACATTTTGAGAGAATTTTTAAGCAATTAAAAAAAAAACAAAAACTGGCCGAAATTAAAAAAAAATATAATTTTAATTTTTTAAAACAAATTTTTTTATTTTTAACAAATTGGAATTTTTAATTTGAGTGCATAACGAAAAAGAGCATACAATTACCTACAAATGTGTTTTTTTATTTTTTTTCTACGATAATTTTTCAAGAAGCTAGACCCCTTTAAAATACACCATGCACAACGTTTTGACGAAAATGTAAAAGCCCCTAGCAGGGTCCCTAGGCTTCGCAGGGTCAAATAGTTTTATGTCAATGCTAAGACCCCCTAGGGGTACAGCATACCCAAATATGAACAAATTTAAACAACTTTGCTTTTAAAGTTGCCCGCTTGGCGTGAATGCCCCATATATTAAATTTTTCATTATTGAAAATTTTGACAGAGACTAAAAAATCTGATTTCTTATTATTTGGTAGTTTTCATATTAGAAACCAGTAGCAATGTAAAACTTCTACACCAATACAAAAAATTAAAGGATAAAAAAAATTGTTTTGCGATTCTTCGCATAGCTGTATCTTTGTTAAAAATGGTCGTATTGGAGCCGTAAAAGTTTCTAGTTTTGAGATTTTTAGATGAAAAATGTGCAACGCTCAATCCTAACAAATACCGTAATAAAAAAATCGATTTTTTTTGCTTTCTGGTCCACGGAATGTTCTGAGTTAACCTTGGTAGCTTTTTGAAAAATCAAGCGCTGAATCAAAAATATTATATGTAGTTACTTTTTTTAGGACCAAATCAAAACAAGCGCGGCCCTTATTGGTCAATTCGGTGGTGGTGGCGCGTGCATAGCGCGAGACTGTATTTACATTTACTAATTGTCATTTAGTGGCTAATTTTAGTTCATTAAACCTAAAAAATTAGGCAAATGGGACTAATCTTGAAAAAAAACCTAAAATATGAAAAAAACCATTTGAAAAAAAACAATGAAGAAAAACCTGAAAAAAAAACGGACCGTTTTTTTTTCAAGTCGCATCTCTAGCTAACAAAATTCCAAAATCTCTAGATAATTCTCGTGTGCTTGCATGAGGATTAGCGGCCGCTGCTGCTAATACATTAATTTCATTATTTCCACCTGCGACTGTTGCTCGACGAACTCTTTTTTTCGGTTGAACACTCCAGTTTGTAGTAACCTGCTTGACTGCACGGTAAAATGAAGTACGTGATCGAATTTTATCCGGAGAACGCTGAGCGTAGATATTAACAGCATCATCAAAGATTCCTGCCTGCTTCTCCATAAATCAAAATCATTTCTCTTATTTCTTCCACTGTTAAAAATCCATTATGAATAACTCTGTGGGTAAAAGGCATAAGGGGATAAGTCAAAACAAGCAATTTTTCAGTGGAGCCTTAAACGCGTTCGCATTAATTTAGGAAATATATATTTGGTTGGTGGGTATACCCTTTTGGTAGCTCATGTCATATGCTACCAAAAGGGTATAACCGCTAACCATAAATATATTTCCTGAATTAATGGGAACACGTTTAAGGCTCTGCTGAAAAATTGCTTTTTTTGACTTATCCCCTTATGCCTTTTACCCACAGAACTGCTTAACGAAAGGAGGACTTTTTGTTTAAAAATTAATCTTCGAAATAAATTGATTAAATAATGCTAAACTATAAATGGTTTCTTTATACCTCAATAATAATTATTATTTATAACTAAATACCATTTTTTATACCTTAATTACGATTAAATTTCATAATTGACAAAATAATGTTTTTTTTTACCATAACTGAGGTATTTTTATTAAAAATAGTACAATAATCCTTTAAATTGATTAAATAATGCTAAACTATAAATGGTTAATGGTTAATGGGTACTTAAAAAAATCAAAAAAAAAAAAAATCAGATTTAATTTAATAAGATAATTATTACCAAAAAAAGTGATATTTTTATAGAAAAATTATTGCCGAATCGAATAAGAAGAAAAATCACACAAAATTGATTTTTTTCATTACAGCGACATCTATTACAAATATGAAAAAATGTTTAGACAAAATCTACCTATTTTTAGTCTAATGATCCGAATCTTCCCCCTATAAGGAGGAGAGTATGAGGACCAATTTTAGTACTGATTGATTTCCCCCCTCGAATCATTTTTTCGTAAAATGCAATATCGGCTATATGTTGTTCTATACTTCACATAATGCCTTTTGAAAAGGCGTTTCATAATACCTATAAAAAAACAACCGTAAATTTGTTAGAATTTTACAGTTTTAATTGGAATGTCATGATCAAATTTAAAAATCGTCAAGCTAGAAAAACCAATCCAAAACTGGGCTTTGATAGCTATTGGTAACGGTTGTTTATTTGTAAAATTCCTTAAAAAACGTAATGGTCATTTAGAAAGATATCAAAGAAAATATTCGTGCTGAAGCGGCCTCATTTAGTTCAAATTCAGAAAATACCAAATTTGGCTCAACAGAGAGAATGTGGAAGCTATCGAAAATTTACGCGTCTAATACTTCATGGAAAAAAATTTCGATCTTAAAAACGTGTCTCAAACTACAGGAAAAGCTTTTCACATTCTTAAAGAGAAATTCGGAGCTTGCCGCCGCGAGAAAATTGTTTGCTTGGCAATTGGGAACATTGAAGACGTCGGACGCTAATTGTAAAACCACAAAACACAAAAAATGTTCCCGAAAGTTTACTATTACGGAAGACGATACTTCTTGTGCTCTGTTTAGAAAATATTATTAAGATTATTTTGTTTTAAGACGAGATAAGGCATTCTAAGTATTTTTCTTTATTAAAATTACTTTCCAGGGATTATATTGCGATATTCGTCAATTAATGACTTACATCAAGGAAGGACATGGTAGTACCTTTAGGAGAGTAGCCTTGAGTGCTTTATTGGACACTGCTGATCGTCCTAGTAAAAAAGAAGTAAACATGCAAACAACTAGGGTTATAAGGTAATTTTTTTAATTTAATGTTCCTTAACTAACATAATAATCTTTAAAACAGACATGTCCATGTATCTGATATGGAAGAACAACAAGAAGTCAATCCAGATGCATCATTTACCATTGACGAGAGAGGTGTTAGAAAATTACTCTTTAAGAAAAGAAGCACGTCGTCTACATGTGCTTTGAGCATGAAAGTTGGTACCTTACGAATTAGTCAATCGTTTGTCTAACATCCTCCACCTTTTAGAGCTTACTGGAGACCGAAGGTGAAGATTTTTCCAAAGCAAGTCAAAGTCCTTTAGGCAACTTAAGAAGAAAGCACTACATCTTGACGCCAAGGCATAGCGAAAAAGCGTTTCAAATTTCTGTCGCATCGAAGAAAAAATCAAAGTTGGGCGGAATAGGTAATAACATTCATAATGTCAAATCGAACACAATAATTAATACATTATACATATAAAACTAAAATATCTCATTCACAGTAAACTGGTTTAAAAAAGGCGACCAAGGATCAACAGATGAAGCTGATAATATCGAAAATGGAGAATCATTTACCGATACCACAAGCTTTTTGAAGCAAACTAAATTTTATCAGCAGAAAACATCAGGAAGAAGTAATGTGGGCCACACTATTCAAAAGGCGAAGCGTAGAATGGAAGATAAGTTTAAGTTTGTTTTAAAGAAAGGCAAAAAGAAAGATGGAAGTTTGGAGGATTCCGCTGGAGGAAGTAAATGTTATAATATAATATATATAAAGATCGCATTTTTATCATTTCTTTTTTTAGTGTTCAGCAGAAAAAACTCTTTCGAGTTTGGTGAAACCTCGAGAGAATCGGAATTCGTTATTCTTAAAGAAAGAAAACTCATCTCCACAGATTTGGTCTATAATGGAACTTTGCGGCTTTCATTCTTACTGGAAACTTGTCCACCTGGCTCAGTCCCTGATGCCCATCTACTTGCATCAGTATTGGACCTTGTAAGCATATTAATAAAAAAAACAATAACACTATGATAGTTTTAGAAACTTTTTTTCCTAACATTGAGTACTCCAGCTTAGTTTAACTAATTTTGGACCGCTGATTTCAAAAATGTCATGTTTTTTTCTCTAGAACGTCTAGGATTTAAAATTATTTCGTAATAAAATGCTCTGCTCAATCACCTCAAAATGTAAGTTTGAATGTACTGAAGTAGTAGTCAAATAGATCATATTTATCTTAACAATGTGATATTTTAAATACTAAAACTAAAATTTTAATGTAGGTATTTTATGTAAAAAACAACCGATATTTGACATTTTTTTGTCGTTTATTTTAATTATTGAATTGAAAGGGCAAGAAAGTAATTAAGCCCATAAAATTTAATGAATTGCATAATTTGGCTTTTTTCTACCTTAAATTTATTAAATCGTATCAAGTATCGAATTAAATTATAGTATTTTTGTGCTTAATCCTCATCATCGTCGTACATCTTTTGCTGTAAATTCCAGCAAATGTCTCCTAGCAATGAATCCAACTTCTTTCCGCTATACCCATAGATACCTACCAATACTCTAGATTTGCAGTTACTTGGTGAAATCGTTCTCCATGTTCATCAGTTCGGCAAATTTATCAGGATGAAAAAAAAAGAAAATGTATTTTAAATGACATATTAACGTTAATTCTTTACAAAACAGAGAGCATTTCTTCAATGAATGGCGCCAATTTTAGGCCCGGTATGAACCAAGAAAATTTTCAATGACAACTTTAACACTGCCATATGCGACAAGCTCGTCAACTTTGAGAGCATTTTTGAATGCTTGACCTTTCATTAAACGTCGTATATAAGGTCCATTTAATATTCCTGCGAAATTAAAGTAGTAGATATATCTCATAAAATTTTGTAATGAAATATTGCGTTGGTTTTTCTTGGGCGTAAAGGTACCGCAACAAAAACAAAACAAATTTACAACGACAACATTAAGGTTCGTCTCCTTTCTCTTTCTCTGCCACTTCCATTACCACTTCCATTTCCTGCTCTTTTTTCATTTTTGGTTCTTAAATTCACTTTCAAGTAAAAATACAATTTAAAGTTTAAATTTTAAATGTCAAAAATTAAGATGCCATTTAATGTGCTTGAACGATAAAGTAGATAAAGGCGCCTTTATACTTCAATTCGATATTAAATTTTGATAAGACTTATGCCCGTATCCACCGTTTTAAAGCCTAGTTAGCAAATCTCTATTATGTTAATCTTTCTCCATCATAATGCACCGTACGCGGATTGTGCAATCTGGATTGGCGATTTGGAAAAGCTGTTTTATTTGTCAAAAAACCACAAAAAACTGTCTAATCGATTGACAACCATAGAGAAACAAACTATGTTGACAAACTAAAATTTAAATTTTGTTATATGCCTAATATACAATAATTTTTATATAGAACATTTTTTTGGATCATCCTTCGTCTGTCCATAAAATGGGAGACCAGAATTCCTAACTTTTTACCAGCGGAAAAAGAAAATCTAATGATGATTGTTATGAGGTATTCTAAAATATTGGAAGACAAAAAAAAACTAACAGAACTGGGCTTCAATATTCAATTTCATTAAGAAAGTTTAGAACGGTGGGTTTAGTCAATCGAAATCGGCGAAAAAACCAAAAAATGTCCATGGTGTCAAAATATTCGCTCCTTTCATAATTTCGTCGCGGAAATCCAAAATTAATTATCTCCAGAATATCTTGATCATCTTCTACAAATAGTTCTTCTTCTAAATCCATTATTTAATTATAGTTTTTACTATTTCTACTATTACTAGTTTTTGAAATCTACTTTTGAAGTTTGGAACTAAAAATTTGGTTAGAAAATCAGTTAATCCTGCGCAGTGGCGTATTTAGGATTTAGCTCCGGGGGGGGTCCAAAAAAACTAACTAAATATGTATACATATTTAGTTAGTTTTTTTGGACCCCCCGGAGCTAAATCCTAAATACTATACTATGCTATGCTTTTCCAGACCGCAAAATCACATTCCCTGCACATGTCAGAAATATTCCCAGGAATATTCCAAGCGTCCCAGAATATTCCCAGGAATATTCCTGGCATAATCAAATGTCCGCTTTTTGGTTAATCCAGGCATCATAAAAAGAATATTCCATGTATCTGCCTGCAGAAGACTCAAGGATTGTTAGGGGAATATTCCTTGATATAATTTGGGATTATTCCCAGCCCTCATTGCCTCTTATACCCAGGAACTTAACTTAAGTATAGCCATTATTGAGTTACTGAGTAGATCAGCCCCACTCTAATCATTGTTTGGCTGTGCCATCACAAACGCACATCGCATCGCATGCGTAAGCAACGGTGAGAGGTATTGCAACTAAACTAATGAATATTCACTGGGAATATTCTTAGATGAGGCTTGGAAGTTTTAGAGGATCATTCTAGGAATATTCCCAATGAATATTCCTAGAATGAAGCGGATTATTCCTAGGCGATAGGGAATATTCCTGGAATATTTTCGAACCTTCATTGCAGTCTGGGTTAATAACTAAAAAATCACAAATTAGGAACTCTTCTGATCCGATAAAATAGTAAATAAAAGTAACTTTTTTTGTAATAAAAATAATAAAATATGTGCGCCCGGGGGGGGGGTCCGGACCCGGCGGACCCCCCCCTAAATACGCCACTGATCCTGCGATTAAACCTACCTCGCCGGTGGATCTCGTAATCGAACAATTAAACTACATTTTTCGCGCGGTGCATAAATAAGATTGGAGATTGAATTTTTGGGTACTTAAGGCATACTGTAAATAAAAAAATCAAATAATAGCTTCGACTATAGTCGAAGAGTAATGTTAATACCAATACCCATTTACTTTGTTGCCTTTTCAATTCAATTAGTAGGTAATTAAAAAAACGACACAAAAATTTAAAAAAATAATACTTTTTAACCAAAAACGTTATAATTTTAGGCTACAATGGAAAAAAAATATTTGACATTGACATTTACCTATCTACCGATGACTTTGTATGGAGTCCCTGTATATTTTTGATAAAAACCGTTAAAAATATACTAATACGAGTATACATCTAAAATAGATTTAGGGCAAAATAATTTAATAAATAATCAAAATATTAACGAAAAACTTACATTTTAAGATAATTGGACAGAGCATTTTATTACGAATCCTAGACGTCCTGGAGCAAAACGAGTGACATTTTTGAAATCAGCAGCCCAAAATTAGGTAATATAGGTGGCGTACTCAATGTTAGTAATTCTAACTATCATAGTGTAATAAACATAGTGATAATTTTATTACAGCCCCATTCAGCCGTTGTGGCGAAAGCAGCTCTTCTTCTGGAGTGCTCCCACTTCGTACATTGTTGTAATAAAGGCCAATGGCCGTCATGGATGAAGCTTAACTTCCCAATGTTCAGACAATCCGGTCCATTGCCCGCGAGAGGCCCAAGTGCAGGAGTAAGGAGATCGCATATAATGCAAAGATCGGCCGGTAAAATGTTCCATCAATGGGCTGAAGTGTTGGGCCAGCGTTTGGAGGAATTCATAAATGACGATAAAAGTTTGCAACCGCAAATTGCTGCGATGATTGCTGATGAACAAAAACAAAAAGAGTTACTGGTTCATGATGAAGAAGAAGACTTTCTGGATGAAGCCAGTATCTACTCGTATGGTTCTAGTTGCCCCATGCCTCTAAGACTAATCGCTTGTGTTCTGCTACATGAGATTACATCATTTTTGAGGGAGACATATCAGACCCTACCTAAATCTTCTAGAGTTGCTGGTAATTATACCATTAGTGGCATGTTGTTTTTTTAATATTTTAACATTTAGGCTCTAATATTGGTAAAGACAGACCTCCTCCATGGGAAAGGTTGTACAGCCGGGAGGCTAATAGACGGTGGAGTATGGCTTTATCATCCATGGGACACTCGCAAACTTCAGCTCAAAGTTTGCAATCAATTGCTTGTGACAGAGACGCAGGTACACGTTTGAAAAATGTCATCTTGTTTCGTTTATTACACTATGATAGTTCAAATTACTAACATTGAGTACCTAATTTTGGGCTGCTGATTTCAAAAATGCCACTCGTTTTGCTCCAGGACGTCTAGGATTCGAAATAATTTCTGCAGAAAAGTGCTTTATTAAATACAAAAACTAAAATCATAATGTTTTTATGGTAAAAAGTATCAATTTTTGAAATTTTTGTGTCGTTTAGTTACTAATTAAAAGGCAACAAAGTAAATGGTTTTTGGTATAAGCATTACTTTTTGACTATTATTTGATTTTTTTTATTCACATCATGCCTAAAGTACCCAAAAATTTAATCTCCAATCTTATTTATCAAGTTTTATCAAAATTTAATATCGAATTGAAGTATAAAGGCGACTTTATCTACTTTATCGTTCAAGCACATTAAAGTGCATCTATTAATTATTGACATTTAAAATTCAAACTTTAAATTGTATTTTTACTTGAAAGTGATTTTAAGAACCAAAAATGAAAAAAGAGCAGGAAATGGAAGTGGCAGAGAAAGAGAAAGGAGACGAACATTTATGTCGTCGTTGTAAATTTGTTTTGTTTTTGTTGCGGTACCTTTACGCCCAAGAAAAACCAACGCAATATTTCATTACATAATTTTATGAGAAATATACCTACGACATTTTTGAAATCAGCCGCCCAAAATTAGTTAAACTAAGCTGGAGTACTTAATGTTGTGAAAAAAATCATAGTGTTATTGTAATGTTTGTTTAAGGACAAGCAGAAAGAAAAATAAGCTTTGTTTTACACGAGCCTGATAATGAATCTGAAGGCAGTAGTAACACTACAATAACTATGCAACATATGATGCAAGCTGAGGATAAACGACTGGGCAGTCAAAGCCGGCCGTACTATTTTAGACGTGGTACAACTGCCCCAACCCCATCCAGTGGTTCTTTTAAAAGGCGTAGTTTAAAGTTGCGCAGGGGAACCAAAGAAGGCAAAGACATGGAATTGGAATGTAAATGTAATTATTTGCAAATATGTGTTATTGATTCGTATGTTATAGGGAGAATTCCTGAAACAGTTAAAAGAACAGACTCCATTCAGTCTAAACGAAAAGTTAGTTCTATATCCGATAGAAGTGACACCTCTGAGCCTGGAATAGTTGGAGAGGCGAGTGGGGAAGAATCTCCCGGAGTTTTAAGTGATGATCAACCTCCGGAAAGTCCAAGTGATACTGACACAGACGATTTCACTAAAAATATGCCTTGGTTAAAAGTAAATTAACCTCATGCATATGAGTCATTCCAAATAAAAACACCAAATGGGGTGCGCTGCTTGATTTTTTATTTTGATAAAAAAATTGAGGTATCAAATATGAAAATCCGTTGCCGTTTTAATTTTTGGATTCTTTAATCGGCACCTTTTAGAAATCTGAAATCGTGTCAATTTCTTACTCTCTTATAGTGGGCCAGAACTTTTTTCTGTGACAAATATTAAAATGATTTTTATTTTGTTTTACTGTTCAGTAAGTGTGTTTTCGATATAAATTATATTATCCAATTAGTTAATCTCATAAAAGAATGGTAAACCACTAAAGATTCATGATAATTTGCCAATTTTTGTGATTTTTGTCTGGCTCCCGTGCCTATTCTACTAAATCTAGAAAGGTATTTTTTTTCAGGTATCAAGTAATACAATAGAAAACGTAACCATTATTTTAAGTTTCTAGACTATCATTTTCTTTATTAAAAAAATTATTGAAACTTGATAATTCTTAAAATTAGTCAATTTTGCCTTCAGAAAACATTATGTTGAGGAAAAAATAAATATCTGAAACTTTCAGGAAATATAGTCCCCACCTTCATCTTTTCAGTCCAGTTAGTCTTGTTTTGTTATTTTTATTCCTTTAAAAGATATATTAATTTTTTTTAATGCCCGTTTAGTAGCGATATTGTTAGTTTTATTTATAATTTAAAATTTAGATGGCTTTCATGTTTGGTGGAGAAGTGTCAGAACTGTCAAAAATATTTTATAAATATTTTTTTTCGTATTTCTTTGGTAAATTTTGTATTTAACATAATATGATTATATATTATATACATTATAATATATATTATTATATTATATATAATATATATTCAAGATCCTTATGGTTTATATCGTAAAGTATAATAAGTAAAATTAATAAAGAGTTTATTTAAACGTATAAAAAAATGCATTAAGCAGTTTTTAGTCGGTTTCTTTCACAATTTAAACCAAGTTAGTCTTGTTCTATTATTTTGATCCCTTTAGTTAAAAGTTATATGTATGTATTTTAAATGTTAGTGTTGGAAAAAAATTTACACAATCTGTAATGACTTCTTTAAATTTTAGTTTTTAGGTAACTGGTTAAAATAAAACATGTTATAATAAAGGGGTTTATTTAGAATATTTTTTGGTTTTTGCTTATTTTTAACAATTTAAAACTTTTCAGAACTTGAATATTTTCTACGACAAAGAGGTACAAAATTATGATATGTTCTTGCATTTTTATTTCCATTAAATTCATGAATCTCGAACTCCGTCATTTATTACACTTGCAAACTTGCAAACTTTTTGAAATCACAATTTCTAATTTTTGACAGTTCTGACATTTCTCTACCAAACATGAATTGACTAAGTCAAAGCCATCTAAATTTTAAATTATAAATAAAACTAACAATATCGCTTCTTAACTGCATTAAAAAATTATTTTATCTTTTACATGGATAAAAATAATAAAACAAGGCTAACTAGACTGAAAAGATGAAGGTGGGGACTACATTTCCTAAAAGTTTCAGATTTTTATTTTTTCCTCAACATAATGATTTTTGAGGGCAAAATTGGCTAATTTTGAAAATTATCAAGTTTCAATAATTTTTTTAATAAAGAAAATGATAGTCTAGAAGCTTAAAATAATAGTTACTTTTTCTATTGTGTAAGTACTTGAAACCTGAAAAAAGCAACTTTCTACTTTTAGCAGAATAGGCAATAGGCCAGACAAAAATCTCAAAAATTGGCAAATCTTTACTGGTTTACCATTTTTTTATGAGATGAACTAATTAGATAATAATAATTAATATTGAAAACATACTTACTAGGCAGTAAAATAAAATTACAATGCCACAGATAAAAAGTTTTAGCCTCTTATAAGAGAGTAAGAAAATGACACGATTTCAGGTTTCTAAAGGGTGCCGATTAAAAATAAAGCAACTAAAAATTAAAACGGCAACGGTTTTCCATATTTGATACCTAAAATAAAAAATCATGCAGCGCACTTTTAAATTCATTTTTGGTGTTTTCATTTGGATTGACTAATATGTAAGCTACGTACCTACCCTTAAATTTACTTTTTTCCTAGACCATGGTCTTGGTATCGAACTCCTTCTACTACTTTTGCACGCACCAAAACTTCTGCCATCCGTTTTGCTATCGCCGCGTGATGCGCGGCTGTTCCCGTTTGATTAAAGCAGTTAGAAAGATATACGGCGAAGAGTTTGGAGTGCTCGACGAAAAACTTACCATGGATTACGAAGAGAAGAAGAAAAACAAAAAAGATAAAAACCAAAATAGGAAAGTATCAGACCAAACCAGTAGTCAAATTTCCCCTATACGTAGAAAAGATAGTGTCGGAAAGAAAGATAAGTAAGTGCTTTTATTACACCAGCAATTTTGTGTTTTGCATTTTAATGCACTGCTTTTAAAAGGTCAGTCCTAAATACACGTCATATTAAAACATGTTTAACATCCCTGATAGCACAGTTTATTCTAAGAATGTTTTTTAAACCTTCCAGTGGGAATATTCTTAGGATCATGGTTATTTCTTCTAGTCATGTTCTAAGAATGTTTTTTAAACCTTCCAGTGAGAATATTCTTAGGATCATGCTATATTTCTTCTAAAGAACATGCTTAGAAGAAATATAGCATAATCCTTAGAATATTCTCACTGGCCTATAGGCAGGTTCTTAGAAGGTGCAAAGTTTAGTGGTAAAAAGTAATCCACTCTAAACATATGCTTACAATGTTGAGAAAGTAATTGCTATAGAAAGTTGATTTAGGAATATACCTGGAACATTCTGTTAGGCATATTCAGTTTAGTTAGGTACCTATATAATAGTAAAATATACCATAATCTACGTATAAATATACCTATACTTGGTATTAAATACTAAGTAAAAAACACAACCCAAAATATTTTTTTATAGTTATTTGTCAAATTAAAACAATATTCGATAACAAAAATACTTTTACTATAGGTATCTAAATTATCCGGCTTTTACGTAAAATCTTCTATCCAACTTAAATACAATGAAACATGTTTTTTTATGAAGAACTATTTGATTTTTTCTTTTATGAAGAATTATTTTATAAGGAAATATTTTATTTTTTTATATTTTATTTTTTGTTAAAAATAAATATTTATTAATTTGTATAACGATTTTTTATATCTGAATTAACATTTTAATGTATAATAATCCTAACTATCTTCAACTTCAATCTAATCTGACTTATCCCACAAAATTTTCCAATTTTACTTTTTATGAAATAATGTCATACAACTTAGGGTTTAGAGGTCAAATTGTTTATTTAATATTTTTAAATAAATATATATTAATATGTCGCAAAATTTTTTAAGGGGACGACAAATACATTTCACTGTCATATTATGACAGTGAGGCGTATTTGTCGCCTCCTGAAGAATTTTACGAATGTAGAATCCAACATATTAGAACGTGGGTATCTGACATATTTGGAAATATTCTAAAAAGCTTCCTAGAAGCTCCATAAGAAACCTTCTAAGAACATTCCAAAAACGTATTCTTAAAATGTTCTTAGAATGCTTTTTAGGAAGGTTTTAAGAAGCTTCTAAGAATCTAATTGCATCATTAAAAGGGTATCTATTGAATGTTTTAAAAGTCCCTAAGAACATTCTTAGCAATAAGGGAAGGTTCTAAGAATATTTCATTATTCCGTGTCATATCTTCTTAGAAGATTCTTAGAATCAAATTTTGCTATCAGGGATGGTGTAGTTTGCATGCACATTATTAAATATCGGCACGAATAATTTCAAATGCAAAAAAACATTTGTAATATGTTGTTTGATGCATTGTTTTACTAACAGAATCGACAAGAATCTAAATGGGTCCCAAATGAGTAAATTGGGAAAAGATTCGTCAAGAGATATCGCTGATTCAGAGGCTGGAACTGATTCTTCCAAACCTACCAAAGAAGGAAAACCGAAAGATCCACCACCAATTCTTAAATACATTAAGGGCCAGGTAATTATACCCTGCACACAGTGGTCAAAACTAAAGTATAGGACGAACAAAAATGCCAACCAAAACTGATAGCATAATCTGATTATAGACTCTTTTGGTAACACAAAAATGTATTTATCAAAATCCCAGCTGATATTTCTTAGTATTTTAAAATTGTTTATGCTATTTCGATAAAATACTCTAGTACCATTATCAAATGTTTTTAAAAATTTGGCAGATACATGACTGAAATATGGATAAATTACATTATAAATACAAAATAATGTAAAATACAGTTTGCAATATCTTATTTATTGTTTTAAGGTACCTAATACAAAACTAATAAATAACTAAAGATTCTTTGAAGCAAAATCGATTACTGCTTGCCTTAAATTTTCAGTAAAACTTTTTCTTGGGTTTTAAATGGAATTGTTTTTAACATGGAAACAGTATTTTTAAATTCTTCAGTCTCTGTACAAACATGCTTCTTACATCTAGCGATATCCCCTAGAAAGGAAGAGCATATCAAAACTTTAGTTCGTTCGTCCGTCCTCTTCCCTTAATAATTTTTTATGCCCTTTATATCTTGCCATTTTGCAGATAAAGCACATACATTCTTGGCTGCCGCGAAATTCTCTAGCAATTACTAAATTTTGAAAATTTGGCAATTGTGGCTATGCACACGCCGTTTTTACCATATTGAAGTAGGTAATTTTGAATCACTTAAGTTAAAGTGTTCGTTTGAAAAAGTCTGCAGTAATTTTTATATTTTCTCAGAAACCCTAAACTCTCAATTTTTCGATTACCAAAAACAATTTTGTCTTCACAGCCAGCACATACCTTCTTTCGATTTTCTTCATGGCTTAACTTGAATTTCGGTTTAATTTTCATTTTAAAATACTATTTTTAACTTTATAAAGTATACATTAAATAAACAACTAAAGCAAAATGTCACTTGCGTTATAACGTACAGCAATTTTTTTCATAACCACCTTAATTATTGTTTTACAAAATTTGCAAGTTGTTATTATTTTATAGACAAATTTCCAGAATTTTTTGTTATAAAAAATATTTAAGATATAAATCTTCGTTTTTTTGTTATGTTTTGTTTTGAGTGGTAAAAAATAATAGGTGACCCAATAAATTAATACTGGGGAGTAAAGTAATTTAAACGATACAAAGTTTATTATTTTGCTTAATTTTATTAAAATTGTACAGGTAGTTTTAGTACAATAATTGCAAAATAATATATAGAAATAGAAAAACAAAAAAGTTTGCAAAACTTTAAAATAGGATCAGCTGGGATTTTGATAAATACATGTTAGTGTTACCAAAAGGGTGTATAATCAAAATATGCTATCAGTTTTGGTTGGCATTTTTGTTCATCCTATACTTAAGTTTTGACCAAAACTAAGTTGTTTAATTTTCAGATCAAAAACGCTTTTCATGCACCTCTAGCGGTTCTCTTGAAAGGTGCAGCAATTTTATCCGAAGAACATTTTGTGGAAATTGTACCAGTAGCCTGGGAGTTGCTTTTAGAGCCAAACCAAGAGGTTACTGCTTGTGCGGTATCCATATTTATATTGGCAGCCGTGAAAGCTCCACAAGTTGTTTCAGACGTTATGCAACATGGATTATCCAACAGTGATCCTGCAGTTAGGATAAATGCCATATTAAGGTATGTACTATGCTCCACACCTCAAAGTCCCACCACGTCACCACGTACGGAACGCAGTCTTTTGAAAATTTGGCATTTAAGGCTTTTCAGGTTATGTATCTGTCAAAGTATAGTCAATGAAAGTAATAATATTTATAGTGTTACCGCTTATGTTTAAGCGTTAAAAGTTAAATAAATCTTTATAGTATCACAATAACAATGGTTGGTTTAAGAATTTAGGAATAAAAATACTGCATTTAATGAAATTCCAAAGTGTAAGGTGCAATATAAGTGATATTTTTGTGCATTGGGTCTACATTTCTCCATAAAATAGTTTGAACTAAACAGGATTTATTAAAAAAAATCTAACTTCTCTATTATCAAATAAGAATATCTGTATCAAAGGTAGGTTAATGTATTAGAACAAAAAATATCATCTAATTTTGTATTTTAAGGTTAAAAAAATATATTTTGACCAACATAAATAAGTGGATTATTTGGAAGAGTGTGTTAATATGGTCATAAATAAATATAGGTATATTAAATAATTGTTGAATATGGTTCAAATTAAATTGAAGCTTTTATACTTCTAACGACAAAACTTGTGCATACCTCTCGGCATACCTACTTTGAGTTAGATAAGAAAACAAACAATTTTTAGAGAAACTTGAAATGTGAAAATATTTAATACTCCCATGACATTTTATTTATTAAAATATTAAAGTTATAATGATTTTTCGATTTAGATCAAATTCAGTCGAAGCTTTTTAACTATTTGTATTGACAAAACCTTATGTAGGTACACTTAAAGCTGGATAAAAAAAACTACCACATTTTTAAATACCATATTATACAGTCTTTTAAATAATCCAAAATACTTATTTATTTTGGTCAAAATAAATTTTTCTGACCTTAAAATTACAAAATTAGCTGAAATTTTTGTTATAATATATTAACCTACCTTTAAAACCGATATTCTTATTCCAAAATAGAGAAGCTAGATTTTTTTAATAAATGCTGTTTAGTTAAAATTATTTTATGGGGAAAACCAGATATTTGGACCAAATGCATAAAAATATTACTTATTTGGCACCATACACTATAGAATTTCATTAAATGCAGTATTTATATTCTTAAATTCTTAAACCATCCATTATTATTGTAATGTTATAAAGATTTATACATTTTTAACGCCTAAAAATAATATTATTTCTTTCGTTGACTATACTTTGACAGATACATAACCTGAAAAGCCTTAAATGCAAAATTTTCAAAAGACTGCGTTCCGTACGTGGTCACGTGGTGGGACTTTGAAGTGTGGAGCATAGTACACTTTTTTAAACTGGTTTAATCATAACACATTTATTAAGGTTTCAAGTGTTATGGAAAATGAGGTACCAAGTATGGCCGAGGATGGAAGAGGGTGCTCATGTCCTCTTCAAAGTCCCACCTCCAGGAATCGAGTTTACCCTTCCATCTCCAAAGATTGGAATCGAGTCTCTGGACGTTGTCGACTCACCATGGGAGCTATCGGTCAAAACTAAAGTCGAGGAAGTGACCATTAATCAAGAAAGACACGTAAGATTATCATTTTTTAAAACAACAACAATCACACAGTAGTCTATAGTCGTCTATGCCAATGGATTTTGATACGCCGAATTCCAACCGATCTAAGAATTGCTCCACACCGTCAGGTTTTTAAGAAGTTTTAAAATCCCTTTTTAATTTTTTCTTCCAAGAATTCGTTTCTTAAAATTTATGTTTGACACGAAGAATCAAATTTTTAACCAAACCAAACTTATAAATTTCAACTTTTGAAAGAAAGAATTGTGTTTTTCTCCTAACTGTGATGAAGCAATTCTGAAGTTGGATTCAGTAGGTCAAAAAAAATGCGTGGACCTGTTTTATAAACGAATATTTTAGAGATCATTAGTGACAGCTACAAAAACTAGGAAGAAGGAGAAAACTGAGTTAATAAAAATGGCTTTACAAGCTCAGGATGACAAAAAACGAGAAGAAAGAGAGAATTTCTTGATTACCACCATTCCGATTACTATCCAAGCAGCTCACGAACCAAGCTTGTATCATACTGGGGAAGACCATGAAGAAGGTAATGTATCTATTTAAGCAAATACAAAAGTGTATATTAGACTGAGCCAAAAAATCAACTATTTTTTTTAAAGTATATCGAAAATATGGTTTGGGGTGACAAAAAAAAATTATTGTGAAAGTTTGAGTCCATATATTATTAGGTCTATCGCAATTTTAATATTTTTTTCCTCAGCAAGTTTTTGTATCAGAACTACCAAACCATTAAGTTTAACAAAATATTTTTTTAAGAAAATTAAATGCTCTACAAAAACGGTTAAATGAAATTTTCCGTCAGATGAACCGTTTCCTTAAAATCATGCCTTAAAAATTGGTATAGTTTAACATTTTGATCTTTTAACTTTGGAATTTTGTAATTCATGTAAAAATCAATACCCATAAAAAAACCGATAAATATTCTTATGGGAAATTAAATCTCTACAAAAAAAACCTCTTAACATTTTTGGTTAAATTCGCTAAATCAAAAGTTGTTAAAAGTGAGCATGGGGTACCGCAGGGAAGTGTATTAGGGCCCCTGCTCTTTATCATTTATATAAATGACATTTGTAAGTTTTTGAAAGATTGTTATATAAATTTATTTGCGGATGACACGTTATTATCCATTTCTGGAAAAAATCAATCAATAAAATGAATGCAACTTTGGATATTCTATTTAACTGGCTCTGTCAAAATAAATTAAAATTAAATACAAAAAAGACCAAATGTATGGTATTGGGCTCAAAAATAAATTGTAATAAATTCCTAACAAAAAGTTTATTTTTATCTATAAATAATGAAAAGATTGACTATGTTGATGAAAGTATTTAGGTGTCATTCTTGATCCTCAATAAAATTTAAGTAATCATATAAATTTTTAGTGTAAAAAGTTAGGTAAAAAAATTGGATATTTTTACAGGATTTCTCAAAACTTATCTCTCTGGACAAAAAAGTTAGTTTATAACACAATTATTTTCCCACATTTTAAAAATTGTTTATCTTAATTAATCACATCACCAAAAAAAGATGTTAATAAGTTACAGTTGCTCCAAAACAAAGCAATGAGGGTAATTTTAAACTGTGACAAATACACCTCAATTTTTAATATGTTAAAATCGTTAAAGTGGCTTCCAATTGATAAAATGATAGAAATGTCAAACTTAATTTTTATTTATAAAATCGAAAAAAACTTAACTCCTACTTACTTACAGCCTTATTTAGTTAAAAGATCAAGATTTCATACACATCAAACTAGAAACAAAGATGATTAGGTATAATGTGGAAAGATGCAATGTTAATATCTGTAAAAAATCACTATTTAATGAAGGTTTAAAATTATACAATAATCTGCCAGTAAATTTAAAGGTAACTGCAAATTTAAAAAGATTTGTAATGTTATGACTAGCATCTATTGCTAAATAAAAATTATTTTATTATTATTATTATTTTTTATTCAAGGTTAAAGTTGAAGTCAAAACTAAATTCTTGTTTTTTCCTCTGTAGATTTATTTTTTTATGGATGATAATTTGATTTTTTTTCTTTATAAGTATGTATTATATAACTAATTAACAATTTCCAATAAAAAACAACATTGTTATTATTTAAACGATTAAATAGGTACTAGTGAAAATAATATTTTCCAAAGAAAATAGCTTAATAAAGCGAAAAAATTTAATTTTCAGTAATTTTATCAATAACATAAAGATTATCATTGATAAAAGAATCCAAGTTTTTATCTGACCCAAAAAAAAATTTAGAGCGGAAAAAACAAGAATTTCGTTTTGACTCCAAATTTAACCTTGAATAACTTTTGATGGAGTGAATTTAGACAAAAATATTAGAAGACTTTTTTTGTAGAGCATTTGATTTCCCATAAGAATATCTCGGGTTTTTTTTCCGGGTACTGATTTTTACATGAATTACAAAATTCCAAAGTTCAAAGATCAAATTGTAAAACTATACCAATTTTTAAGGCATGATTGTAAGAAAACGGTTCATCTGACGGGAAATTCCAATCAAACCTTTTTTGTAGAGAATTCAATTTTCTTCAAAAAATATTTTGAAGTCAATTTTGTTAAATTCAATGGTTTGGGAGTTCTGAGACAAAAACTCGCTCAGGAAAAAAAAAATCTAAAATTGCGATGATAGACCTCCTAATATTAATATCATGGACTCAAACTTTCACCATAATTTTTTTTTGTCACCCCAAACAATATTTTCGATACACATTACAAAAAAAAATAGTCGATTTTTTTGGCCCAGTCTACACGGTGGTCAAAACTAAAGTATAGGATGAACAAAAATGCCAACCAAAACTGATAGCATAATCTGATTATAGACTCTTTTGGTAACACAAAAATGTATTTATCAAAATCCCAGCTGATCCTTTATTAAAGTTTTGCATATTTCTTAGTATTTTAAAATTGTTTATGTCATTTCGATAAAATACTCTAGTACCATTATCAAATGTTTTTAAAAATTTGGCAGATACATGACTGAAATATGGATAAATTACATTATAAATACAAAATAATGTAAAATACAGTTTGCAATATCTTATTTATTGTTTTAAGGTTCCTAATACAAAACTAATAAATAACTAAAGATTCTTTGAAGCAAAATCGATTACTGCTTGCCTTAAATTTTCAGTAAAACTTTTTCTTGGGTTTTACATGGAATTGTTTTTAAAATGGAATCAGTATTTTTAAATTCTTCAGTCTCTGTACAAACATGCTTCTTACATCTAGCGATATCCCCTAGAAAGGAAGAGCATATCAAAACTTTAGTTCGTTAGTCCGTCCTCTTCCCTTAATAATTTTGTATGCCCTTTATATCTTGCCATTTTGCAGATAAAGCACATACATTCTTGGCTGCCGCGAAATTCTCTAGCAATTTCTAAATTTTAAAAATTTGTGGCTATGCAAAAATACCGTTTTTACCATATTGAAGTAGGTAATTTTGAATCATTTAAGTTAAAGTGTTCGTTTGAAAAAGTCTGCAGTAATTTTTATATTTTCTCAGAAACCCTAAACTCTGAATTTTTCGATTACCAAAAACAATTTTGTCTCCACAGCCAGCATATACCTTCTTTCGATTTTCTTCATGGCTTAACTTGAATTTCGTTTTAATTTTCATTTTAAAATACTATTTTTAACTTTATAAAGTATACATTAAATAAACAACTAAAGCAAAATGTCACAATTTTTTTCATAACCACCTTAATTATTGTTTTACAAAATTTACAAGTTATAATTATTTCATAGACAAACTTCCAGTATTTTTTGTTAAAAAAAATATTTAAGATATAAATCTTCGTTTTTTTGTTATGTTTTGTTTTGAGTGGTAAAAAATAATAGGTGACTCAATAAATTAATACTGGGGAGTAAAGTAATTTAAATGATACAAAGTTTATTATTTTGCTTAATTTTATTAAAATTGTACAGGTAGTTTTAGTACAATAATTGCAAAATAATATATAGAAATAGAAAAACAAAAAAGTTTGCAAAACTTTAAAATAGGATCAGCCGGGATTTTGATATGTTGCATGTTAGTGTTACCAAAAGGGTCTATAATCAAAATATGCTATAAGTTTTGGTTGGCATTTTTGTTCGTCCTATACTTAAGTGTATATTAGGGTGATTCATTTCCGCAAAGTTTTTGTTTTTTTTTCGGTGCTCAAGCAAAATATTAATCTGCATATAGGAAAAAACATTCTCATCAAGTTTGAGCTCTTAATATTAATTTTAAGCACTTACTATTTAAATTTAAAGTTTTACCGTTTAAAATGCATGTAAAAAATATATTTTTTTTTCGAATTTCTAATGCTTACCCACCTTTGACAATATTGCAAATCGGTTTAATACACCTTATGGGGAATTTCACGCTCTTTAAAATTGCTTTTGAGTTTTTTTTTTGTAACTCGCATTGGTTCACCAGTAGGAGTCGTCAAAGGACAGTTTTTGAAAAAAAATCGTTTTTTTATTTTTTCGAGCAAATCGCCAAAAGTAGTGAGAAAAAAGAGCTGATTCATAAAAAAAAAGTTATCCATCCAATATTTAATGAATTTACTGCCATTTTTATAACTGAAAACGTAAGAAATTGATAAAATTAATTTTACCAACTCATAATGTTATTTAGATTGATTTTTTCTATTTATTATTATTATATTTCCCTACACTAAGAAGTTTTTTAAAATTATTGATGAATATGAAAACAACAGATAAATTCATAAAAAAACAATAAGAAAATTGTAACGTGGATTTTGCAATTTTTCAACATTTCTGTCATATAGCAAAAAAATATAAATGAAGATTATTTAATTTTTTGAAGCGAAATTTGAAATATGTTACATAACCTTCTGTATATTCCGATTAAAGTTTTGTTGTTTTGTTATGAATTTGTGTGTTGTTTTCATAATCATTATGAGTGAGAAATAATAATAATTTTAAAAAAGTTTTTAGTGTAGGGAAATATAATGATAATAAATAGAAAAAATCAATCTAAATAACATTATGGGTTGGTATTTATCAATTTCTTACGTTTTCAGTTATAAAAATGGCAGTAAATTCATTAAATATTGGTTGGATAACTTTTTTTATGAATCAGCCCTTTTTTCTCACTACTTTTGGCGATTTGCTCAAAAAAATAAAAAAAAACGATTTTTTTCAAAAGCTGTCCTTTGACGACTCCTACTGGTGAACCAATGCGAGTTACAAAAAAAACCTCAAAAGCAATTTTAAAGAGCGTGAAATTCCCCATAAGGTGTATTAAACCGATTTGCAATATTGTCAAAGGTGGGTAAGCATTAGAAATTTAAAAAAAATATATATTTTTTACATGCATTTTAAACGGTAAAACTTTAAATTTAAATAGTAAGTAGGTACTTAAAATTTATATTAAGAGCACAAACTTGGTGAGAATGTTTTTTCCTATATGCAGATTAATATTTTGCTTGAGCACCGAAGAAAACAAAAACTTTGCGGAAATGAATCACCCTAGTGTATATACTAACGACATTTCTATATTCTTCAGCAGATGATGAGCAAATAGACGGCCAACCACGGAACACCGGCCACCACTTACATTCAGCACATTCCCTGTTTCCCTCCTGCCTTTGTTCGGCAGTAGTTCAGATAATAAACCTACTAGATGACGCCGCAGTGTCTCCAGATGGCAACGCTGTGTATGAAGTGGCCTACCAAGTAATTTGGACCTGTTTGGTGGAAGACAGCGCTCTATTTTTGCGATACATTTTGGAAAGACTCACCAGAGAGAAGCAGGAAGTGATGTTCAAAATACTAAGGCATCTGATCAGGTTTATCCCGAAGCTTCCGCAACAGGCCGCCTTCGCTCTGTATAACTATATAATTGGTTATGTTATGTTTTACGTCAGGAGCCCTCACGAGGAGGGGCAATACATGATTGGGGCTGCCTTATCTCTGCTCTGGATGGTTGTCCATAGCGTTCATGGTATAATGTTCAAAGACCTGAAACAAATCTTAAGGAAAGAGCAATGTGATGCCTCGATATTGCTAACGGCGAATGTACCATCAGCAAAAAAAATTATCGTTCACGGTCCCCAAGGTAATAGAGTCAATCCATATGAAAACGCCGAAACTCGTTGCTCGCCCTTGTGGAAATTTTTCTCTGAGAAAGTCTTACTTTCTCTGAAAAAGTCAGAATAATACTTATTAAGTCGAAAAAAGTCTGAATAAGTCTTATTAAGTCAGACTAATAGCAAGATTTGGAAGTCTTCTGGAAGAGTTAATAAGACTTTTTAAGACTTAATAAGACTTTTAGTAGAGAAATGGTAGGTACCTACGGAGATAAAAATAAATAATAATAATAATTCATAGAGGTTGTATTTGGTTATCGTAAAATAAAACACATAGAAAAGTATTTATTAACATTTTTGCTGTTGTTATAAGCCAAGTTTATTGCATAATTACCTATATAATATTATTATGTAGATTTAAAAAAAACAAATATGTTTTGAAAGTTTCACGTGTTTTATTTACTTTTGACAATTGTTTCGTCACACAGTGACTTCTTGTCTTGACGAAACAATTGTCAAAAGTAAATAAAACACGTGAAACTTTCAAAACATATTTGTTTTTTTAAATCTACATAATAATAATAATATGGAGTTTCATCAAGTAAAGGTCGAAACAATCAAATACCTATATAATAACATAGGTAAGATGTAATAATTATAACAATTATAATTTTATACATACGATGCGCTTGACATGCATTGCATGCTTTCATTGTTTCCACCATATTATATTTTATTCTATCCTGTTACATTTTTATTATTATTTTAATATTTTGTAATTTATGGTCAGGAACTTTTATGGCAACACTGTACGTAAACACGAAGATCAACCATGATACAAAGATGAATGAAACACGAAGATTAACCATATTTGTCTTATGAGTCTATCGAAAATATCATGTCTATACACATGATATTAACTCCTTTTTCTATGGTGGAAACAATGAAAGCATGCTTGCATGCATGTCAAGCGCATCGTATGTATAAAATTATAATTGTTATAATTATTACATCTTACCTATGTTATTATATAGGTAATTATGCAATAAACTTGCCAAGTTTAACTTGGCTTATAACATCAGCAAAAATGTTAATAAATACTTTTCTATGTGTTTTATTTTACGATAACCAAATACAACCTTTATGAATTATTTCGGATATTTATTTTTATCGCCATAGGTACCTACCATTTCTCTACTAAAAGTCTTATTAAGTCTTAAAAAGTCTTATTAACTCTTCCAGAAGAATCTTGCTATTAGTCTGACTTAATAAGACTCATTCAGACTTTTTCCGACTTAATAAGTCTTATTCTGACTTTTTCCGACTTAATAAGTATTATTCAGACTTTTTCAGAGAAAGTAAGACTTCCTCAGAGAAAAATTTCCACAAGGGAAGTTTTTGTCTCAGAACTCCCAAACTATTGCGTTTAACAAAATTGACTTACGAATATTTTTTGAGGAAAATTAAATGCTCTAAAAAAAAGGTTAAAATGAAATTTTCCGTCAGATGAACCGTTTCCTTAAAATCATGCCGTAAAAATTTTACATTTTGATCTTTTAACTTTGAAATTTTGTAATTCATGTAAAAATCAGTACCCAGAAAAAAACCGATTAATATTTTTATGGGAAATCAAATGCTTTACAAAAAAGCCTCGTAACATTTTTGGCTAAATTTACTCAATCAAAAGTTATTCAAGGTTAAAATTGAAGTCAAAACGAAATTCTTGTTTTTTTCTCTGTAGATTTATTTTGTTATGGGTGATAATTTGATTTTTTTTCTTTATAAATGTGTATTATATAACTAATTAACTATTTCCAATAAAAAAACAACATGATTGTTATTATTTAAACGAATAATATTTTCTAAAGAAAATAGCTTCTTTTTTTTAATTTTAAATAATTTTATCAATAACATATATTTATAACAAAATAATTCAAGTTTTTAACTGACCCAAAAAAAATCTAGAGCGGAAAAAACAATAATTTCGTTTTGACTTTAAATTTGAATAACTTTTGATGGAGTGAATTTAGCCAAAAATGTTAGGAGACTTTTTTGTAGAGCTTTTGATTTTCCATAAGAATATTTATCGGTTTTTTTCCGGTTCCAAAGTTAAAAGATCAAATTGTAAAACTATACAAATTTTTAAGGCATGATTGTAAGAAAACGGTTCATCTGACGGGAAATTCCAATTTAACCTTTTTTGTAGAACATTCAATTTTCTTCAAAAAATATTCGTAAGTCAATTTTGTTAAACTCAGTGAGACAAAAACTCGCTCAGGAAAAAAAATCTAAAATTGCGGTGATAGGCCTCTTAATAATTTTTTTGGCCCAGTCTAATGTATGTTATATAATATAATACTTTAGATCCAGATGCTGGCGGTATACCGTCACAGTTCCCTGTCCAAGAAGACACGCAGTTCTGTCAAATATTAAGGGAAGCTTTGGATTTTTTCGGCATCGATGAAGTCAAACAGAAAGAGTTTTTCTTGGTGGATTATAAGACTCGTAAAAAACTCCCCTAGCAATTTTGGCGTTCATTCATTTATATTTTTTTAGATCAAATAAGGAATCCAGCATCATACGTACGGGATTATTACTTCTTCAAGAGATCTCAGTACCCACAGCTGGAGCTGGTGCATATGAAACCCGAGACGGCATTTGACGCTCTTCAGAAACAAGAGCTGCTGCACAAGTTCGTAGAAATCGGAAAAGTGCTGCTCACATGGGCAATTCTAAAGAATGTCGACATGGTGGTGCAAAGAGTGGTTTTCCTCCACGAAGAGTTGATGAAGCTACCCTCGTTTCCTAGAAAAGCACTGGAATCCGACTTAGACCTCTACAAAGGAGGCAAACTCGGGAAAGAGCTTTTAGGTCTGGACGTTCTGCACAAATTCATGTGGGTGCGTTTGATAGCGAGAATGTTCGAAGCTATGGCTGGAAACTTCGCCTACTCCGGAGATATTCATTTGTTCGTGAACGTTTTAAATGGGGCTGTCATTTTGCACTCAGAAGACGCTTGTATCTTAAGGTACGTCATGGCGACTTACATCAACGCTGCTTTTCACTTTAAAAACATATTTTCCACGAATGGTTACCTGCTGATTATGCCGACGTTGTTGAAGATTTATTCGAACCATCAAACGAATGCGTTGATTACCACGACCGTGGAGTACGCTGTCAAGCAGTTTTATCTCATGAATCGAAAACCGTTTATTTTACAAATGTTCGGTTCTGTTTCTGCTATGTTAGATACAGACGAAGAGGGAACCTATGGCGATGCTCATAAAGTAAGTTAAGAGTCATTCCAAATAAAAACACCAAATGGGGTGCGCTGCTTGATTTTTTATTTTGATAAAAAAAAATTGAGGATGATCTTTTAGGTATCAAATATGAAAATCCGTTGCCGTTTTAATTTTTGGATTCTTTACTTTTAATCGGCACCCTTTAGAAATCTGAAATCGTGTCAATTTCTTACTCTCTTATAGTGAGCCAGACAAATATTGAAATGATTTTAATTTTGTTTTACTGTTCAGTAAGTGTGTTTTCGATATAAATTATTATTAGCCAATTAGTTAATCACTTAAAAGAATGGTAAACGACTAAAGATTCATGATAATTTGCCAATTTTTGTGATTTTTGTCTTGTAGTCCCCACCTTCATCTTCTCAGTCCAGTTAGTCTTGTTTTGTTATTTTTATTCCTTTAAAAGATATATTAATTTTTTTAATGCCCGTTTAGTAGCGATATTGTTAGTTTTATATATAATTTAAAATTTAGATGGCTTTCATGTTTGGTGGAGAAGTGTCAGAACTGTCAAAAATATTTCATAAATATTATTTGTGCGTATTTCTTTGGTAAATTTTGTATATAACATACGAATATGTCATATTATGTTATATACAAAACTTTTTAAAATCACCAAAGGAATACCACAAATAATAATTATGAAATATTTTTGACAGTTCTGATATATTTGGTAGTTATGATATATTTTATAATCATATATATATATATATATATATATATATATATATATATATATATATATATATATATATATATATATATATATATATATATATATATATATATATATATATATATATATATATTTATTATATACATTATAATGATGTATTTAATTGGCTAATTGGTGTTTAAAGAAGAAGAATGTAAAAAATGTATTCCAGATCCTTATGGTTTATATCGTACAGTATAATAAGTGAAATTAATAAAGAGTTAATTTAAACTTATAAAAAATGCGTTAAGCAGTTTTTTGTCGGTTTCTTTCACAATTTAAACCAAGTTAGTCTTGTTCTATTATTTTTATCCCTGAATAGTTAAAAGTTATATGTATGTATGTATTTTAAATGTTAGTGTTGGAAAAAAATGTACACAATCCGTAAATACTTCTTTAAATTTTAGTTTTTAGGTAACTGGTTAAAATAAAACATGTTATAATAAAGGGGATTATTTAGAATATTTTTTGGTTTTTGCTTATTTTTAACAATTTAAAACTTCTCAGAATATTTTCTATGAGAAAGAGGTACAAAATTATGATGTGTTCTTGCATTTTTAATTGCAATTAAATTCATGAATCTCGAACACTCCGTCATTTATTACATTTGCAAACTTGCAAATTTTTTTAATCAATTTAAATACGCACAAATAATATTTATGAAATATTTTTGACAGTTCTGACATTTCTATACCAAACATGTATTGACTAAGTCAAAGTCATCTAAATTTTAAATTATAAATAAAACTAACAATATCGCTTCTTAACTGCATTAAAAAAATTATTATATCTTTTACATGGATAAAAATAACAAAACAAGACTAACTAGACTAAAAAGATGAAGGTGGGGACTACATTTCCTGAAAGTTTCAGATTTTTATGTTTTCCTCAACATAATGATTTCTGAGGGCAAAATTGGCTAATTTTGAAAATTATCAAGTTTCAATAATTTTTTTAATAAAGAAAATGATAGTCTAGAAACTTAAAATAATAGTTACGTTTTCTATTGTATAAGTACTTTATACCTGAAAAAAAACTTTCTAGATTTAGCAGAATAGGCACAGGAGCTAGACAAAAATCACAAAAATTGGCAAATTATTACAAATCTTTAGTGGTTTACCATTCTTTTATGAGATGAACTAATTATATAATAATAATTAATATTGAAAACATACTTACTAGGCCGTAAAATAAAATTACAATCATTTCAATAATTGCCACAGAGAAAAATTTTAGCCTCTTATAAGAGAGTGAGAAAATGACACGATTTCAGGTTTCTAAAGGGTGCCGATTAAAAATAAAGCAACTAAAAATTAAAATGGCAACGGTTTTTCATATATGATACCTAAAAGATCATCCTCAATTTTTTTCATTAAGTTAACTTAAACACAGTTAAATTGTAACACATTCTATTGCAAACACTTTAGATTCAGTCCAGCTGTCTTTTTAATCTTCTATTGAGTTTGGAAACCCCTTCACCGGATCCTTTAAATATAGCTGAACTGGTGAAGGAAGATAAACCTTTGAAAGCGATCGATTTTTGCTATCACGACGAAAATGAGATGGTTACTATTCTCGATTGCATTTCCATGTGCGTAATGGTGGTATCATATTCATCTGAAAGCATGAGAGGTTACCAAATGCTTGTAAGTTTAACGTCACCCTTGTGGAAATTTTTCTCTGAGAAAGTTTTATTAAGAGTTACTTTCTCTTAAAAAGTCTGTATAATACTTATTAAGTCGAAAAAAGTCTGAATAAGTCAGACTAATAGCAAGATTTCGGAGTCTTCTGGAAGACTTAATAGGACGTTTAGCAGAGAAATGGTAGGTACTATGCTCCACACCTCAAAGTCCCACCACGTGACCACGTACGGAACGCAGTCTTTTGAAAAATTTTCATTTAAGGCTTTTCAGGTTATGTATCTGTCAAAGTATAGTCAACGAAAAAAATAATAGTATGTTTAGACCTTAAAAATGTATAAATCTTTATAACATTACAATAACAATGGATGGTTTAGGAATTTAAGAATATAAATACTGCATTTAATGAAATTCTAAAGTGTATGGTGCCAAATAAGTAATATTTTTGTGCATTTGGTCAAAATATTTGGTTTTCTCCATAAAATAATTTGAATTGAACAGCATTTATTTAAAAAAATCTAGGTTCTCTGTTATGGAATAAGAATATCTGTTTTAAAGGTAGGTTAATATATTATAACAAAAATATCATCTAATTTTGTAATTTTAAGGTTATAAAAATTTATTTTGACCAAAATAAATAAGTATTTTGGATTATTTAAAAGACTGTACAATATGGTATTTAATAATGTGGTAGTTTTTTAAATATTTTCACATTGCAAGTTTCTCTAAAAATTGTTTGTTTTCTTATAATCTAACTTAAAGAGAGGTATGCACAAGTTTTGTCATTAGAAGTATAAAAGCTTCAATTTAATGTAAACCATATTCAACAATTATTTAGTATACCTATATTTATTTATGACCATATTAACACACTCTTCCAAATAATCCACTCAATTATTTTGGTCAAAATAGATTTTTCTAACCTTAAAATACAAAATTAGATGATATTTTTTGTTCTAATACATTAACCTACCTTTGATACAGATATTCTTATTTCATAATACTGCCGTGCTTAATGAAAACGCCGTAACCAACAATTTTGAGATTTTTGTTTTACGGCATTTTCTACTAGAAAAACTCATCCTGCGTCTATCCCCGGTACTCAAAAATATATATGAAATATAGATACGGTTTTTTGAGTACAAGGGATAGACGCAGGATGAATTGTTCTAGTAGAAAATGCCGTAAAACAAAAATCTCAAAATTGTTGGTTACGGCGTTTTCATTAAGCACGGCAGAATAGAGAAGTTAGATTTTTTTTTAATAAATGTTTAGTTAAAACTATTTTATGGAGAAATGTAGACCCAATGCACAAAAATATCACTTATATTTTTTTATATTGCACCTTAGACTTTGGAATTTCATTAAATGCAGTTTTTATATTCCTAAATTCTTAAACCAACCATTGTTATTGTGATACTATAAAGATTTATTAACTTTTAACGCTTAAACATAAGCGGTAACACTATAAATATTATTTCTTTCATTGAGTATACTTTGACAGATACATAACCTGAAAAGCCTTAAATGCCAAATTTTCAAAAGACTGCGTTCCGTACGTGGTCACGTGGTGGGAGGTGTGGAGCATAGTACCTATAGCGATTAAAATAAACATCCGAAATTATTTAGAGATGTTGTATTTGGTTATTGCAAAAGAAAGCACAATGAAAAGGATTTATAAACACTGTTTTTGTGTTGTTATAAGGCTTATAAAAACACGGAAGCAATGTTTACAAACAAACTTTATTTTAATTGAACAGAATAAAACAGTTGGGATATACGTTTGGACCAACGGTTTGGTGTGTGTACATACAGATCCCTTGTTGATTAAGTACATATATAAGGTATAATAACTATAACAATTCTTCTAAACGCATAGCCGAACTCAAACACAGATTATAAAACTAATAAAACAAATATGGTTGATCTCCGAGCTTCGTTGGTTCATGTGTTTTATACAGTGTTGTCGGATGATTGTCATAAAAGTTCCCGACCAAAAATTACAAAATAGGTACTAAAAAAACTAGTTATATTTACTAGCGCATACGCCCTGTTTAAAAAAAATAATTAAATTAATTTAAAATTTTTAAATAAAAATGTAACATGATATCCTATATAGAATAAAATAATTATGCATTTTTAGTAAACATACTTACAATATTATTTACTGAAAATATTTTCAGTTAGTATTTTGATTCTAAATTCTACCCGCAAATACTACGAAAATACCCGATTTCCGAGTAAAATACCCGCAAACGGCAACACTTGGTAAGTAGTGACAGGAGAGCTATCTTGAAAACGCGGGAAGATGCCATCACATGACAGATCAGCTGTGCTCTAATTGGTCAGCTGAGAAAATCGATATGGTGTCTAAAAGTGTTTGGAACAATGGTTAGATGAATATTTGCGTATAAAAAGAAACTATTAAAATAAAACAGTACAGTGGCAACAATAAAAAGCAAGTCCAGCGCATCGTATGTAAAAAATTATAATTGTTATAATTATTACCTCACATGTTATTATATATGTAATACCACCCCGGCATAATGTTAATAAATAATTTGTGTTTTATTTTATAATAATCAAATACAACCTCTCTGAATAATTTCGGATATTGATTTTAATCGCTATAGTTAGGTTCCTACCATAATGGTAGTACCATTTCTCTGCTAAAAGTCTTATTAACTCTTCTAGAAGACTCCCAAATCTTGCTATTAGTCTGACTTACTAAGACTTAAGTAAGACTTTCAAAACTCTTATTTTAACTTTCAGAGAAAAATTTCCACAAGGGCAGCAATCAAAAGCTTGATTTATAATATTGTTTGATGTTTTAGATCATTCTTGAAGCAATTTTACCCTGCTACGTGCAACATATACAATTACCAACATACAATAAAGAAGGCAAAACAGAAAAGGAAATCATACACCAACTAGCAGTTGCTATGAAGACTTTAGTCAATAATTGCGAAGCTTTAACGAAGTATAAACACCGTAATAATACAAAGAATAGTATTAATGATAGCTATTTTTCAGGAGTTACAATGGCCCTTACCGCTCGAGCCCAGAACACAAAGGTTCCAGCCAAAGAAACTACAGCAGAGGTCCTTACTCCCCAGGATTCGACTTCGAAGATGAATCTCACTCAAAATTTATGAGCGAGCATTCCCGCGCAAAAGTGATGTATGAGCACGACGTTGAAGATTCGGAGGTTTTAAGAGCCGAATACAGAAGACCACGGGACGTTTTGCTGAGCGTAGTGGGAGAATTCGTTTGCAGGGCCACCAATAGAATGATCGAGTTGAATAAAAGGAGTAATCAGGAAGGAAAGATCATTGAAATGTTGGACATTAAATCCCACATTGTATGTATATTAGGGTGTCCCTTATTTTTATTTTTTTTACGCATACCCTCTAATTATATTTATTACGTGTTTATATACTCCCAGTAAAAATTTCAGCTCATTCTATAAACAGGAACCCGTGCCGACTTGCATCTGAACCCTCCGTTAGCCAACGTTAGGCGCGCGGTATTTTGTAACACGGTTGGTCGCGAAGTCTTCGATCGTAAGTCATTTTGTGTTTGTTATTATGTGACCCTTATATTATAAATTATTGACAAATGTTAAAATATAATTTTATTTATGTGTATACTTTGATAAAAATGTATATTTTCACAGGAAATGGTCTGGTGAATAGGCCGTAAACTCTGAAATTGATAAACTTAATGGGTTTTACTCTAAATAACTAAAATAGTCTATTGTGAGAGATGACTACCAAAAACTTATTGAACTGTCTGAAATATTTTTGGGAGGACATCATGAAAAGAAATGCTTACAAAAAGCTGAAATTTCAGATAACAGTATATTTTAGCAATACTAATTAGTATATTAATATATTTAAGGTATAAAATCAACTAAATTAGTGAAACAAATGATAGAAACAAAAGCAATAATATTAATTAGTAATCATATTTAATAAAATCATTAGAAAAGTCGGCACGGGTTCCCGTTTATAGAATGAGCTGAAATTTTGACTGGGAGTATATAAACAAATAATAAATATAATTAGAGGGTATGCGTAAAAAAATAAAAATAAGGAACACCCTAATGTATATTTGAGGCCTGTCAGAGCAAAGTCAACAATCTCCCGTCAGACTAAAACTGAGTAAATTGAGATAACTGATTTTGGTATTTTAAATTCTAGATTTGTAATTTTTTTTTATATATTATATTGAAATATTGTTGTTGTTAGTCTAGTAGCAAACTACATGCAAGGTCTCCAGGATGCATAGTATAGGTGAAATCTATAATTATAAATTGGAGATTGCTGACTTTGATATGAATTGCTGGATTGCTCATTTGTTGTAAATGTTTAAGGAGATTTAGAAAAATAAACAAAAAAATAATTGTATTTTTTTCCTTTAATGGTTATAAAATTTAACTATACAATCAATGTGGGAAAATTCTGAACTGGACCACATAAATCTGGAGTTTCTTCTAAATCTGGGACCAGGTTGCCTCGTGCAAAAAAGTTTTTATAGTACAACTCATCATTTTCCCACGTAATGTTTTACTTGCAATGTTTTGACATTATCAGCCTTTTCTTGCTTTACCTTTACGTCTTATTATGGTATAATAGCACAAAATAAACAAGATAACTTTTTTTATAATTCTTAAAACAATAACGCGTATATATGCCTATTTTAAATATATTTTAAGTGTAATTTACTGCAATAGAACTTAACAGTATGTACAAGTAAAAAACACAAAATTAAATCTCTAAAATACGTTATAACATCAAATGTTACCTGATATCCTATAGGATATCAGGTGACACAAATTACTAATTTCTAATGGTGGAATTGGAGATTGTATACTTTGCTGCAAATCTATCAGTGGAGATTGTCGAGTTTGCACTAAATGTCATTTTTAAATTAGGATTTTAGGCAGGATTTAGCTCCTTTTGCAGCACATTAACTTTATCATCTTATAGTACAGTCTTCGCCAAAAATCTAATTTTTGACCAAAAGTGGAGATTGTCGGTTTTGCTATGACAGGCCTCATTTGATGGCAATGTTTTAGTTTGGTGATGTTTTGTTTTCTAGCGATTGGCTGACATAGCCCACACTTTACTGAAGGTCTCACCGTATGATCCAGAATCAATGGGTTGTAGAGGGTTACAGCATTACATGAGCTACATTCTTCCTTCTACAGAGTGGGCGAATGATGCAATGCGTCCGGCTTTGGTTACAATCTTGAGGAGGCTTGATAAAGTTTTCCAGAAGATATCCAAGAAACCTTCAATCAGGGTAACAAATGAAAATATTGAATCGCAGTTGTTTACATTAAAACATTATTAAATTTAGCGTAACACTGATTGGGACGCAGCCGCTGGACTACTCAAGGGAATATATGACACCATGATAAAATACCCCTACATCATTCATTGGCAGCATATTAAAGGATTGATAAATACTTGCCAGGTAAAATACATAAAATATAAAAATTTATACTCGATGTTGAAACTCGTTTTTTAGTCTTTAATCGTTAGCGATTCAAGTGCATCAGAAGGCGTTTCATCAGCGACAGCTGCATTGATGAGCCAGGCGCCTCCACAACATTTTTGCTCCATGGTCGTCAGATTAATCGCCTTACAAATTCAGAACGTTCCGGTAAGTTTTTTCTTTGTGTTTATGTTTACGAGGTGTGTTCAGAAAATATCGGGAATTTTCGTTTTTTGAAACAAATATTTATTTATTCGTCTACATTAATGTTGTCGCCTTCAAAATAGTCCCCATTAGATATTATGCACATGTGCCAGCTCTTCTTCCAATACTCGAAACACTTCTAAAACTCGATCTTTAGTTCTTTCAGCGATGCGCTTTTAATGTCATCTATGCTTGCAAAACGACGGCCCTTTAAGGTTCTCTTTATTTTTGGGAATTGGAAAGTCAGACAGAGGCATGTCTGGCGAATATGGAGGCTGGGCATCATTACAGTATTGTTTATGGCCAAAACTTTTGTTCAAAATTTAACAATGTTTGATCAAATTTTGCTGCCACGCGTTTCATACCCAGAACATTCGAAAAAATTTCATGGGATGAGCCAATCGATATACCAACATCATCAGCGACTTCTCTGATGGTTTATAACCATTTATTTCACTTTTTCCATGTTACATTGTCATTTTTTCATTCTGATAAATTTGCCGAACTGATGAACATGGAGAACGATTTCACCAAGTAACTGCAAATCTAGAGCATTAGTAGATATCTATGGGTATAGCGGAAATAAGTTGGATTCATTGCTGGAAGACATTTTTGCAGCAAAAGATGTACGACGATGATGAGGATTAAGCACAATAATACTATAATTCAATTCGATATTTGATAGGATTTAATAAATTTAAGTTAGAAAAAAGCAAAATTATGCAATGCATTAAATTTTGAGGGCTTAATTTGGATACAAAATACCGAAATTTGTTTACTTTGTTGCCCTTTCAATTCAATAATTAAAATAAACGACAAAAAATATCATATTGTTTAGATAAATATTTGACGTATACCAATTACCCAGGCGAAAATTAAATGTGCAAAAAGTGTGCAAAATTATTTGAGAACAATGTGCAGAGGGTGGGAAATGGAACATGAAACAATGTGCAAAACCAAAAATTTACAAGTGTGAATAATTACTGTATAAAGTTCTAAAGGGAACTCCTTTTAATATTTCACATTGTTTGCACACTGTTTCTTGTCACCTTCTGTTGTTTTTGGTGACATCTAAAGTCTTAAATTTATTTAATCAATAAATAAATATCCTAATATTAATATTAATACTAACCTAATGAAAAGGTTATTTTCAAAAAATGTTAAAAAATACCCACAATGTATACATTGTGGGTATTTTTTAACATATAAACCTATAGGTTTTACATTCCTGTCATGTATTTTATTAAGGAAAATACCGGAACTGTCAACTCCACGATGGGGATTGCCGAGAAGCGATACATAAGATGTAACCTACCTCATCTTTTAAATAAATGTTTTACCACAACACAAGCGAGATATATCTAAAATGTGCTTAAACAGTTGAGTGATCGCTAAAACTGTACAAACAATGTGCTATAAAAAGGTGTAACATATGCGTGAGAAATAATAAAGAGTCCTAATAGTGTGTATAAAATGTAACATGCGTAAGATAGACTGAAGCTTTGCAAAATTGTCTTTAAACAATGTACTAAAACTATGCAAACAATGTGCAAAAAAATAATTTAATATAAGCGTGACAAGTGACAAATAAAAAGCCTGATGTAAATGTGCATAAAGAGTGAAAAAACTAAATTATTTCAAAAAGTGTGACATTACCACAAAATAGCGTCTATGCGCATTGTTATAAAGACTTGCACTCTAAATACACACCTATGCACACTTTTCGTGCATGCTTTATTTTCGCCAGGGTACTTCAGTACATTCAAGATAAATTTAAGCCAAAATAATTTAATAATTAATTAAAATACTAACAAAAAAGTTACATTTTGAGGTGATTGAGCAGAGCATTTTATTACGAAATTATTTTAAATCCTAGACGTCCTAGAGAAAAACAAATGACATTTTTTAAATCAGCGGCCGAAAATTAGTTAAACTAAGCTGCAGCTTTTTTCCTAACATTTACTACTCCATGGAGTAGTCAATGTTAGGAAAAAAAAGTTTCTATAAGTATCATAATTATTATTCTTAGGACACATCCACTTTGGAACAAGTCTGCGGAGGAAGCTCGACATTCCCTTCCCAGGACAAAACGGAAAGCATGATAATGAACCTCGTCATGCCTCTATGCTTACGCGTGGGCAGCGGCAGAAAAGACGTCGCCCTCATGAAAAACAACGACGTGAGCTTCGCCTTGACCTTCATCCTGCACGCGATGAGCCCCCCGAGTTTTTCCTCCGGGCCGAACGTCAAGGCCGCCCCTGAGCCGAGGACCGGCAGCCTCACTTTCACCGGAACCAGGGACACCAAGGCGGCGTCCAAGATCAACACGTCGCTGTATCAAGTCGCCTTTCTGGCCTTGAAGATTATGACGATATGTTTTGAGGGCGAGCTGATGACCGATTGGTCCAGAATCGCGAGGACTATGCGGGAGCTCGGGAAGAGGAATGAGGCGGCTTCCTTTCTGTGGGACTTCTTGGATTTCGTCGTCACCCACAGGACCCCGCTCTTCATTATGATGCAACCGTTTATATTTCAAAAGGTAAGCATATGGATTATGGGGTTTCATTTAAAACGACTATTTTTTCACCGAAACTCTAATTTGCTAAGGCTACGAATACAATACATTTCTTTTAATTATTAACCTATCCTTAAACAGTGGCGGCCCTTGACATTTCATTTTGGTGAGGCAGAGGCAGGGTTTCGCCCTCATTTAAAGGCGAAGAAATTTTTTAAATCCAACTTAAAAAAAACTGACGTCGCAGTTCACAACCTATACTTAAAACTAAGTAAAAAACTTGGTGGGGAAGGAATCCTCAACAATATCAGTACAATTTCTCACCGTAATATCCATAATGACTAAATTCACATAAATCACTAAGTTCAATTAACTAAACCCACAGAATAATCCACTTACAAAAGAATAGACAAACTCATAGAAAAAGAATAAACAAAATATTGCGTAAATAACCAAATAACAGTTCAGAATTTTATAACCAAAACAAACCTAAAGAAGGAATCTGTATTTATTTTATTGGTTACTGTGATGGCTACAAGATGGCGATAGTGTTAAAATATTTTTATTTTAGTATAGAAATATAATTTCGATTAAATCGATTTATTATAAGAAAAATAATACCATTTATTATTGAATTTTGAAAAACGTGTAAAGTATAATTTATCTAAAATTTCGCAACAGTGTTGCCACAACACCTGCTTATTTCCTTGGATGTAGGCGTGCCTGCCTCTCGTATGCTAATACGAGAGAAGGAGACAACTATGATATCGCATTGTAATAGAACGAGACAACAAGGCTAACGCCAATCGTGAGTCTGAATTAGTTCAGGCATGCTTCTGAGCCAATCATTTAGCTATAAATATTAATTTAAATTGCGGTCGTTTTAAATTCAAATAATTTAAATGTTGCTGGGTATTCCACGTATAAAATCAATCAATTTTATTGACTATTTCACAATTCATGTAATCCAAATATTAAAAATGTATAGTATATTATAGAAAGTAAAATATTTAAATTAATTTTTTAATTCTCTATGATGAGGCACTGCCTCACCTGCCTCCCCTGACGGGCCGCCACTGTCCGTAAATTAAAAAGATTTTATTTCTTGGCTTAAAATTAAGTACAGTTGAAACAAGATGATTGACCTAATATGGAAAAAATAATTTTTACATCATATGTGACGGAAAAAATAATTTTTACTTCACATGTGATGTAAAAATTCATTTATGCACTGTGGGGCAAAAATAGTATATTACACTACAAGGGCAGAAAGTGTGAGAAGGGCAGAAAGTGTGAGATTCCTGCGCAGTTCAGGGCTCTTACACTTTCTGCCCGTGTAGTGTATACTATTTTTCTTGCTACCCGGCCGAAAATACGGGAAAAAATTAAATGTGTACCTATATCGAAACATATTGATGCCTGCCCCGACATTTGCGACACGAGCGATATTATAGAGGGCGCGCGTATAGCTTAATTAATTTTTACGTGACATGTGATGTAAATATTAGTTTCTTACTACCTCGGCCGAAAATACGTATAGCTTGACCAATGCATCAAACGTAAACTTTCTGCCGTGGAATCGGGGACGAAACAACGTATTTTCGGCCGAGGTAGTAAGAAACTAATATTTACATCACATGTCACGTAAAAATTAATTTTCCTGCAAAAAATCATTGGTATAAAATTATTTTTACAGCTGCATACATTAATTTTTACAACACTCTTTCAAATGTATTAAGTAAAGTAATTGGGACTGAATAATAGTTATTTATGTCATTAGGTTAAGAAGTAAGGCTTTTTGTGCTAAGCTCAAAGTTTGAAGGCCGACGCGTAGCGGAGGCCTACAATTGAGCGAAGCACAAAAAGACACTTCTTGGCCGAATGGCATACAACATTTTATCTTCAAAGCACTTTATATAGGTCAATTTAATTCAACATGAAAGCGGTCTAACCTCACTTTTTTAGAATGTCATTTATTTATTAGCTAAAGATTACATTAAATGTACAATAATTATTATTCCTTTTAGAAGCAGCAATAGTTTGACAATACCTAGCTACATGATTTAAGTAGAAATGGATTTTTGTAAGAAAATGGTTTACTTACCCTCTTGCTATTACATTGAATTCAATTAATTGTTTAATAAATAGGTATCTAATTTCAATTTGTTTGCATTTTTATTTAAAAAAATAGGTAGTTTGGAATGTTTACGCTGTGTTTAACATTTAATTTCACTGAAAACTTAAAGCAAATTAAAACTTAAAGATAATTTAAATCGTAGAAAAAGAAAACACATCAGTGAAATCCACAGAAACGTCAAATTGTAATGTCCTAACCTTACTTTTTGTTTTAATATTCATATTTAATTTTACAATAATTTAATGAAAAATAATAAACATTAACAGTAAAACAAACAAATTAGTGCTTATTATAAATAAATTAAACCAGTTTAGTACGTTAATTTCTTAGAAAAGGATTAATTTTTCAAAACAATACCCCTAGCGAGAAAAAATCGAACTAATTACTTGCCTCATAAAAATTTTTATCGGCCTAGGCCATAACAAGGTATTTCTTTATCGAATGTTGACAACAATAAAGTTTAAATTATAGACCGCGTGGAGATAAAATCATTTATTTATCAGTGAAGGTGCTGAACCAATTATTTTTTTTCATAATTAAAATAAAAAAATATTTTGTAAATATTTCTTATAAAATTCGGTTAGGTACATTTAATTTAATATTCAGGTTTTTAACAGAATTAAACCTTACATTAGTCTTTAAGGCATTAACGTATTTTATGTACCACTCCATAGGATAAGAATTAAAAATAATATTTTGCACAGAAAAAATATACTTTTCGATAATTTCAATTATTTAAGTTACCAATTTTAACATACGAGTACATATTAAATAACAAAAATATGTGCCTAAGTATTATCCATGGATTAAATAGTAATTTGGTTTGATTTTCCACGCGCCGTTTTGCTATTTATTAATTTTTACATCACTTGATATCGTTAAAAACTTAAATACCAAACACCATACACAACTATAGATTTAACAAAAACATAAAGTATTTCTTATTGCCACAATATGATAACTATTACTTTTTTGGATGAACATTTTTTTTATAAACTCTCAACATTGCTACTTCATTATAGTAAATTCTGAGTGTGGGTATCATAATTCCAGATGAAATCTTGAATATATTGTTTTGTTACCGGTGTAATAAAATGACATTTTTAGTTGGCACAACCTCCAATTTCCGACTTCGAAAGAAACATCCATTCAAAAATAAGAGACAAAATGAGAAGCATTGGCCTTCCATTCCCCAAAAGTAGAGGAGCTCTTCTTATGGAACTAGCGCACCAAATGAAGACCTTAAAAGAAGAATTGGATGAAAGTAAGTTAACCATCACCATCATCTATACACTGTTCAAAATTTCATGACCATTTTAACACCAAATTAACACCATACATGGTCTATATCGATACAAACCAAAATGGTGTTAAATATGGTGCACTTCTTAAATATTTTTAGATAAACACCGTTTTGGTGTTTTCTGTATATAACATTTTCAATCATAATTCATGGTGTTATATTAACACCACTTGGTGTTGGATTTTGAGACCATTTTAAGATTACTCGTTACAACACGGATACTTTAAACAGTGTATTTACATGTTAATTTTGTTGTTTAAGGTTCTATTGAAACTGAACCGAAAAAAGACGCCAAAGAGGCAACTCTGCACACTGTCAACGAAACTGGAAAACAGCGGCATTCTTTGATTGGTTTGTTTACCAGCGACCATTCAAAACAAGTCACTGTCGATCAACATGGTAACGCTATAAAAGGTAATATTGTAATTGTCATATGTGTTTAAATCGGTGATGAAACAATGACGATTCTTTCTATAAATATTAAGTAGCTACAAGAAGACGAATTATCAAATCATTTTTGATATGAAGGGTTTTATATAAAGCTCATTTTTTCCTCAAATTAATTTACATTTGGTAGTAGTAGTAATGTAGTGTATCAAATAAATAGTATTTGGTACAAGACAAAATTTAAAGGTTTAATTAAAATTAAAGGCGGATTTAACTTTTATAGAACCATTGAGTAGTATATTTTGAAGTAGTATTAATTTAAGAGTAATAGTAGAAATACATTTGTGCGTCGATTTTCATTAGGATTAAAATGCAAACCGGCAGAAACGTATGTCAACTGGAGAAGGGTTTTAAGGAAGCTAGGTGAGATTTTTTAACCAGTATTGAGCCACAAAAGTAGTATTTTTTGATTTTATTTATATTTAATATAATTTGCATGTACAAATAAAAAGAGGTAATAAAAAAAAGTACATATATTTAGGACAGTTACAACAAGAACACCATGCAAATCACGAACTTATAGAAATAATGTTATTGTTTTGTCACGAACTGCATCAAAATTTTTATACCTGTTCGTAGCTCTTCATGTAACTTTTCATCCACTGCCAGCCCACGCATCCATACTTGTAACTGTTTTACCTCTTGCTTGTTGTTAGACAGCAAAATATCCAACAAAATACGCTTATCGAAACTGCACTCGAGTTTCAAACTTTGCTACATTTTAAGGCAGGCTTCTATCTTTTTAATTTTGTAGGTTCAAATTATTCTTTAACAAATTGCACCACTTATTCAGGTTGAGTCATTTATCTTGAAACTTCGAAATGTGTTACGAAAAAATGTTTAAAATAAAAATTAAATGATTCGAGGGGGAAATCAATCAGTACTAAAATTGGTCCTCATATTTTCCCCAAGTAAGCAAGTATGATTTAAGCACTGAGGATAAAGTAATTTTACACTATATTAAAAAGTGTTAATTTACCTAAAATCGTGTACATCTACACTTCCTGGGTAAAATCCCACTTTTGTTCAGTGTAAATTAACACTACTTTGGAAAAGTTCTAATTTTATAAAGGTACTTTTACTCTTTTAGTGCAAACTTCTAGTGTAAATTTACACTATTATTTAAGTAAAACCTATTGGTGGTAGTGAATAAAACGAAAAAGTAAATAAAGAGAAACATTTATTTGGAACAAAAATCTATGAAAATTATAAAAATCGGTGCCTTTTAAAATATAATTTTATATTTGAGTCGTATGGCTGGCTTAAGCAAAATGGTTCCTTCCCACATAACATGCTATGGATATGGATATTTTATGGATATACTTGATATATTCATTTATGTATATCAATTTGTGAATATTTTATGGATTTACTGAATATATTTTTTCATGTATATCCATAAAATTGATATACTTCATACATTCTTTTATGTATATCCATAAAATGTCCATAAATGGATGTACTTGATACATTCTTTCTTGTATATCCATAAAATGTCCATAAATGGATGTACTTGATACATTTTTTAATGTATATCCATTTATGGATATTTTATGGACATACTTTGTATAACTTTTATATAATAAAAAATTATAACTATAGTATATAAATATAGTATATTATACTATAATAGTATACTATAGTTTTAATTTTTTTACTGAAATTTTTAAATTTTATATTATAAGCTTAGAATATACAGTGGAATCAGTATATCCTTTGAAAAATCGTTTTTTCTCCACTTGTTTGAAAAATTCCCTCTTGTATAGAAAAATAATAAAATTAATTAAAAATATAAATAACTTTTAAACAAAAAACTAAGTACAAGACAAACCTATAAAAAATTAAACTATGTGGAAACATAAACACTGTAATATAAATTTAAATTTTTATTATTGCTGTTTAATTTTTGTGTAAAATTTATTTAAATTTTTGGGTATTTGAATTAGTTTTAAAAAAATCCCGTTTTAAGCTACTTTTTCCAACGATTTTGTGTTGAAAATTCCCGCTACGCGTCTGCACTATTTACTCACAGTATTTATAAGAGAACAAACTTAAACTTAACCTAACAAATATGACAGGTATTTTAAATTTTAAAAATAATGCACAAACACCATGTGACATGCGCATTGACTTGACGTTTAATTATCGAAAATGCAGAAAATCTTGTTTAAGTTTTTAAGTTTTGAGTATGTTTTTGATTTATGACTGGTTTGGTAGTGGTAAGGCGCCTCCTTGCTAAATTTAAAAATCCGCTATGGGTAAGAATTTATTTATATTTCTTTTTTAATGAGAAGTGCATTTATATATTTTTTTATTTTTAGGAAAATCAAGAGGCGTCATCTCTATTTTGTTTATTTAAAAAAAATAATTTTTTTGTTTGTTTATTTTAAAAAAATATTTTTTTTGTTTTTCAACATTTTTTTACATACCCTAATATAATAACAATATGTTATGGATATCCATTTTCGGGTTTTTTAATATACATAATATATACCATGGATATATTATGGACATTCAGGAATATACATCATGGATATACTATGGATGTCCATATTACGAGTTTTTTAATGTACTTGATATATGTCATGGATATATTATGGACATCCAGGAATATACATAAGATATACGTCATGGATATACTATGGATATCCAAATAGAGGACAAAATCATATTTTATGGATATCCATGGTATATCCATACGATATTCGCGAATATACGAATATGCATAGATGTATATCCTATGTATATCCTATGTATATTTTCTTGTTATGTGGGTTAAAACGTAAAAGTTTTAGATCAATGAAATGTTTTACTGGCTGTGAACTTGTAAGCAATGAATTATCTTGAGAATTCATCAGTAATCCATTTTTCTGTTATAAAAAATGGGTGATCCCATTGGTAGAGAGGCGTCAGGCGGCTGTATGTCGGGGATTTACCACACGTGTACAAATTTTCCATAATATTAATAAAAATGTGGGTATAGGTTAATATAACAACCATTACGTTTGAAAATAAAAGTAAATTAAGTGTATATGTATTTGTATTATTAATTTTACAAGGACCCGACCTACTGCCGTAAATTATTGATATATAGGTCGGGTATGGACATCCTTTTAACATATTGGTATTTATTGAGTATTAAGGCTTAAAGAAAAAGGAAGTACCTATAATACTTACCAAAAAATAAGAATGTCCCCTTATGGATTCACCGTAATTAAAATCTAACTGAACAAAAATGCCACACTTCCACAACGCGGTATCTCCGGATATGCACTGCTTAGGTAGATAGGTACCAATCAAACATTTTAAAACGCATTTCGGTTATTACCAGTTTCTTCAGTCTATTTTGCCACTATTGGTGTAATTTAACTTTAATTGTGATACAATGTGCACTAGTAGTGTAAAGAAAAAAGAGCTCTTAGTAACATCAAAACAAACAAAGAAATTGGCATGCACTGTAGTGTACATTTTGTCACTATTAAACACATTAAGGGGTAATAAACACTCGCATTAAGTTTTTACACCCTTTTGATTTATTTAAATAATAAATAGTGTGAATGTACCAATGAATAATGTTCATATTTTTTAAATGTGTTTAATCAAGTTAATAAGCACTAAATGCTACCTAGTGTATTTTGTAGTGTAACTTTTACACTTACAAATCAACTCTAATATTTTTACCCCTTCACTAAAAAATTTATACGGGCAAAATTTTTTACTATGTTTAAGGTAAAAAAAACATTATTTTGTCAATTAATTAATTTAATCCTAATTGAGGTATAAAAAATGGTATTTAGCTATAAATAATAATTATTATTGAGGTATAAAGAAACTATTTATAGTTTAGCATTATTTAATCAACTTAGTTCGAAGATTAATTTACAAAAAAAATCATATACAGAAGAAAAATCGATCTAAATTATTTTTTTTTCATTACAAATATGAAAAAATGTGTTGGACAAAATCTACCAATTTTTAGTCAAATGATCTGCAATAAAAAATAGGGTGTTCCATTGGAAATTTAAAAGTTACCCCCTGTTCCCCCTATAAGGAGGAGAGTATGAGGACCAATTTTAGTACTGATTGATTTCCCCCCCCCGAATCATTTAATTTTTATTGTTTTCATTTTTTCGTAAAATGCATACTAACTGAGATATTTCAAAGTTTGAAATTAAATGACTTACCCTGTATTTAGATACAATAATAATTACAATAAAATGTCAAGTTGCCTATTTAAAAAAATATATATTTTAGAGATATTTAGGTAGTTTAGTTTGTAGTTTTTTTCTTTTTTATTTAATTTAAAGCTAGTTATATAAGTGCTTTGTATTATCAAAAATGCTCAATAATTAAGATAGAATAGATTTTTTTAAATGGGCAATATTTTAGCGGGACAAAAGTGTACTATTTTTTAATATAAATCGGTTTTGGAATCCTTTAGGGCAAGTGTGCGCAATTTAAACTTCTATAGTCGAAGGGGTAAGTGAACGCGACCTACTATAATTAGTTAAGTCTTTTACTACTTAAAACAGTAAGATATGATATGCATACAGGTTAAACGTCATTAATTTTAAGAGACCGAACTTTGCAAAATATATTGTGCTATACAAAGTACTATTACTAGTAACCACTACCTACTGGTAGCAGCTACTTGACCGTCAAGTCTTGACGTTACAATGGTTGACAGTTGTATTTTTGACAGTTTGTGTCCAAGACTACTTAGAGCGGTATTTAAGTTTAAATATTTTTAAATCAAAGCTCCAAATCAAAACTTTACTTAAATGCGCACACTTACCCCAAATAGAGTTAAAAACAGCTTTAATACCCATGTATACAGAGTGTTTACGCTTTTAAAATTTCAAATCTATATGTTTTTCGGTTCCCCAGAAACTTTTAATGGACCACAAATGTAAAACACCCTTTATATATATATATATTCTATTGACAACTCTACAATTTAGCAGTAACACTATGATAGTTTAAATTACTAACATTGAGTACGTCCACCTATATTACCTAATTTTGGGCTGCTGATTTCAAAAATGCCACTCGTTTTGCTCCAGGACATCTAGGATTCGAATTAATTGCGGAATAAAATGCTCTGCCCAATTATATCAAAATGTTTTCGTTAAAATTTTGATTATTTATTAAATTATTTTGCCTTAGATCTATTTTGGATGTTCAGTATATTTTTGACGTTTTTTGTCAAAAGTGCATGACATTTAAAATTTAAACTTTAAATTGTATTTTTACTTGAAAGTGATTTTAAGAACCAAAAATGGAAGTGGTGATGGAAGTGGCAGAGAAAGAGAAAGGAGACGCACATTTATGTCGTCGTTGTAAATTTGTTTTGTTTTTGTTGCGGTACCTTTACGCCCAAGAAAAACCAACGCAATATTTTATTACAAAATTTTATGAGATATGCCTACTACTTTAATTTTGCAGGAATATTAAATGGACCTGACATACGACGTTTAATAAAAGATCAAGCACTCAAAAATGCTCTCAAAGTTGACGAGCTTGTCGCATATGGCATTGTTAAAGCTGTCATAGAAAATGTTCTTGGTTCATATCGGGCCTAAAATTGGCGCCAATTCAATGAAAAAATGCTCTACGTTTTGTAAAGAATTAGCTTTAATGTCATTTAAAATACCTTTTCTTTTTTTTCATCCTGATAAATTTGCCGAACTGATGAACATGGAGAACGATTTACCAAGTAACTGCAAATCTAGAGCATTGGTATTTAGATATTTATGGGTATAGCGGAAAGAAGTTGGATTCATTGCTAGGAGACATTTGCTGGAATTTGCAGCAAAAAATGTACGACGATGATGAGGATTAAGCACAATAATACTGTAATCCAATTCGATATTTGATGCGATTTAATAAATTTAGCAAAATTATGCAATGCATTAAATTTTGAGGGCTTAATTTGGATAAAAAATACTGAAACTTGTTACTGTTCAATGTAATAATTAAAATAAGCGACAAAAAATGTCAAATAATATTTTTTTTACATAAAAATAAATTTTAGTTTTAGTATTTATAATGTCATATTGTTAAGATAAATATGATCTATTTGTCGTATACCAATTACGTCAGTACATTCAAGATAAATTTAAACCAAAATAATTTAATAAATAATTAGAATACTAAAAAAAACTTACATTTTGAGGTGATTGAGCAGAGCATTTTATTAGGAATTATTTTAAATCCTAGACGTCCTAGAGAAAATCTAATGACATTTTTGAAATCAGCGGCCCTAAATTAGTTAAACTAAGCTGAAGTACTTAATGTTAGGAAAAAAAAGTGTCTAAATCTATCATAGTGTATTTATTATAAAAACAATATACAGCCACAATGAGTTGTAGTTTCTACAGCCATTTTAAGGGTCCCATTTTAAATTACTCAGCACAAACTTTTCGATTAGTTTTGTAAAAAGATATCTGGTAAAAAGCCACTTTGACTTCTTCTAAAAGTTTTGCATCACTTTTGCTGACAACTGAAGCTTTATTTAATAAATTGTTTGTAAGCCATTGGCGTGGAATTTTTCCTTGACGTAGCCCTAAAGAGAAAGGTCTGGTGGTGTGAGATCCCACGATCTGGGCTGCCAGTTTATGCCTCCATTCGGCGACATTAGCCTTCCGGAAAATTTTTCACTCAAAAGTGCGTTTATTTTGTGGAAATAAAGATTCTTTTCGGCCATGTCGTCCAATAGAAGCCCACTTTTTTTGACGAGGGAAATAGGCTGAAAGCTGGTCTTTAAAATGCCCAATTGCCCAATTGCTCTGAAAGTCAGACAGTTTTAAAATTCCAAGGAATTTAATATGGGACCCAAATTGAAAAATTTTTGTTAGGTTTTTTGCTTGTATTGTTTTTATAATAATAATGTTTTAAAAAATACATTGACTGTATGGACTAGATACCTAGAATAATCGTGGTAGCCTAAATTAATTTAGAAGTTTACAATAGTATTTTTTTTCGTATTCTTAATGAAAAAGGGCGTACTTTATAAAGAGAAAACCGCTTGGAAAAGTACCAGTTTTAAGGTTAGCAAGCAAATCTTTTCTACGTGTTTGGTAAAGGTCATTTTCTTCTCTGTTTTGGTGTAATGCAATTTTACATTGGTAACAGTACCAGCATCTTTGACATCATCAATTTTCAACAACCGTTAATCATCATCAGCTGTAGTATAAAACAGTTCCATCCCAAGTAGCATTATAGTGACGAAAAGTGATATCGTAACTTCAAATGAGTGGCAATTAAAATAACTTTATCTATTTTGCGTTCATAATAACTTCATTATAACACCGCTTTCGGTGCTGTAATGAGATTCTTTACCCCACCCAAAATTTTGATTTAATAGGTTGTCTATACTTTAAACAGCATAATATTTTGCATATTGGTTATAATATTTTTATGATTTTTCTAGTACTTTCAAGACTTTTCTGGCAATAAATTTTGTTTAACACCAAAGAAAATACTTTTTTTCTTCTTTAACTTTAACAGCCGCTTATTGTAAATAAGTTAATCAAAGGACGGCATGGCGAATCGATTTTGACATTAACTGTCAAACCAATGACTGTGATACCATCTATCTAAAGTAAAATTCGACCAAATTAAATATAAGGTATAAAATTAATTTTAATTTAATTTTCTTTAATATACTAAAGTCTACCATGTTACATATTATACGAGGTGTGTTCAGAAAACAACGGGAATTGTTAAATTTGGCGGGATCGGAGGGTCCGGTTGTCATAAAATTTTCTTTATTATGTTGGCATACATGCCCTCGAAATATAATAATAACTTTAGCTGTTTTCATTGTTTACTTTGTCTGTGGCAGCCGCTAAGGTTAGACTTGTTTTATGAGCTCGGTGATTTTTCGTTCGTTAAAAGAAATGGATCAAAGAATTTGTATCCAATTTTGCTTAAAAAATGAAATAAATTCTGTGAAATGTTAACAAAGGCCTATAGTGAGTCTGCTATAAGTAAAACAAGAGTTTACAAGTGGTATAAGAGTTTCCAAGATGTCCGTGAATACGTTGAAGATGACGAACGCCCTGAACGCATAAGCACATTAACAACTGATAAAAACATGGAAAAAGTGGAAGAAATGGTTAAAAACCATCAGAGAAGTCGATGATGATGTTGGTATATCGATTGGCTCATCCCATGAAATTTTTTCGAATGTTTTGTTTATGAAACGCGTGGCAGCAAAATTTGTTCTAAAATTGTTAAATTTTGAACAAAATTTTTGGCCAAAAACAATACTGTAATGATGTCCCAGCCTCCATATTCGCCAGACATGCCTCTTTCTGACTTTTTCCTATTCCCAAAAATAAAGAGAACCTTAAAGGGCCGTCGTTAGAAAGAACTAAAGGCTATCCCAAAGATCGAGTTTTAGAAGTGTTTCGAGTATTGGAAGAAGAGCTGGCACATGTGCATAATATCCAATGGGGACTATTTTGAAGGCGACAATATTAATGTAGACGAATAAATAAATATTTCTTTCAAAAAACAAAACAAAAAAAAAATTCACGATATTTTCTGAACACACCTCGTACATATTATTAGCATAGTAACAACGGTTGTAATCATGTGATTTGCACCAGCAGAATAAACTTTATAGTTTTAACTGACACTAAAAAAGTGTCCCACATTTTAGTTACTTCCACGTAATAGAACCGTTTCTACCACTTGGCAGAGATTTTAGAAATACACTTTACAGTTCCAAGTGTAAGTGGCTGATACGTTTCATCCACTAAAAATGCTACTTGAGATAGGTACTTATATTAATGTGTTTAAGAATTTTTATTAACTAATTCTTTTCCATTAGGAATACGAAAAAAAAGGTGTTCAATTCGTTAGTTTTTTATCTCCTGGAAAGATAGAAAACAATCACTTTTTAGCATTTTACGAAAAAAAATTTAAAATAAAAATTAAATCATTCGAGGGAAATCAATCAGTACTAATGAAAAAAAAATCAATTTTGTTCGATTTTTCTTCTGTATACGATTCTTCAATAATTTTTTAATAAAATAATTCGTTATATTTTTTAAATTTATTTATTTTTTAAATTTATTTATTTTTTAATTTTTAATTAAAGTAGGTGCCCAAAATGGTGGCCTTCGATTTAAATGCATTTATTAATTCGCATTTCGTTTTAATCTTCTGCTAACACTGCTCTGGGATATTCCCCAATCTCTAGATAATTCTCGTGTGCTTGCATGAGGATTAGCGGCCATTGCTGCTAATACATTAATTTCACTATTTCCACCTGTGACTGTTGCTCGACGAACTCTTTTTTCCGGTTGAACACTCCCGTTTGTAGTAACCTGCTTGATTGTACGGTGAAATGAAGTACGTGATCGAATTTTATCCGGAAAACGCTGAGCGTAGATAATAACAGCATCATCAAGATTCCTGCCTGTTCTCCATAAATCAAAATCATTTCTATTTTTTCTTCCACTGTTAAAAATCCATTATGAATAACGGCTTAACGAAAGTTTGCAAATTAATCTTCGAACTAAATTGATTAAATAATGCTAAACTATAAACAGTTTCTTTATACCTCAATAATAATTATTTATAATAATAATTATTATTTATAACTACCATTTTTAATACCTCAATAATTGAGGTATTATTATTAATTATTAGGATTAATAAATTAATAAATTAATTAATTGACAAATTAATGTTTTTTAACCTTAAATGAGGTATTTTTATTAAAAATAGTAAAATAATCCTTTAAGTTAAAGGATTTAATGCTGGCAGGTAAAAGTGACCATGGTGCCGCACCATTGGTGCGCAATTGATAATTCGTCACCTGAGTATTTATTTGTTCTATGTCCAATATGTTATAATAGAGATAAACGGGTTTGAAATTTTTACATTAAATATCTTTTGGATTTATGCCTCAATATTGGAAAAAACGTTTTGGAGATAAAACAAAAAGTGCTACACAGAAAAAAATAATGTAGTTGAGTTAACGTTTGCCTAAATGTCATTTTTGAAAATGTTGTTTCATCAAAAAACCTATTGGATTAATCTATATTTTGGTGTTAAAGCAATAGTTAGAGTTTGTCAAAGTTTATTTGTTCATTTGACAGTTAAAATATTGATTTAACATAAACTAATTTTCTTAATTAAAATGTTTGTACTATCTTGATTTAATAGCTGAAATTGGTTGAATCAAATACTGGAATTTTTAGGATTACCTAAAAAAACTATTAAATTCACGTTTAGTTGCTCTTTAAATCCAAAACATTACATTTGTTCATCTAACAAATTGTAAATGTTACTTTAAAATTTGTTAATTTTTCATTCATAAAATTGCCGTGAAGGTCGCTTCGAACACCCACGCCACGTCATTAGACGGTGTTGATCAAGTGATGTTCTTACATCTCGCCTCAGTTGGCTTACGATAGGAGTATATAAGCTCAGGTAGCCCTTTGTTTTGGGTGTGTTCTACAGTGGAACTTCCAATACACCAAATTGCCCGACACTGATAAGACCCCCTAAATAGGTCGAATCAGCTGTCTGTCGGTAGGTATTTGAAGTAGGTGGAACGCACTCAAAACAAAAACTCTTGCAAGGGAAGGTTCAATTCTTTCTCTTTATATTAATTCCATAATTTTGTTTTAAATACCAACCTTTAAAGAATGTTACTTTTACATTTTCAGAATGTTAACCCAACATTAGCGCAAATTATTTTAATTTAACATTTTATTTGTGTTAAGTGAATATGCTAAAAAGGTTACCTGAACATTTCAAGAATGTTTAATTAACCAGATTAGCAGATTAGAACGAATATTCTCATTTTGTTCAATTGACTAATATTTGTTTTTCAATTAAACAATACAATTTGACATTTTTCGATGGTTAAGTAAACGTGCAAAAACCATTGCTTGTATTTAAAGTGCATAAAGAGTTGAATTAATATTTTTTTTGTTGTTTCAACAGCTTATTTTTTTCAGTGTATTTTTGGATTTTAGTAACAAAATGTTGGACATATAACAAAGTTTTAGGACATGAAACAAAACTGAATTAAAAAATACTTTATTTAATAATGATTTACTTTAATAATAATAATTATAATTATTGTCAAAATACAATGTCATGTACATGTACATGTAAATAGGTCAAAAAAAACGTGTACTGGCTAAAGTGGATATAGAACAAAACAATTTTATACTTATAAGGAAGCTTTCCTTGGAGATAGCACAAAACAGTTATAAAATGGATATAGCACAAACAAATACTAATTATTTTCATATTTTTACAAACACATAGAGCAAAAGAAAGCCTGTAAGCGAAATTTGGGAGATAGAGTAAACCAATTTTAAACCTTTTATACTAAACTCGGATTTAGACTAACCTAAACTAAAAACAATTATATCAAAATACTATTATGGAGATGAAACAAACCAACTTCAACTTTCCGAAAATGCATAAACCTCAAAATGGTAAAAAATGGAAATAGCACAAACCAATACTCAGGTGACGAATTATCACCGAATGAAATAATGTATAAAACTTAAACCAAAGGAAACATAAATATTAGTTAAAAATCGTGGGTACCTACTTAAAAAAATAATATTTAATTTAATAAGATAATTATTACCAAAAAAAGTGATATATTTATAGAAAATTTATTGCAGATCATATACAGAAGAAAAATCGAACAAAATTGTTGAGGAGAGTATGAGTACTGATTGATTTCCCCCCTCGGATCATTTAATTTTTATTTTAAACATTTTTTCGTAAAATGCATACTAACTGAGATATTTCAAAGTTTCAGTTAAATGACTATATCCAATCATAACCTTATTATACCTTAGGTAATGAAACAATGTCTGTGTGTGTCTGTGTTTGTAAACTGTTTCAAGGTGATATGATTAAAAAATGGTTCTAGAAACGGCGACATTAACGAATCAGGGATCGACGTCGAATCAGGTTCAGGTTCAGGCAGCTCAGGCTTCGCTTGAGGTTTGCGAAGAAAATGGATCGACGGGGCCTCAAAACGCTGCTGGTCAGTCAGTGTTTTGTGAAATAGGTTGTTCACGAAATAATGCCAATGCAACCTATTGCTGCCGCTTTATTGTTTGATGACTTAGTTTGGCATTAAAGGGTTGTTTTACCAATAAAGAGCAAATTTTGGACCCGAGAAGGCAAAAAGGCCCTTGGTGGTCAGCTAACATAACCATCATGTTTCAATGATTCCTCCTCGAGATTTTTTTTTAACTTACAGAAGGTTGAACTGCATTTTCTGATTTCTGTATTTTGATATAAATTAAAAAGCTAAATCATCCATTCTCAAAAACTGACCTGTTGAAAATAACTCTTTTGAAACATTTTTGCTCGGGTCCAAAACCTTCACAGCAAACGGAAAAATATAGAAGTGTATTGGATGACGCCACGTTTGAATGCACTTCTCTAAACCCTCGCCGCGGTACACAGTGGTCTGAGAGGCAAATTTACGCGGCAAAAATCCAATTTTTAAAACACTTCAAAAACGCATTTTGATGCCTCTTTATTGTTCCTGACAGATTATTACCTAAGATTTTAAACTGCCAAGTAGAATTTATTGCGTATGCGTTGCGTTATAACAAATACATGAAAAGATTGTCAAAAATACTCTTACTTTCGGAATCTTGTCTTTTTCGTGTAAAAAAGGTGTTGCGTAAATATAATAGTGAAAATTAGTGTCAAAAATTTATAGTAGGGATAAAGTCGAGTACAAATACAACTTTAAAATGTCTTTTTTTGATTTTTTGACAAAAATATAACGTTTTTTAACCTACAAATTCTCAAGTTTTGTAATTACAAACAGGGACCCGGACCGAAATGAAATATCGGTTCCGGTACGGTTTTGGTTCACCCTATTTTCGTTTTAATGGTTCCGATTCCGGTTTCGGTTTCGTGGAGTTATAACGGTTCGGTTCTTTTCGGTTTTAAGCGGTTCCAGTGAGGTTATTTGTTTTACGTAATTTTACGTATACGTTATATAATGTTATTAGAATAAAAGCAAATAAAGGTTTCGGTTCCGGTCCAACAGATTTTATCAAAAGCGAAAACGGTTCCGGTTCGGGTTTCGGTTCGGAAAAAAAAACCGGTTCCGTTCCGGTTTTCGGTTTTTTTTCGGTTTCGGTCCGGGTCCCTGATTACAAATAATAAATGGAATATAAGTAAAAATTTATAATTACTTGCCACGAACCACATAGTGCATTCGAAAATATGAACCTCCAGCTCCGACTTTATAAAAATTCATCTGCCTTTATGCGCCTATAAGAGAGTTATGCAAAAATGAAAAATGGCCTACAAATTACCGCTAACCTGGTCATAAAAGTAATATATTTGACAATAATTATTGCATTTAAGAATGGTAATACAATTTTCTTTACTCCTATTACATAATATTATTTTTGTAATATACTTTGTATATTATACAGTGTGCCCACGGATGGTAATGACAATAGAAAAAAACTTTTTTATTAGGTATAATACGAAAAAAACATGTTTTTTAAAAACTCTTGCTTGTTTTAAAACATTTTAAATTAAATGTACAGGGTGCTTAGAAACTAAAAAAATCCTAAAAACTAGAAGTGCGTTTTATGGAAAAATGAATTCTTTTTGAAAATATTTGATGGTTAAAAATTAAGACTTTCATAAAAAGATGAATTATATAATATATATTATTATATATATTATACAGGGTGCTCAAAAATTAAAAAATATATATATCAAAATAAGAAAGAAATGAGATATTCGCAAAAAATCATTCTTCATAAAAACTTCTGCTTGTATTTAAAAATGAGATTCCTAACAAACATTTTTAATTAAATGTCCAGGGTGCTCAAAAAATAAAAAAACAGCAAAGTGCTTTAAGATGGTAGTACAATAATTATTGTTCTATAGGAATCTCATTTTTAAAACAAGCAAGAGTATTTAACGCATAATAAAAATATTAAGTTTTCCTATTGTCAACCATCACGATATTGGGAAAAAGAAATATGGAGAAATGTAAAATGTTGATATATTAATATATTTTTGATACTTTGAAGGTAATGGTTTTTTCGGTTATTCATGATAAAAAATTATGCTTGCGCCATGTTGCAATCGCCAACATTGGCGAGCTATAAACATTTATTTATTTAATAAATAAATTGTTAAATATAAAACATAAAAAAAACAAAAAATACACAAATATTAAAAAAATTCATTTTATATCATTTGGCTAGACTTAGCCCCCTCAATACCAAATATTAAAAAAAATATATTTAAGAAGTAAATTTAGCACCCTTAAAACATAAAAAACACACGTCTTGGGAAAAATATTGACTTTTGAACTACACTTGAGTGCAAAATAATCGACTCACACAAATTTTCGATGAATTTAAATCGCAAATAACTTTTTTATTTGATGTCGGATTTAAACGAATATTAAAGAATATTGTAGATAAATTAATGGACAATCGCTCACATTTAAAAAAAATACTAAAAAATAGACGTACGTTTATAATATACAGGTTTAAACAAAAAGATGTTTTTTACCACAAGTTTAAGACACTCTGTAGAGTGGCAAAACCGTATATTGTTCTAAATTAAGTTTTATTTATCAAGTCACATCTATTCTTAACAGTTTTGTTTTTGGTTCACCTCGATATATTTATTTTTGTGGAAAATATGGATTTTTTTTAAAAAACATTGCAATTTCCAATATTTTTCCTCTATAAAGAACTAAGGTTGCTATGGTCCATCCATAGCCTATGGAAATGACAGTGACAGTTTTGTTGAATCATCCCATACTTGGACATGTCATATACAGCTTTCAAAAGCTATCAAATTGTTTTTTGTTAATTAATGTGTTAATTTTGAGGTGTCTTCTTACTTTTAAAAATGTCTCCGACTGATGTTGCCCTTTGTACTTAACTTCTTATGACGTTTAAAACACTTGCCACGTAATAATGTGACCGTCCATCCTGGATTAAATTAATGGCTCTGGCAACATCAGTCGGAGACATATCCAATTTGATAGCTTTTGAAAGCCGTGTATGACATGTCCAAGTATGGGATGATTCAACACTGTCATTCTCCATAGCAACCTTAGTTCTTCATACAGAAAAATATTGGAAATTGCAATGTTTTTTAAAAAAATCCATATTTTCCACAAAAATTAATATATCGAGGTGAACCAAAAACAAAACTGTTAAGAATAGATGTGACTTGATAAATAAAACTTAATTTAGAACAATATACGGTTTTGCCACTCTACAGAGTGTCTTAAACTTGTGGTAAAAAACATCTTTTTGTTTAAACCTGTATATTATAAACGTACGTCTATTTTTTAGTATTTTTTTTTAAATGTGAGCGATTGTCCATTAATTTATCTACAATATTCTTTAATATACGTTTAAATCCGACATCAAATAAAAAAGTTATTTGCGATTGAAATTCATCGAAAATTTGTGTGAGTCGATTATTTTGCACTCAAGTGTAGTATTAATATGAAAATTATTTTATGCTTTATACGTCATGACTGTGATTTTTTTATTTTATTAATTAATTGAGCTGTGTTGAATATTTTTCTCTACCAAACATGAATTGACTAAGTGAAAGCCATCTAAATTTTAAATTATAAATAAAACTAACAATATCGCTTCTTAACTGCATTAAATTTTTGTTTATATCTTTTACATGGATAAAAATAACAAAACAAGACTAACTAGACTGAAAAAATGAAGATGGGGACTACATTTCCTGAAAGTTTCAGATTTTTATTTTTTCCTCAACATAATGATTTCTGAGGGCAAAATTGGCTAATTTTAAAAATTATCAAGTTTCAATAATTTTTTTAATAAAGAAAATGATAGTCTAGAAACGTAAAATAATAGTTACGTTTTCTATTGTATAAGTACTTGATACCTGAAAAAAGCAACTTTCTAGATTTAACAGAATAGGCACAGGAGCCAGACAAAAATCACAAAAATTGGCAAATTATTACAAATCTTTAGTGGTTTACCATTCTTTTATGAGATGAACTAGTTAGATAATAATAATTAATATTGAAAACATACTTACTAGGCAGTAAAATAAAATTACAATCATTTCAATAATTGCCACAGAAAAAAAGTTTTAGCCTCTTATAAGAGAGTAAGAAAATGACACGATTTCAGGTTTCTAAAGGGTGCCGATTAAAAATAAAGCAACTAAAAATTAAAACGGCAACGGTTTTTCATATATGATACCTAAAAGATCATCCTCAAATTTTTTCATTAATATATTATTATGTATATATAAAAAATCATGCAGCGCACTTTTAAATTTATTTTTGGTGTTTTCATTTGGATTGACTCGTATTCAAACGTGGAGTCATCCTATACACTTCTATATTTTTCCGTTTGCTGTGTTGTATATCTGCGATATAAAATGAAATCGTTTACTCATCATATATTGTAAAATATAATTCTCACAGAAATACCAACAACTTAACACATTTGGCTTGTACAGCTTACCTTAAATGCCACTCTATTCTATGTAAAGTGTTTCTATGATTTTTGATAGGGTTTCCGTTTGTTCATCATGATTTCGCATGTTTTAAAGCTTTGAATTCTCTTGCTTTTGATGTTGTATTTCTTTCTTTTTCATCGTCAATCTTCAAACTGCACGTGTGTTACCATCATTTAGGGGTTATATGTTAGAGAGCTCGGTATGGTGTAGAAACGTAGAGTAATATTAGTTTTAGAAATAGATTTAGGAATTAATATGTTTTAAACTTTAACTATTCAAACTAAACTGCGCACCACTCAATGTGTCGCGACCAAAAAGTTCGTCCTTTTTCAAAACGACATAACTTTTTTGTTTCTTGAACTATTTTATTTTGGTCTGTGTTGTCTGCTAGCCTCATCCTTTGGCAATTCATGCTATAAATATGAAGCTCAACGTTCTTCAAGTAAATTTCCTACAGGGTTATATGTTAAACGGTGAAAAATGTTAATAACTTCATCCAAGCCCCGTTTGTAACAAAATAATTTTTTTTCTCGTTTTTACTTTAAAATAATGAAGTATTGTCTTGCCTTGTAGCGTTTTTCAATTTTTTCGAATTGGAATCTTGGAAACGAAAATATGATTTTTTTTCAAAAGAGTACATTTAAGGCTTTTTGTAGGCAATACACTCAGTCTTTTTAGGAACAAGAAGAATAATTTTCCTTAAATAATTCTGAGCAAGCCACAAGCAACAAACTTCCATTATTTTCAGGCCTAAGCAAAGACCACTTTTTCAAAATAACATTTTGGTGAAAATTTGAGAAAACTAAACTTAAACCGATATTTACCTTCGTGACATGTTTTATTCATAATTTTGACCTCCTGATTGTGATTCAGTTATCAAATTTAAGTTTCAGATAAAACCAAAATTAACAAGAATCAAGATTCGAAAACAATTCCCGGCTGTTAAATGTCTCAATAAAATACGATTGCTGGTTTTTACTATTTTTTTACTGTGCTTCGCATCTTTAGTACGATATTATCATGTCGCTCAATAATCAAATCGAGGATCAAATGAAAATTAGTTCTTGAAAAACATTTAAAACGCATTATGAGCGATATTCTTGATTTTTTCAGTTGCTTGTGTTTTTCAAAATTTCGATTTTTTTTGCATAAGTTATACCTACCTACTGCATACCCAGGTTACTTCCATTCTTCCTTTAAAAGATTAAAATACCATTGCTAGACTTTGCTGCAGCTACGGGAATTAACATCTCCAAATCAACGGTTCGCATAAGATTGCACGAAACGGGAGGCAAGGGTGGCTTTTGGAGGTGGAGAAGTGACTGTTTGGGGTGGAATGGCGATGAATGGAAAGAGTGAATGCTGAGAGATATAGAGATTTGGTTGTTATGCTCAAAATGTTGCCAATTATTGGTGTTGGTGGACGACAATGCCCGTCCGCATCGCGCCAATATCGTAAATGGGTATTTAAGGGACCACCATATTGAGAGAATAAATTGACCACCTTTGTCTCGGGATAAGAATCCTATTGAGCATGTGTGGAGCAGGATGAAACTGAAGATGAAAGAGAGGGAAGGACGCATGGAAAATTTGGATAAATTGGGATACCCCAGGAATTTATAAAGAACTTGGTCGAGGCCCAGGAGGGTTAACGAATTATTACGGGTTAGGGGAGGGCCAATGAACAAACATTTTTTTATTTAACTTTATTACCAATTAGGTAGGTACTTATCAGTGATAAGTTATCACTAGTGCGTAATGTAAATGTAACTTATGTAACATTATCCTAACCACTCAAACAAATTGCAGTAATTTCGCTCAAAAAATGAATCCCCAAATGGCATTTTAATCATAAATATGCAAGAAACACGCCAGCAATCGGATTTTATTAAGACATTTAACAGCCTGGAATTGTTTTCGAATTTTGATTCTTGGTGATTTTGGTTTTATTTGAAACTAACATTGACAACTGAATCACAATCAGGAGGTGAAAATTATAAAGAAAATACAAACGTAAATATCGGTTCAGGTTTAGTTTTAGCAAATTTTCACCAAAATGTCATTTTGAAAAAGTGGTCTTTGCTTAGGCCCCTCTGAAAATAATGGAAGTTTGTTGCTTGTTCAGAATTTTTCAAGGAACAATATTTCACCTTTTTATCTTCTTGTTCTTAAAAAGACTGAGTGGATTGTCTACCAAAAACCTCTTTTGGAAAAAAAATCATATTTTCGTTGCTAAAATTCCAATTCGAAAAATTTGAAAAACCTTTCAAGGTAAGACATATTTTTTTTACAAACAGGGCTTGGATGAAATTATTGAAATTTTTCACCGTTTTACATATTACCCTGTACGAAATTTACTTGAAGAACCGTGAGCTTCATATCTATAGCATGAATTGATCGTTTAAGAAACAAAAAAGTTATGTCATTTTGAAAAAGGACGAACTTCTTGGTCGCGACACATTGAGTGGTGCGCAGTTTATATCTATGATATTAAATACCTATAATACAATAAAAATAATTTTCATGTTTTGTAGTAATAAACGCAAATCGTTTTAGAGACGTAAAAGTAAGTAATGTTTATTTTAAAAACATTTTTTCTATATCTTCATATAAAAAAGATCTTTGCATCTATTTGTTTTTAAACCATACCAACCTATTTAATCTCAAACAGATCTTTGAACATAATCTGTACATACTGGTAGGTATGCCTCACGGTTTCTCTTCAAGTTCTTGAACCATTCTGGAAAATGTAGTTCGATGTTGGATGTATCGCATGTTTCAGATCGTACGTCACAAAGGTCCTCAGTGAGCGAAGACCATGGTCCTGCGCCCACAACCACCACCACAGTCCCTAAATCAGAATCCATTTTGTCACACAAGGCGCATAAACTACGCTTTGTATCTTCCGTAGAATTTAGACATTCCTCAGGTAATTTCCTACATAACTCAGGGCCTTTCCATCTCAAACCGACCAGGAAAAACGGGTGGATCGTTATTTTTCAACGATTTTTTTTACAGTTTTGCTGTATTTTTTTGTTGCTTAAATTTGTTTTATTGATGCTCAGAATTTTACAAGGAATCGAAAAATAAATTCATATATAGGGTAATCCATTGTTTTTCCCTGTATACTGATCAATTTTCCAATTTTCTTTATACGTAGAAAAAAAGTATTTTTTACTTCCCACATAACCACACTTTTAATTTTTTTGGGACACTTAAAATAAAAAATTTAAAGGGGGCGACATTATAGGGGATCACCCTGTACAAGTTAAAAAAAACCTGGATCTTTTGTGATATACTAAAATATTTACAAAAAATATTAAAATACTTACTCTATTTACTATGACATCAAGTTGTCCAACTTTTGTAGAATCACCCTAATATCTATTTCATCAATTTGAATTTTCGTCAAAAAATTACTTTTTTAAACTATGAAAGCTGGATTTTAATTTTTTTCGATATCTCTTCCAATAAAGATTTTGTAGGGGTGTCCCATTTATAAGAAAACACCCTGTACCTACATTTAAAAAAAATCGATCTAAACATTTTTGGCCAAGTTATCGCATTTTTAAGAAAAAAAATGTCACTCTTAAAAAGAGAAAAATTGATGTTTCTGTCCATTTTTAAAAAAATTTCCTACGGATGAACAAAACAAATTTAAGCAGAAAGATTTCGGTATAGACACTGTAAAAGAATTTCGTTGAAAAATAACGACCTACCTTTTTTTGTCTGATTCATTTGAGAAGAATTGACCCCACATTTAAATCATACCAAGTAAAATTTGATTGGATCTAGCACAATTTAGAAGAGCCCCTGTATATTTTTATGTAGGGACAGGTTAAAAATATACAGCAATTCTAGAGTTATCTATACATTTAACTTGTACGTACTATCCTAAAGATAAATTTAGTATAGTAAAGCATGTAAATGTTAAAAATTAGGAGTACCTAACCTAATCTTACTATAAACTTTGAATCTACAAATCTGCAAACGTTTTAACTACAACCTGGTATCACTAACTAAACAAGTATTCTAAAAGGTGAAACCTCTACCACACCATTAAGTCCAGAAAGTCCAGTGGAAGACACTTCCGCTGACACACCAAACAAATCCAGATTACAACGAATCAAACCACAAAGTCGTAAAACGTTCCGCCTCAGGAAAAGCAAGAGAAGCAGCAAGGAAGCAAGTAATCAATCATTAAAAAATTTCGCTTGAAATAAAGTAATTTTAGGTTAGTCATACGAAACTTGAATCGGAAGACCAGCCTTCAAGCCCACAGCAGACCCCAATCACAACACCACAGTCATCGAAAGATCTCCCTACTCCAGTGAAAGCAGTTCCCCCAATTTTGCACCAATCAGCTCCGGATTCGCACAAGTTACGGATAGCCACTAGGACCAAAATAACGGAAGGGTCTTGGGACGAAGATAGCGCCATCTCCCACACCTCCAGCACCGGTTACAAGGAGTCATATCCGGTTATGCATCTGAAGGAGCCGCTGGAAACAAGCCCCAAGCTTTTCCCCCCACTCGCCTCCCCTGATATTCACGATTTACCCAGTACCAGCAGTGCAGCGACAACCAACAATTTCATGCACTGCACTGATAACAGCTCTCCCGATTGCTCCCTAAATGGAAACGAAGAAAAAACTGCTTTGATTAAGAAGGATGAAGATGAGAGAGAGCGGTCACCGTCCCAGCATTCTCTTCTTTTGGCTTTCGATAAACAAGACGAGACTACCCTTATATAGAAATACAAATAAGCCAATTAGTAACTGTTTTTGTTAGATCGCACGTTGCGAAGTAGCCATAAATGTTGAGTAGTTGGTAAGTTAGTAAGCAAGTTTAAGAAGACTGAATTTACCGATTGTTATGAGGGTTAAATGTTAAATGTACCTAATAAACACATAAGTTAAAATCTTTTTGTTTTATTACACTATGATAGTTCGATTTACTCATTGAGTACGCCCACCTATATTACCTAAGTTTGGGCTGCTGATTTCAAAAATGCCACTCGATTTGCTCCAGGACGTCTGGGATTCGAAACTTTTCTGCAGAAAAGTGCTTTATTAAATCCCAAAACTAAAATTATAATGTTTTTTTGGTAAAAAGTATCATTTTTTGAAATTTTTGTGTCGTTTTTTTAATTACTATCTAAATTAAAAAGTAAATGGGTTTCGGTATAAGCATTACTCTTCGACTATTATTTGATATGTTATTATTCAATCTTATTTAATCTCGAATCTTATCTATTAAGTCATCAAAATTTAATATCGAATTGAAGCATAAAGGTGCCTTTATCTACTTTATCGTTCAAGCACACTAAAGTGCATCTATTAATTATTGACATTTAAAATTTAAACTTTAAATTGTATTTTTACTTGAAAGTGATTTTAAGAACCAAAAATGAAAGAAGAGCAGGAAATGGAAAGAGAAAGGAGACGAACATTTATGTCTTCGTTGTAAATTTGTTTTGTTTTTGTTGCGGTACCTTTACGCCCAAGAAAAACCAACGCAATATTTCATTGCAAAATTTTATGAGATATACCTACTACTTTAATTTTGCAGGAATATTAACTGGACCTGATATACGACGTTTAATGAACGATCAAGCATTCAAAAATGCTCTCAAAGTTGACGAGCAAATGTCATTGAAAATGTTCTTGGTTGATATCGTGCCTAAAATTGGCGCCAATTCATTGAAAAAATGCTTTCCGTTTTGCAATGAATTAGCTTTAATATGTCATTTAAAATACATTTTCTTTTTTTTTTCATCCTGATAAATTTGCCGAACTGATGAACATGGAGAACGATTTCACCAAGTAATAATATACAGGTTTAAACAAAAAGATGTTTTTTACCATAAGTTTAAGACACTCTGTAGAATGGAAAAACCATATATTGTTCTAAATTAAGTTTTAATTATCAAGTCACATCTATTTTTAACAGTTTTGTTTTTGCTTCACCTTGATATATTTATTTTTGTGGAAAATATGGATTTTTTTTAAAAAACATTGCAATTTCCAATATTTTTCCTGTATGGAGAACTAAGGTTGCTATGTTCCATCCATAGCCTATGGAGGATGACAGTGACAGTTTTGTTGAATCATCCCATACTTGGACATATCATATACAGCTTTCAAAAGCTATGAAATTGTTTTTTGTAAATTAATGTGTTAATTTTGAGGTGTCTTTTAAAAATGTCTCCCAATGATGTTACCCTTTGTACTTTACTTCTTGTGACGATTAAAACCCTTGCCACGTAATACTGTGACCGTCCATCCTGGATTAAATCTGGCAACATCAGTCGGAGACTAAGACTAAGAAGACACCTAAAAATTTAAACATTAATTTGCAAAAAACAATTTAATAGCTTTTGAAAGCCGTGTATGACATTTCCAAGTATGGGATGATTCAACAAAACTGTCACTGTCATTCTCCAAAGCCTATGGATGGACCATAGCAACCTTACTTCTTCATACAGAAAAATATTGGAAATTGCAATGTTTTTTAAAAAAATCTATATTTTCCACAAAAATAAATATACCGAGGTGAACCAAAAACAAAACTGTTAAGAATAGATGTGACTTGATAAATAAAACTTAATTTCGAACAATATACGGTTTTGCCACTCTACAGAGTGTCTTAAACTTATGGTAAAAAACATCTTTTTATTTAAACCTGTATATTATAAACGTACGTCTATTTTTTAGTAATTTTTTAAAATATGAGCGATTCTCCATTAATGTATCTACAATATTCTTTAATATTTGTAAATCCGAAATCAAATAAAAAATTTATTGACAAACTTTTCCTGGGTGCTCGCTGTGGGGGCCTAACATTGCTAGTCTGGTGTTGGTCGCGTCTTCAACGTGTGTACCGAGTGTCCCAATGACCCAAATTGACAAAAAATACCCTTATTAGTGTTATAACATATATTTTCTACAAAATATCACACTTAATTTCCATTCGAAACTTTATGATGATTTAGCGCTTTAAGTAGCAAAGATCCTTCAATACTATCAGGCACCCTCTCCCTCGGAAATTCTAGACTTAAATCTGCAATGATGTAAGCAACTGACGCCCACAGCGCCAGACCTTTATCCAAGTCATCGGGATTTTCAACGTCGATTGTATCAGCGGCGCTGTGATGGTACCAAAAATATTTTTCGGCGTCGTTGAGTAGCGATGCTCCTGGTATACCATTACCAGTCCATATGGAAATGTCAGATCCACAGCTGGCTCCGTACTCCGCACGCGTTGCGTTGATTGAAGCCATCAGCCTTGAAAAAAGTTATTTTGATTCACTGCTCAAAATTTCATGACCATTTTAAACCCAAATTAACACCATACATGGTCTATATCGATACAAACCAAAATGGTGTTAAATATGGTTCGTTGGTCCAGTGTATATTCAAATACTAAAATAGTGTAAATTTAACTTTCACACAGTATTAAAATAAATTTTACCTGGTGTTAATTAAACTCCTTTTCAGTGTTAAATATTATGTTTTTGGTCAAATTAAATCATACTACACAGAAAAAAAGGAAACAGGAAGTTCCATGACGCATCACTAATATATTACTAGTGGTATTATGTGTTTAGTGCGTTCCACCAAGTTAAAATACCACAGCTGTTTCTACCTATTTAAGGTCTGTTTAGTATCGAACAACGTGTCACACAAAAGCAAATGACTACCTGAGCTTATATACTCTTCATGTAAGTCAACAGAGGCGAGATTTAAGAACATAACGTGATCCACATCGCCTTTGCCGCGATCGGTACACACTATGCAACCAGGAATGCAAGGCAAATTGTTTTAATCGTTTTAAGAGATTGCTTTAGGTTGAAGTAACTCTTATTTTACAAACAACATATTTAGTAAACTGAACCATAGAGCGGGTTGGTTTCACTAAAGTTTTCTGGGTTAATTTAACTAATTAAAAAAATAAAATAACTATCTGGTTTAGTACTGTCAAACTAATCTTTGTTTATATTAACCTTCCCACAGTTGATTTAAATAAATACTTATGGGTCAACTAAATTAATATAGTTAAATGAACTATTCCTTTTTTTCTGTGTAGGTGCACTTCTCAAATATTTTTAGATAAACACCGTTTTGGTGTTTGCTGTATATAACATTTTCAACCATAAATCAAACACTTGGTGTTGGATTTTGACACCATTTTAAGATTACTCTTTACAAAACAGATATTTTAAACAGTGTATTGAATTAAATAAAAAATTGGAGCATACTTAAGAACTTCCTGCAATATACATCCTCCTTGCTTTCCAGCAGAATAAACCAAACCTTGTGGAGTGAAAGTTCCCTCATCTGATTCCATTACAAACGTAAAATTATCCAATTCATTGGCATGAGTAGCATTGTAACCGATAACGCCTGTAAGTCCAAACTCTTCGCCCGTCCACAAGACGCATCTAGGAAAATAACATGGAATATACCCAACACGGTGGTCAAAACTAAAGTATAGGACGAACAAAAATGCCAACCAAAACTGATAGTATAATCTGATTATAGACTCTTTTGGTAACACAAAAATGTATTTATCAAAATCCCAGCTGATCCTTTATTAAAGTTTTGCATATTTCTTAGTATTTTAAAATTTGTTATGCCATTTCGATAATATACTCTAGTACCATTATCAAATTTTTTTAAAAATTTGGCAGATACATGACTGAAATATGGATAAATTACATTATAAATACAAAATAATGTAAAATACAGTTTGCAATATCTTATTTATTGTTTTAAGGTACCTAATACAAAACTAATAAATAACTGAAGATTCTTTGAAGGAAAATCGATTACTGCCTGCCTTAAATTTTCAGTCAAACTTTTTCTTGGGTTTTACATGGAATTGTTTTTAACATGGAAAAAGTATTTTTAAATTCTTCAGTCTCTGTACAAACATGCTTCTTACATCTAGCGATATCCCCTAGAAAGGAAGAGCATATCAAAACTTTAGTTCGGTCGTCCGTCCTCTTCCCTTAATAATTTTTTATGCCCTTTATATGTTGCCATTTTGCAGATAAAGCACATACATACTTGGCTGCCGCGAAATTCTCTAGCAATTTCTAAATTTTGAAAATTTGGCAATTGTGGCTATGCAAAAATACCGTTTTACCATATTGAAGTAGGTAATTTTGAATCACTTAAGTTAAAATGTTCATTTGAAAAAGTCTGCAGTAATTTTTATTTTTTCTCAGAAACCCTAAACTCTGAATTTTTCGATTACCAAAAACAATTTTGTCTCCACAGCCAACACATACCTTCTTTCGATTTTCTTTATGGCTTAACTTGAATTTCGGTTTAATTTTTTTAAAATACTATTTTTAACTTTATAAAGTACCTATACATTAAATAAACAACTAAAGCAAAATGTCACTTGCGTTATAACGTATAGCAAGTTTTTTCATAACCACCTTAATTGGTGTTTTACAAAATTTGCAAGTTGTAATTATTTCATAGACAAACTTCCAGTATTTTTTGGTATAAAAAATATTTAAGATTTAAATCTTCGTTTTTTTTTGTTATGTTTTGTTTTGAGTAGTAAAAAATAATAGGTTACTTAATAAATTAATACTGGGGAGTAAAGTAATTTAAATGATACAAAGTTTATTATTTTGCTTAATTTTATTAAAATCGTACAGGTAGTTTTAGTGCAATAATAACTAAATAATATATAGAAATGGAAAAACAAAAAAGTTTGCAAAACTTTAAAATAGGATCAGCTGGGATTTTTATAAATACATGTTAGTGTTACCAAAAGGGTCTATAATCAAAATATGCTATCAGTTTTGGTTGGCATTTTTGTTCGTCCTATACTTAAGTTTCGACCACCGTGCCAAGGAGCATTTTTGGTTCCAAAAACCATTACAAAGTGGTGATAACTTTAAATGAGTTAAGTATACTAAACAGCTACTTTAATTTTTACTTAAAAGTAATTCTAACTTTAAATAGCAATATTTTGTAACAGAAACTTCATTCTTTCCTTAAATGGTTACTATAAAGTAATAAACATTTAAGTAAAACTTTGTTGTCCCCAAGAAGACTTAGCAACTTTAAAAAAGGTGTTATAAGTAAAAAAAACTTTCAAGTAAATTTACTATTTTTAATTTAGTTACTTTCGGTTGCTACCTAAAGATTACATTATAATTATTTTTACGTTGTAGTCCCTTTGAAAGTTAAAATCTCGAAACTGGAACATGAGTTAAAAACTACAAAGTTAATAACTTAAAAGTTGTTATTTTAGTATTTGGAACGTTTATGGTACTAACCAAAACTACCGTAAAGTAAATTAAGGTGGAAAAAAACTTAAAAGTAGCGAAAACTACTTCAAAAGAAAATGCTTCTTATCGGCCATTTTTTACTGTACAGTACCACGTGGTAATGTAAATAATAAATTATTTTAATTGTTTGTAAGTGGTTGTTTACTTTTTTAAAAATAGTAATTTTTTTATAATAGACGGTATTAATAATTAAATAAATTATTAATAATAAATAGATTTAAATAAATTTTTTTTATTTATAAACATTATTAAATAAATAATTTGTTTATACTTAAATATTGATGAAGCGCATTTATTTTACAAAAACTAAATTCATAAGTTCAACAGTAAAATTTAAAGGGTTTATAAAATTACCTGCCTAATTAAACATTAAATTGTTATTCTGGAAGTTATAAACTACCAGTAGTTATTTAATAAACGACGATATTGAAAAGCGAAGTCCGTAGTGTTTCCATTTAAAAAAGGAGGGATAGTATAATCTAATATATGTTTGAAAGACAGTTAATACGTAACAAATACTAAATTGTTGCTTGGGTATTGGATAAAATATATTTGAATACTTACCTTACGGTACGTTTAGGGGTTAAATTTAAAGCTCTTAACACCACGAGAGAGTACCATGAAATAAAAGCGCCTCCACCATCATCCATAGCTCCATTACCGACATCCCAACTGTCCAGATGTCCAGATACAAGAACGACTTTCTCAGGTTTTTGGCTTCCTTTAATTTCGGAAACGGTGTTTCTTGAAGTTTTTGGTTTATTATTAACATTCATTAACTTTAGTTTCACGACGATTTTCTCTCCTCTATCTTGTAATCTTTGCAAGAACCTCGCATCTTCCACTGTTATAGAAGCAACAGGTATCTTTCTAACCCCAGATTCATAACTTTGCATACCGGTGTGCAAAGTTCTTTGCGAATAGTTCGTCACAGATCGCACAAGAGCGGCAACACCGCCTTTCTCGGCCGCCCTGGATGCACCAAGACTTCTGTATTTAACCGAAACGCCGTAGGTGACGTAGTCGTTGTTGAAGACTATTATTTTTCCTTTGGCTTTTTCCGTGAAGTTGCTTTGATTCAGTTCTTCGAATGATTTCACTACGAGTACTTCGGCTGTTATGCCCTCTTCAGGGGTTGATACTGAGAAACCCAGTCCCAGAACTGGGAGATTGGTTAGTCTGGGTTCGAGAATCCAGGCCTCTTCTTCGCCTCTAAAATATTATTCTTAATATTAATTTTGTAAAATTTAATATTTTGAAGATTTTAAAAATTTGAAAAACAGAAAATTCTGGAAATCTTAAAATTTTTGAAAACATTTAATGACCACTTGCACCGTAAGTTTAACAGATGTTTTTTTTTTAACACAGGTTTCAGCAAAATGCATTATTATTCTTTTTAGCTCCAAAGGATGTAAAGAAAATCTATTAAGAAGCTGCAAGTGGTTTGTTCCTCTAGCTGGATAGATACCGTCAAGTCTAAACGAAACAAATTTCAAAAATTTTCATTGTATCCTTTCAAGCCTATCTCTATAAATATAGTATTGCGGACTCCAAACAATTGTATTAATACAGCAGTATTCCAGATTAGATACAACAAATGCGTAATAAAGAGACTGAAATGTTCTAATATCTCTAAAACCCACAGTATTGCGAATTATAAATCCCAAGCTTTTCATAGATCCGGAAGCAATGTTCTCAACATGATTGGAAAACGTGAATTTATTATCAAACATTACACCCAGATCACGAATGGTACAACATTTCTCTAAAACAGCCGAGTCAAGCCTATAATCAAATTCAACACTAAGTAAAGTTTTCAAGGTGTAAGACATAACCTTACATTTAGATATATTAAGTTTTAGCTTGTTGATTTTACAATATGATCATAGTAATTTTTCACACTTGATGCCATTAGCCAATTCATTAATAAATAGTAAAAATAGGAGTGGACCCAGGTTAGACCCTTAGGGTACTCCAGAAGTGGGAGTAAATTTTTCCGAACAAAATCCATTGTAGCTGACATATTGGTGACGGACTTCAAGACATGAGTTAAACAGTAATAACAGTGAATCAGACAGCCCAAATGATTTCAATTTAGAAATAATTATTCCATGATCGATGGTATCAAAGGCCTTGGAAAAATCTGTATAAATTGTATCGACTTGGCCTTTTTCATTAAGTTAACTTGAAACGTAATTTGAAAAACAGGTCAAATTAGTGACAGTTGACTGTTTAGACATGAATCCATGTTGATACGGTGATAAATAATTGATTAATAAGGGATAGATCTGATTATAAATGCATATTTTAAATACCTTAGCAAAGTTAGATATTATTGATATAGGTCTATAATGTTCAATATTAGCAGGATCACCACTTTTAAATACTGGACAAATTTTGGCAATTTTCCAACAAGTGGGAAAATTGCAGGATTTAATAGAAAGGTTAAATAAATATTGCAAAGGCTTAACAAATGCATTGGCACAATCATTAATTAGGAAGCTTGGTATGTTATCATCTCCAGCTGTAAATTTATTCTTAAGTTTTTTTTAGTGATTTGAGAATATCTGCTTCGCTCAACTTTGTAATACTGACACAAGGTAAATTATTAAATATGGAGATTAAAGAAGCTTGATTTTTAGGTAGGTATTGAAAAAACATCGTTTAAAGTATTAGGATGAAATGACAAAAATCATGATATCAATTTATTAAGTGGTTTTTAGTAGATATGAAAAAAAGTGCACTCAACCTAAATTGTATTTATTTATTTAGATAAACTATGGTTATTAATCTAAAGAATATAACATTGTATTAAATTATTTTACTTTATAATTATAAACTTATCAGTTTTAGCAAATAAAATGTTGTAGTGTTTGGTCAATTAATATTAATTGAGGAAATAGGTTAGATAATAAAATTATTAAGTATAAAGTACATCCTCAAAAATAAAATGATTACAAATTAATATACGTATAAGTTTTAATATCATCTTTTCGTATACACATTAATGCATTTGGGTGAATATATTAAGATGTCCCCCAAGTGAAAATGATTATTTTTTATTTTTGGTTGTATCACTGTTAGTCTAGAATGGGGTTTTTGGCTTCACGGAGGTTAGGATTTAGTATGTTTTTTTTAAACATCCCTTTGTATATTTGAAATAAGTTATTGTATCTTTTGACATTTTAATATTTTTAAAAAATACAATTGTACATACATAAAATATTTATAAAAATAATCTACTTACTGAGATATTAAACTTCACGGTGGATACGTTTTTAAATAGCAAATTAATGAACTTAAACTTTTGAATTATAGAACAGCAACACTCTAATCTGCATATAAATTCCAACTGACTTTCAGGAATCACATGCATCTATAATGTCGTAAACAGAGGTTTTTGCTTATTTAAAATGATTAAAGCATAAAATTTAAAGCAAAAACACATTCACGCAGGATATAATCAATTTTCGTAACACCTACATAAATGGTTAAAAAATTGTTTATTTTAATTTTTAACAATATTTTATATATGATTCGTTTGCTTTGGATGTGTTTAATTTACTTAGTGAACATATAGGTTAACCTAGAAAGAGTAACAGTCACGGAGGATAGGTTTTAGACTTTTTAAACATTGTAAAAAAATAATTAATTGCGGTTAAAAATCTGGAACCTGAGCTGTAATATGTACTTAATTATGAAATATCAAAACACAATAAAATTGTATGTCAAACTGATTTAGTTTTATTAAATATCATGGGGTAACACCATCGGGGGACATTTCGTGAGATTCACTCATTTATATATACCTACTACAAATTTTAAAAGATAAAAAAAAATACTTTTTTGAAAGTAGGTAATCAACAAAAAGTTTATAAAACAGATTTTAAGTTTGGGGGGGGTTAAACCCCCCCTGAAATGTGAGAAACAGTTGGGCTTTGAGATTGATTTTTTTTGTAAACCTAACATGATTATAATCTTTATACTTTCATTTTACTTTCATTTAAAGAAATGTACAAAAATGCTAATGCACTAGGATATAATAATCAGTTCTAATATTAAAGAAAACATATAAAGAGTATAGATAAGAACCGGCTCAGTCCAAAATTTGTAAACATTAGTATTCCGCTAATATAAAATGTGGCGACTATTAAATACACTCACAGGCAAAATAATCGATCCACCCAAATTTTCGATGAATTTCAATCGCAAATAAGTTTTTTATTTGATGTCGGATTTAAACGAATATTAAAGAATATTTTAGATAAATTAATGGACAATCGCTCACATTTTAAGAAATTACTAAAAAATAGACGTACGTTTATAATATACAGGTTTAAACAAAAAGATGTTTTTTACCATAAGTTTAAGACACTCTGTAGAGTGGCAAAACCATATATTGTTCTAAATTAAGTTTTATTTATCAAGTCACATCTATTCTTAACAGTTTTGTTTTTGCTTCACCTCGATATATATATTTTTGTGGAAAATATGGATTTTTTAAAAAAACATTGCAATTTCCTTCTATGGTCCATCCATATGCTATGGAGAATGACAGTGACAGTTTTGTTGAATCATCCCATACTTGGACATGTCATACACGGCTTTCAATAGCTATCAAATTGTTTTTTACAAATTATTGTTTAAATTTTGAGGTGTCTTCTCACTTTAAAAAATGGATATGTCCCCGACTGATGTTGCCAGAGCCATTAATTTAATCCAGGATGGACGGTCACAGTATAACGTGGCAAGTGTTTTAAAGGTCACAAGAAGTTAAGTACAAAGGGCAACATCAGTCGGAGACATTTTTAAAAGTAAGAAGACACCTCAAAATTAATACATTAATTTACAAAAAACAATTTGATAGCTTTTAAAAACTGTCACTGTCATCCTCCGTAGGCTATGGTTGGACCATAGCAACCTTAGTTCTTCATACAGGAAAAATATTGGAAATTGCAATGTTTTAAAAAAAATATATTTTCCACAAAAATAAATATATCAAGGTGAACCAAAAACAAAACTGTTAAAAATAGATCTGACTTGATAATTAAAACTTAATTTAGAACAATATACGGTTTTGCCACTCTACTTAAACTTATGGTAAAAAACATAATTTTGTTTAAACCTGTATATTATAAACGTACGTGTATTTTTATGTAATTTTTAAAATGTGAGCGATTCTCCATTAATGTATCTACAATATTCTTTAAAATTTGTGTGGATCGATTATTTTGCCTGTGAGTGTATTACCTGACCCAATGTGGAACTTGCACCTCTTCCCCATGCACATTATCCAAATTATTTTTCTTCAACAAATCCAGCATATGATCAATAGAATCCTCCAAATTCTTCGTACCCGACACTCTTGGACCAAACTTATCCACAAACTTCGTCAGCTCATTGTATGTGGCACCTTTAAACTTTCCATTCATCGTCGCCCCAATAATTTTCTCGACTATCGGCTCGTAGGATCTGATTTCCTTGATCAAGTCGTCGGGTAGGTTACAGGCATCGTCGATTTTGTTGTTTGTGATGTTGGATTTAGCGCCTGTCAGTAACAGGACCGCTAAAACGAGCAAACACGTTGCCACGACCATATCTAAACTATTCACTGATATTCGTTGTCGGTTATATTATTACAGGATTGCATCAGGGCCGGCTTGACAATTATAATCAATTAACTAATTATCAAGTGGGCTGGGCTTATGGTTAAATTTTAATTTGAACTCTCTTATCAACAAAGGCGAAATCAGGTGCGTTCCTGTAAACATACACAGAGAAAAAATATGTTTTAATTGAAACAATAATGTTTAATAATAATAATTGTCTGTATTTAAAAGAAAAAATCTAATTTATTAAAATATAGGTAAATTTAAAACAAAGTACCAGACTTTTATTTCAAAATTGCACTTATTCTGTTAAAATAAAAGTTGACTTCCTTAAATTATAAAAACAATTTACTTCTCTCTAAAAAGGAATTAGTCAAAAATGACTAATTTAATAGTTATTAGTGGCTGCTTTTTCACTTGTACCATGGTTAACCATGAAATACCATGCTATCCCAAAATTTAACAGCCAATTCTTATGTAAAATTGTCCCCTGAATCCGAAAATGTTGTCAAACCCATGAGTTGCAAGCATGCTGCAGCATTTTAAGTAAAATCGTAGAGCTTTGAGGCAATAATACTTAATTTAAGTAAATATTTTGTTAAATTAACTTTAAAAAATTACTTTGGGGTAAAACTTTTTTTAAAGTTATTTAATAGGTTTTTTCTACTCCTATTACGGAATTTGACCGTTCTAATATCACTTTTGTCTATGGAATGACATATATTCCGTAAAGTGTTACAGAATGAAATATTCTATCATCGGATTACAGAATAAACACTCGTGGCAACATCTCTGTTTTTAATGTCTAACACATTTTAGACCGATCCAACCTCACTTTCTTCCAATTAAATTATTTTTCTATGCTATTTTTTGGAAACGTAGAAAAAGTATAGTCTGAAACACGTTTGGAATTGCATATTCCGCTCTCGTGAAACCGTCAAACTCGCCTTCGGCTCGTGTGACAAACTCTTCACTCGAGCGGAATATGCTGCATTCCAAACTTGTTACAGAATATACATTATTTATGTTATTTTTACCAATTTTAATAACCCTTATTTTCAACACTTTAAAGTATTATGAGGGACGTAATTTTTACGAAAGAAAATTAGTGTATTTCACCTAAAGGAAAATTTAACGGTAATTTTAACCTCAGAATTTTTACTTAATGGTAAATGTTACTCATAAGTCATAATTTTACGATATTAAGACCACTTTTTAACCAGAAATAATACCTATTCGCCTGGTATTTTTTAGGTTTATTGGTGGTAATAAATACTATTAATATTGACTAAACAAGGAAAAATAAGCTTAAAGTTAAGAATAAAACTTTAAGGGAAAATTTTTTTCAGGTCGCCAAAATGATTTTTTTAAGATGGCATCCATTACTTATCTAAACATTTATATAACATTTTTTCATAAATATTTTTCTAACATATAATAAGGAAAGTTTTTTAAAACCGTAAAATATTTAGAGGGCATATAATTTTTAAGATGTATTGTACCTATTTTTATCAATAAAATAATGTGCATTTAAGTTTTAATTACTTAATTTTTATTACTTTGTAAGTACCATATTGTAAAATATAAATTAAAAAAACAAAGAAATTATGAATGTCAATGTTTTAGAAAAAAAAAGCAAACAGTTAGTAATTATAGCGTTATTTTTACGTAAATTTGTGATATTTATATTGTTTTTATTACGTTACTCTCTTAATTAGCATATCAAAAAGGTTATTATATAGGTAAAATAACGAAATAAACCATTCCCCAAATTTGGTAATTTTTCGTATCTATACCGATATAATACCGTTTTGATTAACCGTAAAAAATACTTTAAAGTTGACTTAGTAGTAAATTTGTAGTTATTTAAACTTAAAATGCTGCTTGGGAAAGTTAAAAAAGTAGAACACTTTTTGAATTATAGTCAATTTTCCATTTAATATGGAATTGACTATATCTCAAAAACTGCTTTACTTTTATTTTTGACGGTATTTTCAGATTCAAGGGACAATTTTACATAAGAATTAGCTGTTAAATTTTGGGATACCATGGTATTCCATGGTAAACCATGGTACAAGTGAAAAAGCAGCCACTTATAACTATTAAATTAGTCATTTTTGACTAATTCATTTCTAGAGAGTTCTTTTAAAAAATTAAAATGTTTAAATTACATAACAAATATTATTTTTTTAAAAATATGGTTTAATTTTAAATAATGATTTTAATTTAATTAAAAAACGTTTAAAAACAAATAAAAATAACTTTATTTTTTTATTTTAATTTTTTTTATAATTTTTAAACTAAATAACAAATGGAAATTAGTTAGTTTTTTGTCTTCTTTAAGAATTTTTGAAGTTTCCAACATTTCTTTTTTGGTTAAGGTATAAGTTTAATCTGTACCAGTAACAGGCTGAACTTTCCTCAATATTGTATCTTTATGAATTATTAATATATTTGCCTTAGGTTTTGGATAATAAAAATAATTTGCTGGTCCATTCGGATGTAAAAAACCAACTTTAATATTCTTAGACTCTTCATTCTTTTTAATTGTAAAAGCTAATTTTACCAATTTTAAATTTGACAGAACAACATTCTGTTTTGTCAATGTGTACCATGATAGTTAAAATTTAGTGTAGTGCATAAAAAGTGAGTTTTAAGCATTTACAAATATTTTGGTAAAAAAATTGCTTAAAATTGTAAAATACATACACTAACCAGGCGGCCCTGGTCTTAGCCCTGATATCAAAATTTGATTTTAAGAATCTTCTTAGAAGATATGACCCGAAATAATGGAATATTCTTAGAACCTTTCCTTATTGCTAAGAATGTTCTTAGGGACTTTTAAAACATTCAATAGATACCCTTTAAATGATGCAATTAGATTCTTAAAAGCTTCTTAAAACCTTCTTAAAAAGCAACCTAAGAACATTTTAAGAATGCGATTTTGGAATGTTCTGAAGGTTTCTTATGGAGCTTCTAGGAAGCTTTTGAGAATATCCCTAAATATGTCAGATACCCACGTTCAAATATGTTGTATTCTACATTCGTAAAATTCTTCAGGAGACAAATATACCTCTGTCATAATATGACAGTGAAATGTATTTGTTGTCCCCTTAAATTTAGCGATATATTAATATATATTTATTTAAATAAACAATTTGAAACCATAAGTTTTATGACATTATTTCATAAAAAGTAAAATTGAAAAAATTTGTGGAATAAGTCAGATTAGATTGAAGTTGAAGATAGTTAGGATTATTAAACATAAAAATGTTAATTCAGAAATAAAAAATCGGTATACAAATTAATAAATATTTATTTTTAACATACAATAAAATACCTATAGTAAAAGTATTTTTGTTATCGAATATTGTTTTAATTTGACAAATAACTATAAAAAAATATTTTGGATTCTGTTTTTTACTTAGTATTTATTACTAACTACTAGTTAGGTACTTAAGTATAGGTAGTTTATGGTATATTTTACTATTATATAGGTAGGTAACTGAACTAAATATGCTTAACAGGAATATTCCTAAATGAACTTTCTATAGCAATTACTTTTCTTAACATTCTAAGCATATGTTTAGAGTAGACTAATTTTTACCACTAAAACTTTGCACCTTCTAAGAACCTGCCTATAGGCCAGTTAGAATATTCTTAGGATCATGCTATTTGTCTTTTAAGCATGTTCTTTAGAAGAAATATAGCATGATTCTAAGAATATTCTCACTGGAAGGTTTAAAAAATATTCTTAGAATAAAGTGTGCTATCAGGGAGGACACTAACTAGAGCCTTTTCAAGAAATCACCACTTTAGGCAAGGCTGTAAAATATTTCCAATGCCTTTATTTTTAAAACCGCCGATATACATATTTGTTATATGCAGGATTTTTCTTAAATATTCCAACCTAGAGGTGTCAGAAAAGGCAAGAATTTTTATAAACAAGAGAAAAGAGGTGTCTCAAGCATAGCATAAATAAATTTTGGTAAAAGATTGAATTTTATGGTCCAAATACTAAAATTCCCTAAAATGTTTATTTTTAATATTTTTGTGTTTCCAAGGTTTTAATTTTTTTTAAACTGAATTTTTTATTTATCCATTCTGAAATCTGGTAATTATCATACTTTTTGGAAAAAAATTAAAAATGGTGTTTTAGAGAAATTTCCAAAAATTTAAGAAAAAATATATTGTGGGATTACTTATTTGAAAGGGCTTGAAAAACCTTTTAAACAAGCTATTACTCAATGCTCTGTGATAAGTAGTTTCTAAGATATATCTGTTGTTTTAAGAGCATGCAAATTAATAAATTTCTTGATTTTTAAAAATCCTTAAATAAATTAAAATTTTGGGTTTTCGAGTTTTTCAGGATGTAGAACAACTTTACCTTAAATAATCAAAATTTACCTTTTTTTTTGTTGATTTGATATGAAATTAACCTAATATAATATTTTATTCTACAAATTTATCTGTAATGAGTTATTTAAAAGATGTAGAATAAATATTATTTGTAGAATACAATATTACTTAAAGCTATGTATGTAAAATTTAAAAAAATAAATATTTTTACTTAAATTTTACAATATTTTTTGATTATCAATTGTTTTGGGTTTAAAATTGTAACTTTTTAAACTATATTGGTAGAAAATGTATATATATATGATTTTTTTATTTTAAATGTCTTGATACTATTTTTTAATACTTATACCTGCCATAGGACCACCCTGTATAGAGCGTGGCAGCGATTTTTTTAATTTATTTATTTATTTATTACCAAATTTTATATTTTAATAAGATTATCAATAACCATTTTTGGGTAACCCCTGTTTAAGGGTCATTCCACGTTAATCGGGGATTTTTGTCCCGCCCGTCACAATTAAAAATTGTGAATAAAAACTACACGTTATAAAATTTATTTTAAAATATTGTTTATTATGCTTTTAATAAGCACAATAAAAATAATATTATAAAATATTAATTTAATAACT